CCCGGCTTCTAGTGAGCCATATAGCTAGACCAGTTGGTTTGAACAATGAGTTTGGTTAATTGTCTTGGCTTGGGAAATGGCCAGAGGAGTTTGCCCACACTTCCTGTTCAGGGAATCTCTCAGCAGGGAAGCAAATGTCTCTGATCTCGTTGGGTTACATTTTGGTGAAGAAGTTTAGACATTGTATATATACTGCATATAAGACAACTGGGCGTATAAGACGACCCCCAACTTTTCCAGTTAAAATGTAAAGTTTGGGATATACTCGCCGTATAAGACTAGCCCTCTTCGAACACACACCAAATAAAAAAATTAAAAGCATCAGATTTGATTTCAATATGGTAATTTTCCTATTATGGTACCTCCTTCTCTGCCTCTCATTTCTCGCACATGCGCACCTGCAGTCTTGAGGAGCGAGATCTGAGAGGCAGAGGAGGTGGTATGGTAATAGGATACAAGGGCGGGCCAGACAGGTAAAAGAGGCATGTTTTTCTGGACCCAGAGCCACTCTATCTCTTTTTACCATACCATGGGCACCCTGGATGCTTGCAGCTTGCTCCGTCATTCACTTACACCTTCCCAGTGAGGCGTCCCTTCACCTCACCATCGGGACCACATTAAGTCCACGAATCCTGATGAATGGATTTTCTTCTACCATACTTGGACAGCGTCGCCCTTAATGCTTTCATAGAGTCGCTGCATACAGCAGGGACGTGGTCACTGCCATTTTTTAGCTCCCCCCACAATATGCAGCAACCACAGATTTTCCAATCCGGATTGGAAGTTTCAGCACGACTCCCATGCATAAGGCTACTCCAATGTGTAAGACGACTCCCACGTATAAGACAACCCAGCGTGTAAGACAACTCCCGCGTATAAGACGACCCCTGACTTTTGCGAAGATTTTCTTGGGTTATAAAGTAGTCTTATATGCCAGAATATACTGTAATGTATGAAATAGATACAGTATACAGACAGATAAAAGTTATATAGAAAGTCACAAATAATATATACAATTATTAAACAGTTTGATGTGATAGCAGTTGCCGGTTTGGTCTTGATCTTCTGACACTTTGAGCCTGCAAGTCTGGAAAGGGAATAATCATGACTTGCAGGGTCAAATCATCACAAGTTCGGGAGCTTTGAGATGGTAGAACAGAAGCTCTCCGAAGCTTTAGGTGCTCTTACTGCCTGTTACAGGGGAAACCAGCTGATCCCCAACCCATCTAAAACACAGACATGTGCCTTTCATCTCAAGAACAGAGAAGCATCCCGAGCTCTGAAGATCACCTGGGAAGGAATCCCACTGGAGCATTGCAGCGCACCCAAATACCTGGGAGTCACTCTGGACCGTGCTCTTACCTAAAAGAAGCACTGCCTGAACATCAAGCAAAAAGTGGGTGCTAGAAACAATATCATACGAAAGCTGACTGGCACAACCTGGGGATCACAACCAGACACAGTGAAGACATCTGCCCTTGTGCTGTGCTACTCTGCTGCTGAGTATGCATGCCCAGTGTGGAACACATCTCACCACACTAAAACAGTGGATGTGGCTCTTAATGAGACATGCCGCATTATCACAGGGTGTCTGCGCCCTACACCACTGGAGAAATTACACTGCTTAGCCGGTATTGCACCACCTGACATCCGCCGGGAAGTAGCAGCCAATAGTTAAAGGACCAAGGCAGAGACATCTCCAGCTCATCCCCTGTTTGGGTATCAGCCAGCACGTCAACGACTTAAATCTAGAAATAGTTTTCTAAGATCTACAGAGACACTCGCTGGAACACCTCAGCAAGCGAGAGTCCAAAAGTGGCAGGCTCAAACCCAGAACCTCAACCGATGGCTGATACCAAATGAGAGACTCCCCCCTGGGCACACCGAAAACTGGGCGACTTGGAAGGCACTGAACAGACCACAAGATGCAGAGCCAACCTTCAGAAATGGGGCCACAAAGTGGAATCCTCAACATGTGAGTGTGGAGAAGAGCAAACCACTGACCACCTGCTGCAATGCACCCTGAGCCCTGCCACATGCACAAGGGAGGACCTCCTTGCGGCAACACCAGAAGCACTCCAAGTGGCCAGATACTGGTCAAAGGACATTTAATCAACTACCAAACTCACAAATTTTGTATTTTGACTGTTTGTTTGCTTTGTTCTGTTAGAAATGGAACATAATTGACTGGCTGTCCTGACACGACAAATAAATAAATCACAAGATCAAGGCTAAACCGGCAACAGCTGTCACATCTAAACCAGTAGTATATATTCTTCAAGACTCTTTTATCTGACTGTATCTATCTATCTATCTATCTATCTATCTATCTATCTATCTATCTATCTATCTATCTATCTATCTATCTATCTGTATCTATCTATCTTCTATCTATCTATCTATCTTCTATCTATCTATCTATCTATCTATCTATCTATCTATCTATCTATCTATCATCTCTTCTATCTATCTATATCTATATACACATAATAAAAGTGAAAAATGTGTATGTGTGTTATGTGGCAGAGCTGTCTACTTACATAGACAGCCTCCCGCCTCCACAAACAGGCTATAGTTCCAAGTGCTGAGAAGCCTCCAAAGGCACTCTCTCCACTGACATTGCAGTTAGAGCGAGTGCCATGGATCTGTAGCCCAAATCCTGATAATGTCACCCCCAAACACTATGACCCACCACCTTTCATTGGGGGACTATTTCATCCACAGGCAGGCATCCAGGTTTCCTTTCTCCATTGGTGTGAAATTTGGATGACCTCCGCCCACTTCCTCCCCACTTAACCCTTTCCTATTCTTTCCACCTGGGAGTTGTTCACTCTCCACCCCACCAATGTCAGATCAGGACCAAACTTGGCACACTGACCCAACATGCCCAACTGTGAATACAGGTGGAGTCTGGGGGTGACCAGAGGCGGCCCTAGGTAATTTTCAATGGTAAGCAAACAAATATATATCTTCTGTTCGTTGTGGGAGTTCTGTGTGCCATATTTGGTTCAATTCCATCATTGGTGGAGTTCAGAATGCTCTTTGATTGCAGGTGAACTATACATCCCAGTAACTACAACTCGCATATGTCAAGGTCTATTTTCCCCCAAGAGCACCTCAAGAGTGCCCCTGGGCAAAATCAACTATACTGCAAATGCTTACTTTATGTAATGGGTTACCAAGGCTTTCCCCGGACTGCTAGGGCTGTTGTGACCCGAGGGGGCGCTCCTCAAGTGGCAGTCGAGGGGCATTTACAGAGGCGCCTCTGCGCCCCTGGCAAAAAAAAGTGTACTGCGACCGCTTACTTTGCGTAATGGATGAGCCGCCCCTGGGGTGACTGACCTGAGAATCTGGTAGTTGTAGTTCACCTGTATCCAGAGAAACTGACCCGCACCAACAATGGACAGGAACCAAACTTGGCACAGAGAAGGCCCATGTGGGAATTGTAGTTCACCCACATTGTTATGCATTTTGTAATGGGAGCGTTCATAAGCAACAAAATCAAATACTGGCTTTTTTCTAATCAATAGTATTACTAATTAACTAATTATCTAACACCCCAAAACAAACAATGCCTTCTTTCAAATAACCCAGGTATCGCCGGGTACCCAAGTTAGTATATATATAAAATGCAAACTTTTTTTACCAAAATAGAACCCAGTCACTTCCCTTCAGAGAGATTCCCTTGACAAGAAGAGTGGGCAAACTCCTCTGGCCATTTCCCAAGCCAAGGCACTTAATCAAACCCATTGTTCATCTATATCTCTGAGCCCTTGGTAAACAATTATCTATTTATTTATTTATTTACTATATTTGCCTTTCTCAGCCAATTGGTGACTCAAGGTCAAAGGAACTGAGCCGAGGCTCCCGCCTTGGGCATTTATAGTATTGGGGAGTGTGGGCGGGGCGTCCGCCAAAAAGTTTCCATTATAATATTCTAGAAGGTTCCGAACAGCTGCGCATGCGCAGAACAAAACCCATTATGTGTGAATTTCACAGACTATCACTCGAGGAAACGCAGTTACAGGTAAGCAACATGCATTTCTCAGCCAATTGGCGACTCAAGGCGGTTTCCAACAAATCAGTATACACAAAACATAATAGATAAAAAACATTAGACAGTATAAGACATCACAAAAGCAATAAAAGCAACATCATCAGCGTCTCATTCTCAAGCATTGTCCAATTCCATTGTCAGGTCATTCGATTTCCTATATTAGCTACTCTGTATTTGTAAACGCTTGCTCGAATAGCCACGCTTTAACTTGCCTCCAAAACGTCAAGAGGGAGGGAGCAGATCCGATCTCCCTAGGGAGGGCATTCCATAGCCGAGGGGCCATCACTGAGAAGGCCCTGTCTCTCGTCCCCACCAAACGTGCTTGTGACGAAGGCGGGACCGAGAGCAGGGCCTCCCCAGATGATCTTAAAGTCCTCAGTGGTTCGTAAGGGGAGATACTTCCGGACAGGTAAGTTGGGCCAGAACCGTTTAGGGCTTTATAGGCCAAAACCAGCACTTTGAATTGGGCCCGGTAGCAAACTGGCAGCCAGTGGAGCTGGCGCAACAAGGGGGTTGTATGCTCCCTGAGCGCCGCTCCTGTTAACAACCTGGCTGCCGTTCGTTAGACTGTCTTCAAAGGCAACCCCACGTAGAGAGCGCTGCAGTAGTCTATACGGGATGTACATCTTTGGTTGGGGGGGGGGGGTTTACTGTGGCTCGATAACATTTAATTATTTATTTATTTGCTGCATTTTGACCCCGCTCTAGCTCCACCTCGAAGGGGACTTCAAAGCGGCTTCCAGTTTGGAAATGATTCAATGCCACACTGCAACATCGAAGCCAATAAATATAGGACACATTTCACATTAAAATCATCACAAACCATATAAATACATTTCAATAACTGATTAGCATCGATCCGATAGTCATAGTCCAAGCCGATTCGTTTGTCTTCACTTCGTGGTTGAATATTGCACTGTGGATGTGCTACTCCTCACAGGTTTTCACTTTCTTTCCGAAAACCAGGAGGGAGTGTGCTAATCTAATATCACTGGGGAGGGAGCTCCACAGCCGAGGGGCTACCACTGAGAATGCCCTGTCTATCGTCCCCACCAGTCGCACTTGCGAAGGGGGTGGGACTGAGAGCAGGGCCTCCCCCAACGATCTTAACACCCAAGCTGGTTCATAGGGGACAGGTAACCTTAGAAGTGAGAGGGCCATGGACGTCACAATTTCTTTGGGTCTTAAGGGCTTGAAGGCCTTCCTGGAAGACCTGGGTTTGGAATCATATACAGAAGTCCCTTGGTGATCAGGAAGATTTGTTGCGGTTAATGAGGACTGCAATTCTCAGCGCTTGGACCCAGAAGCAAGGGGGAGCAGATGGGAGCTCCTAGGCCAGATTGGGGTCCAGGACCCCCCGGTCCAGGCGCTCCTTGTGGTGGCTCCAGGCAGCAGCGGTCATCTGGCTGTACGGGTCCAGCAGGATGCGTGAGCAGCGCACCAGCAGCCCTGCGAGGAAGGCCAGCAGCAGCACCACCAGTGCCAGCGTCGCCCGTTGCTCCACGTCTGCTGGAGCCAAGGTCAGCCCGGGGGTCGGATCCCCCTCTGGACCCCAGGAAGGGGAAGGGGAGGGGCACTCCATGGAAGCCACCACAAAGGGGGTGCTCCCTTCCGTCCAGAGGCAGAAGCAGCAGGAGCCCAAGTGGTCAGTCGGGAGTCCACAGAAGGTAGGGAAGCATCCACCACTGTTCCCTGAGCAGATAGGTCAGGGAGGAAGAGAGAAAAGCAGGATGATATACTACTACTACTACTACTACTAATAATAATAATAATAATAACAATGTTAATAATAATAAGCCCCCCATCGGGTGCCACCTTGTTGTTGGTGGGGGGCTTAACTGCTTCTATGATGTTGAGAGCTGTGCTAGCGGTAATAACAGCCTGAAATGCTCTAAATTCTGTCTAAATGATATAATAATAATACACATAACCTGAGCTGCTCTGAGTCTTGTGTAAGAGAGGAAAGTGTTATATAATAGTAATAATAATAATAATCATCATCATCATCATGTATTGTCGAAGGCTTTCATGGCCGGAATCACTAAGTTCTTGTGGGTCTTTTTGGGCTACATGGCCATGTTCTAGAGGCATTTCTCCTGACGTTTCGCCTGCATCTATGGCAAGCATCCTCAGAGGTGAGGTCTGTTGGAACTGGGGAAAAGGGTTTATATATCTGTGGAATGACCAGGGTGAGACAAAGGACTTTTGTCAGTTGGGCTAGGTGGTATTTCAACAGAAAGGAGGAAACCATGAAAATGAACAAGATCTGGCTACCAGTATTAAAAAATTCTAAAATTGCAACAGCAAAAACAGCAGAGAGGAAACAGGCAGGGACATCTAATTACCTTTCAAGAAGAGTTTGCTCCAGGCACAGTCAGCCCATTGTATGCTAATCAAGGTGGTCAGTTGAAATATTCACACCTAGCCCAACTGACAAAAGTCCTTTGTCTCACCCTGGTCATTCCACAGATATATAAAACCCTTTTCCCAGTTACCAAACAGACCTCACCTCTGAGGATGCTTGCCACAGATGCAGGCAAAACGTCAGGAGAAATGCCTCTAGAACATGGCCATATAGCCCAAAAAAACTTCATCATCATCATCATCATACACATGGCCTGAGCTTCTCTGAGTCTTGTGTAAGAGAGGAAAGTGTGATATAGTAGTAGTAGTAGTAATAATAACAACAACAACAACAACAACAAATTCCTGGGAAAATGATAATGATAATAATAATAATAATAACAATAATAATAATAATAATACACATGACCTGAGATTCTCTGAGTCTTGTGTAAGAGAGTGATATAATAATAATAATAATAATAATAATAATAATAATAATAATAATAATAATAATAATATATTTATTTATTTATTTTTGTCGTGTCAGGAGCGACTTGAGAAACTGCAAGTCGTTTCTGGTGTGAGAGAATTGGCCGCCTGCAAGGACGTTGCCCAGGGGATGTCCAGATGATTTGATGTTTTTATCATCCTTGTGGGAGGCTTCTCTCATGTCCCCGCATGAGGAGCTGGAGCTAACAGAGGGAGCTCATCCGCGCTCTCCCTGGATTCGAACCTGCAACCTGTCGGTCTTCAGTCCTGCCAGCACAGGGGTTTACCCACTGCGCCACCGCAGTGATGGAATAATAATACACATAACCTGAGCTGCTCTGAGTCTTGTGTAAGAGAGGAAAGTGTTATATAATAATCATCATCATCATCATCGTCTTCATCACCTTACACATGGCCTGAGCTTCTCTGAGTCTTGTGTAAGAGAGGAAAGTGTGATATAGTAGTAGTAGTAGTAATAATAATAATAATAATAATAATAACAATAACAACAACAATAAATTCCTGGGAAAATGATGATGATAATAATAATACACATGACCTGAGATTCTCTAAGTCTTGTGTAAGAGAGTGATATAATAATAATAATAATAATTATTATTATTATTATTTATTTATTTATTTTTGTCGTGTCAGGAGCGACTTGAGAAACTGCAAGTCGCTTCTGGTGTGAGAGAATTGGCCGCCTGCAAGGACGTTGCCCAGGGGACGCCAGGATGTTTTGATGTTTTACCATCCTTGTGGGAGGCTTCTCTCATGTCCCCGCATGAGGAGCTGGAGCTAACAGAGGGAGCTCATCCGCGCTCTCCCTGGATTCGAACCTGCGACCTGTCGGTCTTCAGTCCTGCCGGCACAGGGGTTTAACCCACTGCGCCACCGCAGTGATGGAATAATAATACACATAACCTGAGCTGCTCTGAGTCTTGTGTAAGAGAGGAAAGTGTGATATAGTAGTAATAATAATAATGATGATAATAATAATAATAACAACAACAACAACAATAAATTCCTGGGAAAATAATAATAATAATAATAATAATAATAATAATAATAATAATAATAATAATAATAATACACATGACCTGAGATTCTCTGAGTCTTGTGTAAGAGAGTGATATTATAATAATAATAATAATAATAATAATAATAATAATAATAATAATACAGTATATTCTGGCGTATAAGACTACTTTTTAACCCAAGAAAATCTTCTCAAAAGTCAGGTGTCGTCTTATACGCGGGTGTAGTCTTATGCATGGGAGTTGTCTTAACTCTATATTTTAACTGGAAAAGTTGGGGGTCGTCTTATACGCCCAGTCGTCTTATATGCCGGAATATACGGGTAATAATAAATATCCTGGGAAAACAACAACAACAATAATAATACTACACATAGCCTGAGATGCTTTGAGTCTTGGGTAAGAGAGGAAAGTGAGATATAATAATAGTAATAGTAATAATAATAATCCACATAGCCTGAGCTGCTGAGTCTCATATATGAGAAAAGTGTGATAAGTAATAAGTAACAGTAATAAGAATAAAAATGATAGATAATTCAGGGAATTTAATAATGATGATAATAATAATAGTAATAATAATATTGTGATCATAATAATGATAATAGTAATAGTAATTATAATGCAGATAGCCTGAGGTGCTCTGAGTCCATTTAAGAGAGGAAAGTGTGACATGATGGAAAGTATAATAGAAAGTCCTGAAGATATAATAATAATGATATAAATATCAATGTAATAATGATAATAGTGGTAATTATAATGCACATAGCCTGAGCTGCTCTGAGTCCCATTTAAGAGAAGAAAACAAGATATTATTATTGTGAAAAAATTATTATTATAGAAAATCTTGAGGATATTATATTAATAATAATAACAATGTACATAGCCTAAGTTGCTCAGAGTCTCATATTCTCGTATAATAATAATAATAATAATAATATAATAATAATAATAATAATTCAGTTCTTGTGGGTTTTTTCGGGCTATATGGCCATGTTCTAGAGGCATTTCTCCTGACGTTTCGCCTGCATCTATGGCAAGCATCCTCAGAGGACCTGAGGACCTCACCTCTGAGGAAGCTTGCCATAGATGCATGCGAAACGTCAGGAGAAATGCCTCTAGAACATGGCCATATAGCCCGAAAAACCCCACAAGAACTGAGTGATTCCAGCCATGAAAGCCTTCGACAATACAATAATAATAATAATAATAATAATAATAATAGAAAATCCTGGGGAAATAACAATAGTAATAGTAATAATACAGATATAAATATTAATATAATAATAATAATCAGAATGCACATAGCCTGAGCTGCTTTAAATCTCGTTTAAGAGAGGAAAGTCAAATATAAATTTAATAATTATAATATAATACTAATAATAACAATACCGCTGGTGTCTTTTGGACAGATGCAGAAAAGATGTCTCCCGTTCGCTGCTGTTCTGCCTTGTCTTCTCCTTCATCAAGCTTCAAGCGAGACGCCATAACATCATCATCATTATTGGAGCCACCGGTGGCGCAGTGGGTTAAACCCCTGTGCCGGCAGGACTGAAGACCGACAGGTCGCAGGTTCGAATCCGGGGAGAGGCGGATCAGCTCCCTCTATCAGCTCCAGCTCCTCATGCGGGGACATGAGAGAGGCCTCCCACAAGGATGATAAAAACATCAAATCATCCGGGCGTCCCCTGAGCAACGTCCTTGCAGACGGCCAATTCTCTCACACCAGGAGTAACTCCTGACACGACAAAAAAAATCATCATTATTAATAATAATGCTGCTTTTCTCTAAGACTATCCATACTGAAATGTACATTGAAATATAATACTAAGGACTATTTACCTACTTAAACCCATTAAAACCCTTTGAAAATGATATATTTAAATTTGTTTTGTTTTTTCATCATCCCAGGTATCTGCCAATCTGTTTTTCAGGTTAATCTTTAATCTTTGAAGCCTGGATTATGGGATTTACTTAGGTTCTCCATTTAATAAACAGTGGCTGCGGATTCGGACAGCGGCTCAGAAAACGGCATGAGAACAATAGGAAAGAGGGAGAAAATCAGACAATTTTAATGATAAATCCAATTTACAGTTAGAATACAATAATTTTATTTAATAAAAAGTATATTACAATAATGAAATTATTATAATAATATTTAGAAGATTCCGTTTCTTGAGCGTGCCGAGGAAATATCATATGTGCAATTTCACAGAGACCACGAAGAAGAAAACAAAATAATAATAAATATATACATAAATCTCTATACAAATATATTTGTGTGTATATAAATATATAAATAAAATACACCACACACATGTATTTATATATAATAGTGTGTGTGTGTATATATATATATATATGTATATATATGTATATATATAGTATGTATGTATATATAATAGGAACTTTCCCTCCTCTTGGCATGTGTATAGTGCCTTTGGTCTAATGCTTTCGAAGGGCATGCCTTGCAAATTGGAGACGCTGCACTCTACACATGCTCAGAGGTCCCCATAGCAGCCTAAGGTTTGGAGAGGTGCCTTTGTGCATATGCAGAGCGCCTTTGCATTTGTCAGATGGGGTTTTTTTCCAGCCCAAACACGTACCTGCAGATGGTCTGGTTCCTCTTCTTCTTTGGAGGCGGTTCCTATGGTGGCCGAATATTGTCTCCCGCCCTCTACCCATGCTCAGAGGCCATGCATTAAACCTCTCTCTCCATTCATTCCTTCATTCATTCCCATGGAGTTAAGCCTTCCTTCCTCTTAATTGCATTTCTCTGAAGATGTATTAAATAAAGCCCTGAAAATCTGCCATCGACGCAAAGGAGGAGGAGGAGGATGGTGATGAGAAGAACAACATCTAAAGGGGGGGGGCATGGGACCCCAGGCAGAACAACAACAACAACATTGACATTGGCACATTTGCCAAAAGCAAAATAATCCCAAATAAACAGTTTGGGGGAAGATCTCAGGGGCTCACATGTCTTTTACACTAATGCACAGAGCATGGGAAATAAGCAAGACGAACTCCAACTTTTAGCACAACACAACAAATATGATGTCATAGGCATGACTGAAACCTGGTGGGATGACTTCTATCGCTGGAATGTAGACATGGAGGGCTATAACCTCTTTCACAGAAACCGAACAAAGGGGAGAGGAGGCAGAGTAGCCTTATATGTCAAAAACTGTTACGCTGCAGAAGAGATGCAAGACAGCAATCCAGGAAGCCAGCTTGAAAGCATCTGGATAAGAATCAAGGGAACTAGGACTCAAAAAGATCTCATTGTAGGCGTCTACTACAGACCTCCAAGCCAGGAGGAAGAACTTGATGAAATCTTCTGCCAACAGTTGACCAAACAGGCACAGAGAAGAGATGTAGTAGTCATGGGCGATTTCAACTATCCCGATATTTGCTGGAAAACAAACTCAGCCAATAGTCCAAAGTCCAACAAATTCCTCGCTTGCCTTGCAGACAACTTCATGGTCCAGAAAGTACAAGAGGCAACAAGGGGGTCGGCTACTCTTGATCTCATCCTCTCATTCCGTGGACACAGATACTAAAAGACAAGGGAGTTACGGATGGATGGGAGTTTTTAAAGAGTGAAATACTCAAGGCGCAATTGCAAACAGTACCAACAAAGAGAAAAAATAGGACAAGTGCAAATAAGCCAGAATGGATGTCCAAAGAACTTCTAACTGGGCTAAGACTCAAAAGAGACATGCACAAGAAGTGGAAAAGGGGAGAAATCACCAAAGAAGAATTCAAACAAATAGCCAACACCTGTAGGGAAAAGGTCCGCAAGGGTAAATCACAAAACGAGCTCAGGCTTGCCAGGGACAATAAAAAGGGCTTCTTTTCTTATGTCAGTAGAAAAAGGAAAAACAAGGAGGCGATAGGGCCTCTTCGAGGAGAAGATGGGCCAATGCTGACAGGGGATAGGGAAAAGGCAGAACTACTTAATACCTTCTTTGCCTCTGTCTTCTCACAAAAAGAAAGTAATCTTCAACCTCAGCAAGAGGGAGTGGATGAGGGATTAGAGGACATCCAACCCCAAATTGGGAAACAAGTCGTCCAGTAAGTAGATTGCAGGCTTTAATATTTTCAGAATGGTGTTTCCAAAATTATTAGCTCTCATTCATCTTCCATTCAAACCCACACATATTATATCAAATCCACATTTATAAAATCTGCATATTACATTTCTTATGACACGTATTCGTATATATATTCTTCGGGGACGATGGACTCACAGTCAATTGGGAACACCTTGCTTTGATTCTCAGACCACTATTATTACATTATTTTCAAATGGGAGGAAATAAGGCACGGAGACACTTGGAGCCGTTCAGGTATTTATTATGAAAGTCATTCCAACAAAAGCAGATCCGATCTTCCTCTCAAACTGGCCTCCTTTCTAAGGCCATTTAATTTAATTTACTTTTTTGGTCTCCATCATAGCATGAGCTGCCAGACAAGACATCAAAATCCCTGTAGAAATGGCATTTTCTCCTTCATTATTTCCTTGTTTCCCCTTTTTCGAAACCTTGGCCCTCTCTCAACCCTTCCCAACCCCCTTTTGTGCAAATTAAACCCATTAACATTATTAATAATAATGCAATATGATATAAAAATAATTAGAAAAGTAACAGTCATTTTGTATAGTTTTGAATTCTCTCTCCATTTCTTTTTGGTTTAAGAAATATATATATAGCTAGCTGGCTAGCTAGCTAGAGATCTTATTTTACCAGCAAAAGGACTAAGTCAAAAGGTAAGAAATATTATTTCCAATATATGAAAGATATTGATGGAGGTTTTTTGGGAGAATTGACACCGCCTTCTCCCTCCATGCACTTATATACATATGCATGTGCATATATATATATATATATATATATATATATATATATATATATGCATATGTATATACAGAGAGAGGGGACACACACACACATATAACCAAATAAGAGGAAAAAATCTGAAAGAGATCTTGTGCAAAGCTCTTCGCATGAGGACGGGCACTTGTGCGAGGGCTTTTGTGCGAACAAAGGCAAGAAACGTGGCACAGAAATGCAGATATCAAACCCCCTCCCCATTTGGTCCGACACATATTGTGAGTTTTTACTAGTGAAAATCCGTGCAAATTTGTTTGCACAAGTAAATCCCACAAAACATTTCCACAAATAATCCAAACAGGAAGGAGAAAAATACGAGAGAGGGAGAAAGACAGAACACAATACTTAGAACACGGTCACTTGCGCAAAGCTCTTTGCATGAGGACGAATACTCGTGCAAACAAAAACAAGAAACACAGCACAGAAATGCAGGTACCAAAGCCCTCCCCATCTGGTCCCACACATATTGTGAAAATTCATGTGAATTTGCTTGCACGAGTAAAACTCATGGAAAAAAGTTTCACAAAGAATCCAAACAGGAGAGGGCTGAATACTAAATAATTATAATGTGTCTCTTGTGCACTTGTGCAGAGCTCTTCACGCTCATGCAAAAAAACACTTGTGCAAAGGCGAGAAACGTTGGACAAGAAACATGGAAATACTAGTGAACTGGGTACCCGCCATGATTTCAGTGCAAAAGTCACTTGCATAAGGAAAACTCACAGGGACAAAAAAAGGTTCCACAAAGAAGAATCCCGACATGAGGGGAGAATAGGAGAGAATGCACCAGCATTTGTGCAAAGCTCTTCACATTTGTGCAAATGCTCGTGCAAGAGCTTTCTTGCAAAGATGAGAAATGTTACACAAGAAATGCGGAAACATTCCCCCCCCTCCAAAAAATCTGGTTCTATGCATGTTGTCTGATTTGCACTAGTGAACTGTGTGCCCAACATTATTTTCGTGCAAAGCTGCTCGCACGAGGAAACTCATGAGGACCAAAAATGCCCACCTAATGAATTGCCAAAACAAACAAACAAAGGTGGAGATTGGAGAGGAAAGAGAGAGCATCGGTGGTGGAGCTGCCCTTTTATTGAAACCTCGTTGAAGAAGAAGGAGGGAGGAAACGGAAAAGGAGGAGGATCCGTTGCAGAAGGCAGGTGCCGCCTCATGATTCATTGTACATCCGGTCGATCTGCACCTTATACATCTGCATCACCACAGGCCGCTTGAGCTTCATGGTGGGACCTGACCGGGGAAAAAAGGGAAAACAACAATAACAACAACAATAATATAATCTATCTCTATCTCTATCAATCTATATCTATATCTATATCTATATCTATCTATCTATCTATCTATACATATAATAAAAGTCAAAGTTTGTATGCGGAGGACAAAAGTGTGGCAGAGTATGTGCCAACGTTCTGATTGGCTGCCGCTGTGGTGCTATTTGCATATGGTCTCTGATTGGCCAGCTTCAATAGGAGCCCCTGGTGGAGAAAAGAGTTCATGACAGAAACGGGGACATGAGAAGAAAATTTGCATATGGTCTCTGATTGGCCAGCCTCAATTCCAAGATTCCGAGATGACAAAGAGAGGAAAGGAAAAAGCCAGGGGATGAGTCAGACAATTACCAATACAGACCACACTTGGCACACAGAGCCCCCATGACCCACTCTACATCCTACTGCAGTTTGGAGGAGGATGAACCATGGATGATGGGACTTGCAGTATCATCACTCACATTCTGAGACCGCTGTTAACCTCATCCAATGACTGATCAGGACCAAACTTGGCACATAGACCTCTCATGACCCACTTTACGTCCTGGTGTGGTTTGGCCGGGGATGGACCATGGATTATGGGACTTGCAGTACCTTTGCTCAATTCTTGAGACCACTTCAACCCTCATCCAATTACTGATAAAGACCAAACATGGCACACTGAGTCTCCATGACGCACTCTACACCCTGGTGCGGTTTGGAGGAGGATGCACCATGGACGATGGGACTTGCAATACCTGCACTCCCTTCCTAAAACCATTACAACTGCTAACAATGATGGATCAGGACCACAATTTACACTGAGAGCCCGCATGACCCAGTCTACTTCCTGGTGCGGTTTGGAAGAATTTGACAATGAATGATGGGACTTGCAGTCACTTCACTCACTTCCTGAGACCACTGAGACCCTCGCCAATGACTGATCAAGACTAAACTTGGCACATGGAGCTACCATGACCCACTCTACATCCTGGAGCAATTTGGAGGATGACAGACCATGGATGATGGGACTTCAAGTACCTCCACTACCCAAGACTGCTGCAAAACTCATCTAATTACCAATCAAGACCAAAGTTGGCACACAGAGCCCCCATGACCCACTCTACATCCTGCTGCAGTTTTGGACAAGGTTGGACAATGGATGATGGAACTTCCAGTACCTTCACTCACATTCTGAGACCTCTGCAAACCTCATCCAATGACGGATCAAGACCAAACTTGGCACATAGACCTCTCATGACCCACTTTACGTCCTGGTGTTGTTTGGAAAACTTTGGAGATGGATGATGGGACTTGCAGTACCTTTGCTCACTTCCTGAGACCACTGAGACCCTCGCCAATGACTAATCAAGACTAAACTTGGCACATGGAGCTCCAATGACCCACTCTACATCCTGCTGCAGTTTGGAGGAGGACAGACCATGGATGATGGGACTTCAAGTACCTCCACTCCCTTCAAAGATTGCTGCAACCCTCTTCTAATGACCAATCAAGACCACACTTGGCACACAGAGCCCCCATGATCCACTCTACATCCTGCTGCAGTTTGAAAGGGGATGGACTTTGGATGATGGGACTTGAAGTACCTTCACTCACTTACTGACACCACTGCCACCCTCATCTAATGACTGATAAAGACCAAACTTGGCACACAGAGCCCCCATGACCCACTCTATATCCTGCTGCTGTTTGTAGGAGGATTGCCCATGGATGATGGGACTTCAAGTACCTTCACTCACTTCCTGAAAATAATGCTGCCATTATCCAAAACCAATAAAGACCAAACTTGGCATACAGAACCACCATTACCCACTTTCTCTAATAACCCGGGCAACGCCAGGTCCCCAAGCTAGTATATAATAAAAGTCAAAGTTTGTATGCGGAGGGTGGAAGTGCGGCGGACGTAGGACGGAGGGATATGTGGCAGCTTTCTGATTGGCTACACTATTTGCATATGGTCTCTGATTGGCCAGCCACAATAGGACCCCCTGGTGGTGAAAAGGGTTAATGAGAGAAGCAGGGACATGTATGTGCCAGCTTTCTGATTGGCTGCCACTGTGGTACTATTTGCATATGGTCTCTGATTGGCCAACCTGAAAGTTCCAAGATTATGAGGTGACAAGAGAGGAGAGAAAAGGGCCTTCGGCTGTCTCAGATAATTACCAATACAGACCAAACTTGGCAAACAGAGCCCCCATGACCCACTCTACATCCTGGTGCTGTTTGGAGGAGGATGGACCATGGATGATGGGACTTGCAGTACCATCACTCACTTCCTGAGACCACAGCAACATTCATCCAATTACCAATAAAGACCAAAATTGCCACACAGAGCCCCCATGACCCACTCTGCATCCTACTGCAGTTTGGAGGAGGATGGACCATGGATGATGGGACTTGCAATCCTATCACTCACATTCTGAGACTGCTGTGCACCTCATCCAATGACTGATCAAGACCAAACTTGGCACATAGACCTCTCATGACCCACTTTACGTTCTGGTGTGGTTTGGCCGGGGATGGACCATGGATTATGGGACTTGCAGTACCTTTGCTCAATTCTTGAGACCACTTCAACCCTCATCCAATTACTGATAAAGACCAAACATGGCACACTGAGTCTCCATGACGCACTCTACATCCTGGTGCGGTTTGGAGGAGGATGCACCATGGACGATGGGACTTGCAGTACCTGCACTCCCTTCCTAAAACCATTACAACTGCTAACAATGATGGATCAGGACTACAATTTACACTGAGAGCCCGCATGACCCAGTCTACTTCCTGGTGCGGTTTGGAAGAATTTGACAATGAATGATGGGACTTGCAGTCACTTCACTCACTTCCTGAGACCACTGGGACCCTCGCCAATGTCCGATCAAGACCAAACTTGGCACACAGAGCCCTCATGACCCACTCTACATCCCGATGCTGTTTGGAGGAGGACAGACGATAGATAATGGGACTTTCAGTACCTTCACTCACTTCCTGAAACCACAGCGACACTTATCCAAATACCAAGAAAGACCAAACCTGGCCCAGAGAGCCCCCTTGGCCAACTCAACATTCTGGTGAGGTTTGGGGGAGAACAGACTATGGATGATGGGACTTTAAGTACCTCCACTCACTTCCCAAGACTTCTGCAACACTCATCCAATGACCAATCAAGACCAAATTGGCGCACAGAGCCCCCATGACGCACTCTACATCCTGTTGCAGTTTGGAGGAGGACGGACCATGGATGATGGGACTTGCAGTACCTTTACTCACTTACTGAAACCACTGCAACCCTAACCAATGACTGATCAAGACCAAACTTAGCACACAGAGCCCCCATGACCCACTCTGCATGCTGATGCAGTTTGAAGGAGGATTTACTTTGGATGATGGGACTTGCAGTACCTTCACTCACTTACTGAAACAACTGCCACCCTCATCCAATGACTGATAAAGACCAAACTTGGCACACAGAGCCCCCATGACCCACTCTATATCCTGCTGCTGTTTGGAGGAGGGTGGACCACAGATGATGGGACTTCAAGTACCTTCACTCACTTCCTGAAAACAATGCAACCGTCATCCCGTATGTCAGATTCTTCCCAAGTGTCTAGGACTGTGTGATGTATCAGTGCATAATGCATGCAAATCTGATTCAGGTGGCCTTTTACAGATGGTGATTTTATAAATGTCAATTGTTTTAAAGTGCAGGCCAAGGTCTTGAGGCACTGCACCCAGTGTGCCGATCACCACTGGGACCCCTTGACTGGCTGGTGCCAGAGTCTTTGCAATTCCATCTTTACATCCTTGTATTGTGTCAGCTTTTCCAGTTGCTTTTCATCCATTCTGCTGTCACCTGGGATTGCAACATCGACAATCCATACTTTGTTCTCCCCCATGATCGCGAGGTCAGGAGTCTTGTGCGCCAAAACTCTGTCAGTCTGAATTCGGAAGTCCCAGAGTAGTTTGATGTGTTCATTTAGTGCGACTTTTTCAGTCTTGTGATCCCACCAGTTCATTGTTGCAGGCAGATGGTGTTTGTAGCACAAGTTCCAATGCATCTGAGTAACAGTGTTGTGCCTCTGCTTGTAGTCCGTCTGCGCAATCTTCTTGCAGCAGCTGAGGATGCGATCCATCATTCTGTCTGCTTCCTTGCAGAAGCCACACTTGGAATCTGTCATTGACTTTTCAATTCTGGCTTTGATGACATTTGTTCTAATGGTTTTGCCCTTTAAGCAGTTTTTTATTATTGACTTCCATCAATGTTGGTTCTTGACTGCCTTTCCCATCATCTACCAGTGCAAGTTTCTCTTTTTTTACCATTTGTTTTACTTGCACAAACCCTCTCTATGCCTCCTGATTTTTTTGGGCGGGTCAATTCTGTCGACATCACTACATGGGTGTCATGAGGAGTGGATTGTCATATGTTTTCTTGTGTTTCTGTCCAGATCATCCAGCTCTCAATTATTATTATGAGTTGTTATATTATTATTATTATTATTATTATTATTATTATTATCATTATCACCCAGCTCTTCCCCTGCGATGGAGAGCTGGACCTATTATTATTACATTTACTATTACTGTATTTATTATTATTATAACATTATTGTTATATTTACTATTATATTTATGTACTAGCTGTCCCCTGCCATGCGTTGCTGTGGCCTTGTCTGTTGATATGGAAAATAAAGTAATGAGAAAGTGTTGGTTTCTAATATATGTAATTTCTTTATGGTTGTGGGTAAACAGTATTTCTTGCTGTTTCTTTTTCAGTGTTGATGTGGAGATTGTCCAGTTTGCCTACTCTGGAACATGCAACATATCATTGTCCTTCTTTAGGGCTCCCTTGTGTGTGTGTGAATCATATCTATCTATATCTATGGCTGAATGGCTCTTTATCAGGAGAGCTTTGATTACATTTTCTTACACGGGTGAAGAGAGTTGGACTGGATGGCCTTGATTATTTTCTGTTGGTCATGGGGGTTCTGTGTGGGAAGTTTGGCCCAATTCTGTCGTTGGTGGGGTTCAGAACACTCTATGATTGCAGGTGAACTATAAATCCCAGTAACTACAACTCCCAAATGTCAAGGTCTATTTCCCCCAAACTCCATCTGTGTTCATATTTGGGCATATTGTGTGCTTGTGCCTATTTTGGTCCAGATCCATCATTGTTTGAGTCGACAGTGCTCTGTGGACGTAGGTGAACTTCAACTCCCAAACTCAAGGTCAATGCCTACCAAACCCTTCCAGTATTTTCTGTTGTTCAAGGGAGTTCTGTGTGCCAAGTTTGGTTCAATTCCATCATTGAAGGAGTTCAGAATGCTCTTTGATTGTAGGTGAAATATAAATCCCAGCAACTACAACTCCCAAATGACAAAATCATATTTTTTGAGTGATGGTCACTCCTTGTGTTGTGAGATGTTTTGTTGCCAAATTTGGTGTGATTTCGTTCATTGGTTCTTTTGTTTTTAAGGCATTCATTATGCACAGAGCATTTTTTTATATATATATGTTATAACCATTATATTATTATTGTTGTTGTTGTTGTTGCTTTCTCACCCAGCTTTCCATGGAGCTGGGTGAGCTATATTGGACCTATTATTATTATTTATTATTATATTTACTACTATTATTATGACCATTATTATTATATTGATGATATCTCCTCAACCAGCTCTTCTCCTGCGATGGTGAAGTCCCGGTCAAGTAGGATCCACTTCCAGACCTATTACTATTGCTATTATTATATATGTACTATTATTATAAATTATTAATCTCACCCAGCACTCCTCTCATGATTGGGAAGTCCCTGTCGAGGAGGACCCACTTCTGGACCTATTGTTACTATAATATTATATTATTATTATATTTATTCTTCTCACCCAGCTCTCCACCGGCGATGGAGAAGTCCTTTTCAAGGAGAGTCCACTTCTGGACCTTCTGTGCGTTGGAGGGGGCATTCTTGTTGACAGCAGTGATGGCCTTCTGGATGGCAGAGTAGACCAGGGGATCACGCAAGTTCACGACCTCGGAGACCTTGGTGGCACGGCTGCCCAGCCGCCGGCAGAACTCCACTGCCTCGGGGGTCATGGTGTCCTCGGGTTCGCCGGACTCCAGGTTCATGGTGCACTGGAGGGAGGAATTGAGGAATGAGAGAGTGCACCACCTGCAGGCCACTGCGGGCATTGCGACCCTGTCTGGCTGTGAGGTCACTCCAGGTCATGCCTACCTCTTACCTACAAGAAGCACTGCCTGAACATCAAGCAAAAAGTGGGTGCTAGAAACAATATCATATGAAAGCTGACTGGCACAACCTGGGGATCACAACCAGACACAGTGAAGACATCTGCCCTTGCGCTATGCTACTCTGCTGCTGAGTATGCATGCCCAGTGTGGAACACATCTCACCACGCTCAAACAGTGGATGTGGCTCTTAATGAGACATGCCGCATCATCACGGGGTGCCTGCGCCCTACACCACTGGAGAATTACACTGCTTAGCCGGTATTGCACCACCTGACATCCGCCGGGAAGTAGCAGCCAATAGTGAAAGGACCAAGGCAGAGACATCTCCAGCTCATCCCTTGTTTGGGTATCAGCCAACACGCCAACGACTTAAATCTAGACATAGTTTTCTAAGATCTACAGAGACACTCGCTGGAACACCTCAGCAAGCGAGAGTCCAAAAGTGGCAGGCCCAAACCCAGCACCTCAACCAATGGCTGATACCCAATGAGAGACTCCCTCCTGGGCACACAGAAGACTGGGCGACTTGGAAGGCACTGAACAGACTGCGCTCTGGCACCACGAGATGCAGAGCCAACCTTCAGAAATGGGGCTACAAAGTGGAATCCTCACATGCGAGTGTGGAGAAGAGCAAACCACTGACCACCTGCTGCAATGCAACCTGAGCCCCTCCACATGCACAATGGAGGACCTTCTTGCAGCAACACCGAAGCACTCCAAGTGGCCAGATACTGGTCAAAGGACATTTAACCAACTACCAAACTCACAAGATGTGTATTTTTCTGTTTGTTTGCTTTGTTCTGTTAGAAATGTGATATATAAAGGACTGTTGCTCTGACACGACAAATAAATGCCTACCTTGAGGGTCAAAAGCATGGAGAGGAACTTGGCCTTGTCGCCCAACAGCATGGCATTGCTCAGGATGGGCAGGGCCTCCTTGACCGCGTCCTCAATGGGCACCGGCGCCACATTCTCACCCCCCGCCGTGATGATCAGCTCTGCAAGGAAGATAACAATAATAATAATAATAATAATAATAATAATAATAATGGAAAAGATATGTATAATCAGTCTATATAGATAAAAATGCAACGTTCGTTCGTGGGATTAATAAACTCACAAACCACAGAACAAACCGATGCCAAATTTGGACACCACACCCCTAACACAACGAGTTACCATCTCAAAAAAAAAAAAAAACACGAAAAAAGCAGACTTCTAAACTCAAAACTCCTACAGGGAGAAGCAGCGCATGTCCACAAAAAGGCACCCTCAGCCCCACCCAGGCCTGTAGCCGGGGCGGGGGGGGTAGGGGTTCACCCCCCCCCCCCCGAATTTTTTCAGGTTAAAAAAAACCTGGTTTACTTATGAATTTTGACTGGTTAACCAAATCCCCATTGCAGTTTGGAGGAGGACGGACGATGGGTGATGGGACTTGCAGTCACTTCACTCACTTCCTGAAACCACAGCGACACTTATCCAAATACCAAGAAAGACCAAACTTGGCACAGAGAGCCCCCATGGCCAACTCAACATTCTGGTGAGGTTTGGGGGAGAACAGACTATGGATGATGGGACTTCAAGTACCTCCACTCACTTCCCAAGACTTCTGCAACACTCAACCAATGACCAATCAAGACCAAATTGGCACACAGAGCCCCCATGGCCCACTCTACATCTTGCTGCAGTTTGGAGGGTTGACCATGGATGATGGGACTTGCAGTACCTTCACTCACTTACTGAAACCACTGCCACCCTCATCCAATGACTGATAAAGACCAAACTTGGCACACAGAGCCCCTATGACCCACTCTATATCCTGCTGCTGTTTGGAGGAGAGTGGACCATGGATGATGGGACTTCAAGTACTTTCACTCACTTCCTGAAAACAATGCAACCGTCATCCAATGACCAATAAAGACCAAACTTGGCATAGAGAACCGCCATTATCCAGTTTCTCTAATAATCCGGGCAAGCTAGTAATAATATATAAGAAAAAAATGAGATAATAATAATAAATGTTATAGTAGTAGTAATATAATGGTAATAGAATAAGAAGAAAGGTGGGTGGGTGCTTTATGATTATTTCTGCAGATATTTTAATGATTATTTCTGGAGATATTTTAATTCTTTCTGCACATCAGATATTTTAATGAATATTTGTGCAGATATTTTAATGGATATTTCAATGAATATTTCTGTAGATTTTTAGTGAATATGTTTTGAATATTTCTACAGATATTTTCAAGTTTGGACCATCTATACAAGAGGAAGAAGGAGAAGAAAGGTGGGTGGGTGGATCCGCACGGCAGAGTGAGCCCAGTTTGTCCCTGACCTTTGATCCTGCCGGTGATGTAGAGGAAGCCGTCGTGGTCGTGCTTGCCCAGGTCTCCCGAGTGCAGCCAGCCCTCCTCGTCAATGGCCTCCTTGGTCTTTTCCTCCATGTTCAGGTAGCCCATGAAGACGTGCCGCCCGAAGAAGCACACCTCGCCCACGCCCTCCGCATCCTTGCGATGCAGCAGTGTTCGGCAGCCCACCATCGGCTTCCCGCAGCTGCAGCCGGGAAAGGGTAGGGGTAAGGGTGAAGGAGGGCAGATGGCATCCACACCAAGCAGTTGGCACACTTCAACCACACTTGCAACAGCCACGGCTCTGCGCCACTGCAAGCCTGGCAAGCCCTCCCTGCAAACTACCCCTGGGAGAGATTGACAGAATAATAATAATAATAATAATAATAATAATATAGTGATAATGGAATATAATAATCATATAACACAATAGGTAGGTAGGTAGTCCCCTGACATTAAGTCCAGTCATGTCTGACTCTGGGGTGTGGTGCTCATCTCCATTTCTAAGCCAAAGAGCAAGCGTTGTCCGTAGACACCTCCAAGGTCATGTGGCCGGCATGACTGCATGGAGCGCCGTTACCTTCCCGCCGGAGCGGTACCTATTGATCTACTCACATTTGCATGTTTTCGAACTGCTAGGTTGGGAGAAGCTAGGGCTGACAGCGGAAGCTCACGCCGCTCCCCGGAATCGAACCTGCGACCTTTCGATCAACAAGCTCAGCAGCTCAGTGCTTTAACCCACTGCGCCACCGGGGGCTCCATAACACAATAATATATAATATTATTATTATGAATTGTCATATTATTAATAACACAATAATATATAATAATATTAATAATATTAATAATATGACAATTCAGAATGATAACCTTTCCTGCAAAATAACCTTGACAGAGAATGGCAAGAAGAAATAATAATGATAATAATATTAGAGACTATAATATGAAATAATAATAAAATTCAAAAAAATATAATACTATAAGACAAAATAATAAAATAAAATAAGAAATACAGTAATAAGAAATAAAAATAATATAATACTATAATAATGATATAATAATAAATACGATAATCTATATAAATAAAAATGTCATGTTTGTTTGTGGGATTAACATAACGCAAAAACCACTGGACAAATTGACACCGAATTTGGACACAATACGTTAACTGTCAGGTTAACGAGTGACCATCACTCATAAAACCACTGAAAAACACAGCAGAAGAGACTTAAAATCGATTTGCCCCAAAGATATAGGAAATTATTGTTTCCATTTGATGTTGGATGTTTTGTCTTATGTCTGTTGTAACAGACTGTGTTTTTATTTAATTTTAGTTTAAGTTATAATTCGTATTTATATGTTGGGTTGGGTTGTATACATTTTGTTAGTATGGATGTATTGTTGTTGTATTCGGGCATTGAATGTTTGCCTTTTATGTTTGGATTGTGTCCTGAGTCCCTTTGGGGAGATAGAGCGGAATATAAATAAAGTTGTTGTTGTTATTATTTTTATTATTATTATTATTAAAAGCCAAAAAACAAAAAATGGATGATGGGACTTGCAGTACCTTCACTCACTTCCTGATTCCACTACAATCCACACCAATGTCTGATCAAGACCAAACCTGGCACACAGAGCCCCCCATGACTCACTTTACATTCTGGTGTGGTTTTGGGGATGACAGACCATAGATGATGGGATTTGCAGCATCTTCATTCACTTCCAGAGGCCACTGCGACTCCCATGCATGTCAGACCTGGACCAAACTTGGCACACAGGACCCCCCATGACCAACAGAACATACTGGAGAAGTTTGGGGGACACTGACCATGATTTACAGGAGTTATAGTTCACCTGCATCCGAAGAAACTGTGACCTCCACTAACAATGGACCGGGAAGCCCCATGACCAGCTGAACACATTGCAAGGCTTTGTGGGAATCGACCATCATTTTGGGAGTTGTAGTTCAGAGAAAGGAGGAAAGCAAAAGCCCAAGAAAGGAGGAAAGCAAAAGGAAACAGTGACAGGGGGAGATATGCCCAGTTAAATGCGCAATTCCAGAGGTTACCCAGAAGAGATAAGGAACTATTTTTAAATAAGCAATGCATGGAAGTGGAAGAAGACAACAGAATAGGAAGGACAAGAGACCTCTTCCAGAAACTTAGATACATTGGAGGTAAATTTCAGGCAAAAATTGGTATAATAAGAAACAAAGATGGCAGGGACCTAACAGAAGCTGAAGAGATCAAGAGAAGGTGGCGAGACTATACAGAAGATCTGTATAGGAAGGATAATAATATTGAGGATAGCTTTGACGGTGTGGGGAGCGAAATAGAACCAGACATCCTGAGGAGTGAGGTTGAATGGGCCTTAAGAAGCATTGCTAACAACAAGGCAGCAGGAGACGATGGGATCCCAGCTGAACTGTTTAAAAAGATGATGCTGTCAAGGTGATGCATGCCATATGCCAGCAAATATAGAAAACACAAGAATGGCCATCAGACTGGAAAAAATCAACTTATATCCCCATACCAAAAAAGGGAAATGCTAAAGACTGCTCAAACTTCCGTACAGTGGCCCTTATTTCTCATGCCAGTAAGGTAATGCTCAAGATCCTGCAAGGAAGACTCCAGCAATACATGGAGAGAGAGTTGCCAGACATTCAAGCTGGGTTTAGAAAAGGCAGAGGAACGAGAGACCAGATTGCCAATATCCGCTGGATAATGGAGAAAGGCAGGGAGTTTCAGAAAAACATCTACTTCTGCTTCATTGACTATTCTAAAGCCTTTGACTGTGTGGATCATAATAAATTATGGCAAGTTCTTGGTGGGATGGGCATCCCAAGCCACCTTGTCTCTCTCCTGAGGAATCTGTACAAGGACCAAGTAGCAACAGTCAGAACTGACCACGGAACAACAGACTGGTTCAAGATTGGGAAAGGCGTACGGCAAGGCTGCATACTCTCACCCAACCTTTTTAACTTGTATGCAGAACACATCATGCGATGTGCGGGGCTTGAGGAATGCAAAGCTGGGGTGAAAATTGCTGGAAGAAACATTAACAACCTCAGATATGCAGATGACACCACTCTGATGGCCGAAAGCGAGGAGGAGCTGAGGAGCCTTCTAATCAAGGTGAAAGAAGAAAGCGCAAAAGCTGGGTTGCAGCTAAACATCAAAAAAACCAAGATTATGGCAACAAGAATGATTGACAACTGGAAAATAGAGGGAGAAAATGTGGAGGCCGTGACAGACTTTGTATTTTTAGGTGCAAAGATTACTGCAGATGCAGACTGTGGCCAGGAAATCAGAAGACGCTTCCTTCTTGGGAGGAGAGCAATGTCCAATCTCGATAAAATAGTCAAGAGTAGAGACATCACACTGGCAACAAAGATCCGCCCAGTCAAAGCCATGGTATTCCCTGTAGTCACCTACGGATGTGAGAGCTGGACCTTAGGGAAGGCTGAGCGAAGGAAGATCGATGCTTTTGAGCTGTGGTGTTGGAGGAAAGTTCTGAGAGTGCCTTGGACTGCGAGAAGATCCAACCAGTCCATCCTCCAGGAAATAAAGCCCGTCTGCTCACTGGAGGGAAAGATACTAGAGACAAAGTTGAAGTACTTTGGCCACATCATGAGGAGACAGCAAAGCCTGGAGAAGACAATGATGCTGGGGAAGTGGAAGGCAAAAGGAAGAGGGGCCGACCAAGGGCAAGATGGATGGATGGCATCCTTGAAGTGACTGGACTGACCTTGAAGGAGCTGGGGGTGGTGACGGCCGACAGGGAGCTCTGGCGTGGGCTGGTCCATGAGGTCACGAAGAGTCGGAGGCAACTGAACGAATGAACAACAACAGTTCAGAGAGCACTGAACCCAACCAACACCGGATCTGGACCAAACTAGACACATCGATACAACATGACCAACTGTGCATACAGGCCTAGTTTGGGGAGGATTTATCCACAATTCTTGGAATTGTAGTTCACTCACATCGCTATGCATTTTCTAATGAGCACATTCATACAAAAACAAAAACAAAAACTGGATTTTTTCTAATAACTAAATGAGATTACTTTCCACCACAAAACAAACAATGCCTTTTTCAAATAACCCAGGCATTGCTGAGTACCCAAGCTAGAACAATAATAATAGCAATAACAATAGCAATAATACTACCATCACCCCCACCCCTATGCACCCTCCATTAATTCTCCCAGGCTGGTCCCAGAGTGGTCTCCGCGCAACCCCTGACCTAGTGATGCGGAAGGCGCCGGCGTGGGAGACAGTGTGTGGGCCGGTACTCTCGCTCATGCCGTAAAGCTCATAGACGGGGATGTCCAGGCTGAGGAAGTACTCCAACGTCTCCCGAGCGATGGGGGCGGCCGCCGTGTAGCACCGGGTGCAGCGCTCCAGCCCCAGAGCCTTGCGCACCTTCCGGTACACTAGCGCACGCGCAAAGCGGTACTTCAGCGGCTCCTCCGGCGACCTGCAAGGGTGAGGCAGAGGCAAGACAGTGTCAGGGCAAAGTCGGTGCTAAGGTATTGCAAAGGCAATGCAAAGTTGGTGCAAAGGCAATGCAAAATCAGAACAAAGGTACTGCAAAGTCAGTGCAAAGGTACTGCAAAAGTAATGTAAAGCTAATGCAAAATAGGTGCAAATACAATGCAAAGTTAGTGCAAAGTAAGGGAAGAGGTCATGCAAAGGCAATGCAAAATCAATGCAATGCTAAGGCAAGGGAAAAGCAATGCATAGTAGGTGCAAAGGATATGCAAATAATAATATGAAATAATGATAAAATAATAATAATATATTAAAATAATATGATGCCTCATATAACATTATAACATCTCTATATATATAAATGCTCTGTGCATAATGAGTACCTTAAAAGCAAAAGAACCAATGAACGAAATCACACCAAATTTGACAACAAAACATCTCACAACGCAAGGAGTGACCATCACTCAAAAAATTATGAATTTGTCATTTGGGAGTTGTAGTTGCTGGGATTTATAGTTCACTTACAATCAAAGAGCATTCTGAACTCCATCAACGATGGAATTGAACCAAACTTGGCACATAGGCCTCCCATGACCAACAGAAAATACTGGAAGGGTTTGGTGGGCATTGACCTTGAGTTTTGGAGTTGTAGTTCACCTTCATCCAGAGACCACTGTGGACTTAAATAATGATGGATCTGGACCAAACTTGGCACAAGCACCAAATATGAACACAGATGAAGTTTGGGGGAAATAGACCTTGACATTTGGGAGTTGTAGTCACTGAGATTCACAGTTCACCTACAATCAAAGAGCATTCTGGACCCCACGAATGACAGAATTGGGGCAAACATCCCACACAGAACCCCCATGACCAAGAGAAAATACTTAAGGCCATCCAATCCAACTCCCTTCATCAGGGCAAGAAAAGGTAATCAAAGTCCTCCTGACAAAGAGCCATCCAGCCATAGATAAATAAATAGAGAGAGAGAGAGAGAGAGAGAGAGAGAGAGAGATAGATAGATAGATAGATAGATAGATAGATAGGGAGTTGTAGTTGCTGGGATTTATAGTTCACCTACACTCAAATAGAATGATAGAATTGAACCAACCGGGGCATACAGGACTTCCAGGACCAACAGAAAACACTAGAAGGGTTGGGTGAGCATTGACCTTGAGTTTGGGAGTTGTAGTTCACCTACATCCAGAGACTACCATGGACTCAAACAATGATGGATCTGAACCAAACTTGGCACGAATATTCCATGTACCCAAATATGAACATAGTTTGGGGGAAATAGACCTTGACATTTAGGAGTTGTAGTTACAGGGATTTATAGTTCACCTACAATCAAAGAGTGTTCTGAACCCCACCAACGACAGAATGGGGCCAAACCCTCTACGTCCCACCTCGGAGTTTAAGATCTTCTGGGGAGGCCCTGCTCTCGACCCCGCCTCTATCACAAGTGAGGCTGGTGGGGACGAGGAGCAGGGCCTTCTCGGTGGTGGCCCCTCACCTGTGGAATTCACTCCCGGGGAGATTAGATCGGCGACTTCCCTCTTGTCATTTAGAAAAAAATTGAAAACTTGGATGTGGGACCAGGCATTTGGACGTTCTGGCAGCTAGAGGAAGGACCTTGATGATGGACAGGAATTGACTGAACGGAATGGATTTATGGAACTCTGAACACTGAGCATGAGATTAGTTTACTGATTGTGTTATGTACTGATGATTTTAACCTGTTAATTGTTCAATTGCTGTTTTGTATGTATGTATATTTGACATAGGCCTTCTTTGTAAGCCACCCTGAGTCCCCCCTCGGGGGTCAGAAGGGCGGGGTAGAAGTAATCGAAATAAATAAATAAAATAAATAAACTTCCCACACAGAACCCCCATGACCAACGGAAAATACTCAAGGCCATCCAGTCCAACTCCCTTCACCAGGGCAAGAAAAAGTAATTAAAGCCCTCCCGACAAAGAGCCATCCAGCCATAAATATAGATAGATATGATTCACAAACATACCTAATATCATAGATTTGAAAGGGATCCACGAAGAAGGACAATGATATGTGGAATGTTCCAGAGTAGGCAAATCAGATAATATATAATGTGAAATAATAATAAAACAATAATACAAGATATACAATATGAAATCAGAAAATAATAAAATAAAATAATACAATATGATATATAATATGAAATCAGAAAATAATAATTAAATAACAATTCACCAAAGCCCTACAGGGGGCCGCGATCCCTGCAGAGGTCRCCCCCCCCCCCCACTGGAAACCCACCCCTTGCTAATAAAATGAAATGCAATGTAAAGTCAGTGCAAAGGTAATGCAATGCAAAGTCAGAGCAGAGGTCATGCAAAGTTTGCACCAAGTCAGTGCAAAGGTGATGCAACGTCAGTTCAAAGGTAATGCAAAGTCAGAGCAAAGGTAAGGAAGATGGGGGTCCTGACCCAGTCATGCGCTTGAGGTTGGTCTCCAGCCCAACAGCCTTGGCCCATGCAGCCAGGCGGCGCTTGAGGGCCGAGTTCTTGGCCCCAACGGCCTTCATGCGCTCCTGCATCTTCTCCCAGACACGTGGGACGCCCAGGAAGGCTGTGGGCTGCACCTCCTTCAGCGTCTCCACCAGCGTGCCCTGCAAAATCGTCATAAAAAGAATCACAAATATAATAATAACCATAATAATAATAATAATAATAATAATAATGTATATATAATAGTAGTAATAGGTTCAGAAGTGGGTCGTCCTCACCAGGGTCTTCTCCATTGCAGGAGCAAAGCTGGGTGAAAATACATAATAACGATAATAATGATAATAATAATTGTAGTTACAATAAAATATAATAACTATAATTAATATAATAACTCCAGCAATACATGGAGCGAGAGTTGCCAGATGTTCAAGCTGGGTTTAGAAAAGGCAGAGGAACGAGAGACCAGATTGCCAATATCCGCTGGATAATGGAGAAAGGCAGGGAGTTTCAGAAAAACATCTACTTCTGCTTCATTGACTATTCTAAAGCCTTTGACTGTGTGGATCATAATAAATTGTGGCAAGTTCTTAGTGGGATGGGCATCCCAAGCCACCTTGTCTCCCTCCTGAGGAATCTGTACAAGGACCAAGTAGCAACAGTCAGAACTGACCACGGAACAACAGACTGGTTCAAGATTGGGAAAGGCGTACGGCAAGGCTGCATACTCTCACCCAACCTTTTTAACTTGTATGCAGAACACATCACATCATGTGCGGGGCTGGATGAATGCAAAGCTGGGGTAAAAATTGCTGGAAGAAACATTAACAACCTCAGATATGCAGATGACACCACTCTGATGGCCGAAAGCGAGGAGGAGCTGAGGAGCCTTCTAATCAAGGTGAAAGAAGAAAGCGCAAAAGCCGGGTTGCAGCTAAACGTCAAAAAAACCAAGATTATGGCAACAAGAATGATTGACAACTGGAAAATAGAGGGGGAAACCGTGGAGGCCGTGACAGACTTTGTATTTCTAGGTGCAAAGATTACTGCAGATGCAGACTGTAGCCAGGAAATCAGAAGACGCTTACTTCTTGGGAGGAGAGCAATGTCCAATCTCGATAAAATAGTAAAGAGTAGAGACATCACACTGGCAACAAAGATCCGCCTAGTCAAAGCCATGGTATTCCCTGTAGTAACCTACGGATGTGAGAGCTGGACCTTAGGGAAGGCTGAGCGAAGGAAGATAGATGCTTTTGAACTGTGGTGTTGGAGGAAAGTTCTGAGAGTGCCTTGGACAGCGAGAATATCCAACCAGTCCATCCTCCAGGAAATAAAGCCCGACTGCTCATTGGAGGGAAGGATACTAGAGACAAAGTTGAAGTACTTTGGCCACATCATGAGGAGACAGGAAAGCCTAGAGAAGACAATTATGCTGGGGAAAGTGGAAGGCAAAAGGAAGAGGGGCCGACCAAGGGCAAGATGGATGGATGGCATCCTTGAAGTGACTGGACTGACCTTGAGGGAGCTGGGGGTGGTAATGGCCGACAGGGAGCTCTGGCGTGGGCTGGTCCATGAGGTCACGAAGAGTCGGAGACGACTGAACGAATGAACAACAACAACAATATAATAATATAATAATAAATATGATTTAGAATAAATACAAAAGTTATAATAAAAATATAATAAACATAATAATTGTAATAATAATAAATATAATAATAAATATACAATAATATATGTTATAATAAAAATATAACAATAAAAATAATAATATAATAACAAATTTATAATAATAAATATAATAGTTAAAATTAAATATAAATATAAAAGTTACAATACTAAATAAATATAACAATAATACATATAATAATAGCTATAGTCAAATATAATAAATATAATAATAAAAATAATAAATATAATCATAATAATATAATACATTTATAATAAATAATAAATATAATAATAGTTATAATAACAATCAATTAAAATAGTAGCATCAATAATAAATATAATAGCAAATATATAATAAGATAATTAATATAATAATAGCTATATAATATAATATATACAACAATAACAACAACAACAATAAAAAATTTTATAATCCTAATTTGTGGGAGTCCAAAACACTGTCTGGCTATGGAGACTCCCCGGATGGAGGGACTACCTTGAGGGCATCTGGCTGAGCGAAGGCAGTCAGGACACCGAAGGTCAAGGGCAGCCAGATGTCAATCATTTGAGCCGCAATGTGGCTGAGCGGCAGGTAGCTGACCACCACTTCCTGCTGCTGTGCCGTGCCTTCAATCAGGTTCACAAACTCCCCCGCAGCACGCGCCGTCCACGTGATCTGCAGCAAGGAGATTTTTTTTTTTCGTGTCAGGAGCGACTTGAGAAACTGCAAGTCGTTTCTGGTGTGAGATTTAAGGGGTTTTTTTTCGTGTCAGGAGCGACTTGAGAAACTGCAACGTCGCTTCTGGTGTGAGAGAATTGGTCTGCAAGGACGTTGCCCAGGGGACGCCCGGATGATTTGATGTTTTACCATCCTTGTGGGAGGCTTCTCTCATGTCCTCGCATGGAGAGCTGGAGCTGACAGAGGGAGCTCACCCGCATTCTCCCCGAATTCGAACCTTCAGTTCTACCGGCACAAGGGTTTAACCCACTGTGTCACCGGGAGCTCCAGCACGGAGAATGAGTCAGTATTACTATCATCATCATCATCATCATCATGCTCTCCTCTATCTAGCGGGAAGCTTTCTAGCAGCCCTGGGGGAAAAGACCTGGGGAGACTCATTATTGTTATATTATTAACATATATTTATATGCTATTGTATTGTGACTATTGTACTTAATTATATCATCTATATTAATATGTATTTATATTTAATTATAGTAATGTTATATTATATATTATTATACTGATATCTAATTGCATTATTAAATTTTATTATATTATTTATTTTATTCAATATTATAGTTATCAAATTATCATTACATATTTATGTTTCATTATATTCTATAGTATTATATTTCATTAGGTAAAGGTAGTCCCCTGACATTAAGTCCAGTCATGTCTGACTCTGGGGTGTGGTGCTCATCTCCATTTCTGAGCCAAAGAGCCTGCATTGTTTGTAGACACCTCCAAGGTCATGTGGCCAGCATGACTGCATGGAGAGCCATTACCTTCCCTTCGTGCCAGAGCAGTACCTATTGATCTACTCACATTTGCATGTTTCGAACTGCTAGGTTGGCAGAAGCTGGGCTACAGCCAGAGCTCACCCCGCTCCCCGGAATCGAACCTGCGACCTTTCGTCAACAAGCTCAGCAGCTCAGTGCTTTAAAAACAGCCTTCTACTGATTATATTTCATTACTATATTGATATTTAATTCCATTATAATATCCATATTTAGTTATATGATACATTATATATTTAAATTTTATCCAATATTATAATGATTATATAATATATTATAATATTGATATTTAATTGCATTATTATATATTAAATTATTATACAATATATATTATATCTCATTATATATTAAGATTTTTATCTTAAATGTTATATATTTACATTTTATATTATATTTTATTGTTATATTGATATTTAACTATATTGTATATTGTATTATTAATTGTATTATTATATTGATACTTTATTGTAATATAATATGTTATTTATTATTTATTTAAAGCATTTATATTCCACCCTTCTCACCCTGGAGGGGACTCAGAGGGGAGCACAACATACAAACGGCAAGCATTCAATGTCAGGATATAAATAAATAATATGCATACATAAAATATTAAATTATATTGTACAATATATATTTTATTATATTTTATGGTTATTATCCAATATATTGATGGGTATTTATGTTTTATATTATGTATTATGTTTTATTTATTTATTTTATTTATCTTGTCATCCATACCATTGTATTACATTTCTAACAGAACAAAACAGACAGATATAAAACACAGATTTTGCAAACTTGGTAGTTGATTAAATGTCCTTTGACCAGTATCTGGCCACTTGGAGTGCCTCTGGTGTTGCCGCAAGAAGGTCCTCCGTTGTGCATGTGGCAGGGCTCAGGTTGCATTGCAGCAGGTGGTCAGTGGTTTGCTCTTCTCCACACTCGCATGTCGTGGATTCCACTTTGTAGCCCCATTTCTTAAGATTGGCTCTGCATCTCGTGGTGCCAGAGCGCAGTCTGTTCAGCGCCTTCCAAGTCGCCCAGTCTTCTGTGTGCCCAGGGGGGAGTCTCTCATCTGGTATCAGCCACGGATTGAGGTGCTGGGTTTGAGCCTGCCACTTTTGAACTCTCGCTTGCTGAGGTGTTCCAGCGAGTGTCTCTGTAGATCTAAGAAAACTATTTCTTGATTTAAGTCGTTGACGTGCTGGCTGATACCCAAACAAGGGATGAGCTGGAGATGTCACTGCCTTGGTCCTTTCACTATTGGCTGCTACTTCCCGGTGGATGTCAGGTGGTGCAATACCGGCTAAACAGTGTAATTTCTCCAGTGGTGTAGGGCGCAGACACCTCGTGATAATGCGGCATGTCTCATTAAGAGCCACATCCACTGTTTTAGTGTGGTGAGATGTGTTCCACACTGGGCATGCGTACTCAGCAGCAGAGTAGCATAGCGCAAGGGCAGGTGTCTTCACTGTGTCTGGTTGTGATCCCCAGGTTGTGCCAGTCAGCTTTCGTATGATATTGTTTCTAGCACCCACTTTTTGCTTGATGTTCAGGCAGTGCTTCTTGTAGGTCAGAGCACGGTCCAAAGTGACTCCCAGGTATTTGGGTGCGCTGCAATGCTCCAGTGGGATTCCTTCCCAGGTAATCCTCAGAGCTCGGGATGCTTGTCTGTTCTTAAGGTGAAAGGTGCATGTCTGTGTTTTAGATGGATTAGGGATCAGCTGGTTTTCCCTGTAATAGGCAGTAAGAGCACCTAGAGCTTCGGATAGCTTCTGTTCAACCATCTCAAAGCTCCCTGCTTGAGCAGTAATGGCACGATCATCAGCATAGATGAAACTCTCTGTCCCTTCTGGCAGTGGCTGGTCATTTGTGTAGATGTTGAACATGGATGGAGCAAGCACGCTCCCCTGAGGCAGGCCGTTCTTCTGTTTCCGCCATCTGCTTCTCTGGCCCTGGAACTCCACAGAAAAGCTCCTGTTTTGTAGCAGGTTTCCTATGAGGTGGGTGAGGTGGTAGTCCTTTGTGATATTATACATTTTTCTCAGGAGGAGGCGGTGGTTCACAGTATCATAAGCTGCTGACAGGTCTATGAAGACAGCTCCTGTGATCTGCTGCCTTTCAAAGCCATCTTCTATGTGCTGAGTCAGGTTCAACACTTGTGATGTGCAGCTTTTGCCTTTCCTCATCTTCTATGTGCTGAGTCAGGTTCAGCACTTGCGATGTGCAGCTTTTGCCTTTCCTGAAGCCAGCTTGCTGTGGAATCAGACATGGGTGTATTTTTTCTATAATTCTATGCAGACAGACAGCTGATTCGTAGACAGCTGATTCTCTCACACCAGAAGCATCTTGCAGCATGCAACCAATAATAATAATTATAAAGAATAAAAATAAAAAAATCATAATCATCACTTTTGCAGAGAGAAAAATAATAATAATATAATAATAATAGATGAAAATACTGTAATGTCAGGTTCAACACTTGTCTATGAAGACCTGTCTATGAAGTGGGACATGAGAGAAGCCTCCTCGCAGGATTGCAAGACATCCGGGCGTCCCCTGGGCAACGTCTTCGTAGATGGCTGATTCTCTCGCCACAGAAGCAACCAGAAGCAATTCTGTTTTATAATAACTATATTATATATTGTGATATTTTATTATTTATTGTATTATACTGATATATATTGATATTTTATTATATTATATAGTCTATACATCATTCTATTTTTATTTATGTATATGTTATATTATATAAAATATCTCTGTGTGTGCATTGTCATTATTATTATTATTATTATTGCTACTCCTGCTACTCTCTGATCCTCCCCCTCTGCTCTCCTCTGCCTAACTTCAGCATGAGCTTTGGGGAAAACCCGTCTTGTTGTGATGTAACTGAGTTTTGTGACTGACTCACGTTGTCGTGGCTGAGCATGACACCCTTGGGGTCCCCCGTGGTGCCGGAGGTGTAGATGAGGGTGCAGCACTGGTTGGGCACCTGCGAGGCAATGGCTACGTCCAGCACGTCCTCCGGGATGGAGGCGCCCAGCGCAAGGAACTCACTCCACTGCAACACAGGATAGGGAATCAGACATAAAATGTGTGTATGTGGCAGAGGTGCCCACTTACACACCAAAGACCTCCCTCCAAGGACACTGCAGGTTACAGCGGGCGCCATGATGCAGCAAGAATTTTATATATATATACATACACACACACACATAGTATAATAATGTACAATATTAAAAAATAATAATACTTTAATAAAAATAATATAATAATATTGTATGATAATAATAAATGTAACTATATAAATAAGGATGAGGATGCTTGCCATAGATGCAGGCGAAACGTCAGGAGAGAATGCCTCTAGACCATGGCCATATAGCCCGAAAAAACCTACAACAACCCAGTGATTCCGGCCATGAAAGCCTTCGACAATACAATGTAATGTTCGTTTGTGGGATTAACATAACTCAAAAATCACTGGACGAATTGACACCAAATTTGGACACAATACACATATCAGGCCAACGAGAGACCATCACTCATAAAAACATGCAAAAAACACAGCAGAAGAGACTTAAAAGGCCAAAAAACAAAAAACAAACATTACAATGCATGCGGAAAACCACATATATATACGCAAACACACATATACACCAATATATACACACACAAAACACCTATACACAGACTGTGCCACAGCAGCGCATGGCAGGGGACGGCTAGTGTACAATAAACAATATAACAAAAATATTTCAACAAGAATAATAACAAATATTATATATATATATATATATATATATATATATATATATATAGTATAATAAAATACAAAAATAATATAAAACTTTAATAATAATAATAATAATAATAATAAGACAAAGAGACAGATGTGCCTAAGCGTGAAGCCGGGAGCCAAGCAGCGACTCCCAAGTCCTTAATAATAATAATAATAATAATAATAATAATAATAAACCTTTATTAATACCCCGTGACCATCTCCCGCAGGACTCGGTGCGGCTTACAAGAGGCCAAGCCCAAATACATCATAAAACATAACAATACAACAATAAATAACTCATAACAAAGCAAAACAATACAACAATGACGCGACACGATGCAATTATTATTAAGGACTTGGGAGTCGCTGCTTGGCTCCCGGCTTCACGCTTAGGCACATCTGTTTCTTTGTATTATTATTATTATTATTATTATTATTATTATTATTGTTGTTTTATATTATTTTTGTATTTTATTATACTATATATATATATAATATTTGTTATTATTATTGCGGAAATGTTAATTTTGTTATATTAAAATCTGTGGCAATTAAAAACCTGTGGCAGGGCCAAATGTAAGAATTAAAATTTTAATTCCTTAAAATTAAAATTTAAGTCCTTAAAGCTTCTTACAGTTAAAGCTGATTGCAAATCACAGTAATTTCAAGGAAACTCAATAAATATAAACCAAAAATAAGCCAGCTAACCCTACCGAATAGAGATTAGGCATCTTCTCCTTGATCCTTTCACCGTATTGGATGATGGCCTTCAGGAGGGGAAGCTTGCTCTTCACCTGGAAGAAAAGGAAGTGAGATGTTGCCAAAGGAAGAAAAGGAAGGGAGATCCGTGGGTTGCTGTGAGTTTTCCGGGCTGCCTGCCCATGTTCCAGGTGCACTCTCTCCTGACGTTTCGCTTTCATCTATAGGATCTCCCTGTGACCAGCACTCAAAAAATTATGATTTTGTCATTTAGGAGTTGTAGTTGCTGGGATTTATAGTTTGCCTACAATCGAAGAGCATTCTGAACTCCATCAACGATGGAATTGAACCAGATTTGGCACACAGAACTCCCTTGACCAACAGAAAATACTGAGACGGTTTGGTGGGCATTGACCTTGAGTTTGGGAGTTGTAGTTCACCTACATCCGAGAGAGTACTGTGGACTCAAACAATGATGGATCTGGACCAAACTTGGCACGAATATTCCATATGCCCAACTAGGAACACAGATGGAGTTTGGGGAAAATAGACCATGACATTTGGGAGTTGTAGGCACTGGGATTCACAGTTCACCTACAATCAAAGAGCGTTCTGAACCCCACCAACAGAATTGGGCCAAACTTCCCACATAGAACCCCCATGACCAACAGAAAACACTTAAGGCCATCCAATCGAACTCCCTTTATCAGGGCAAGAAAACGTAATCAAAGCCCTCCTGACAAAGAGCCATCCAGCCATAGATATAGATAGATAGATGATTGATTGATAGATAGATAGATAGAGATGTAATTCATACACACACAGATATAGTATCATAGACTTGAAAGGGACCCTTAAAAAAGGACAATGATATTTTATTTATTTATTTAAAAGTTTTATATAACGGCCTTCTCACCTCTCTTGAGGGACTCAGGCCGGTTTCCAACCATAATATCACAGACAATCAATAAAACATCGTAATTCATATTACAGTAAAACATTAAAACAGCAGTTACAATCAATAACTACAGTGGTCAGTCGTCACACTAAAATCTTGCATGTACCACGGTGGGCAAACCAAACACTCTCCACATCAACACTGACAAAGAAACAGCAAGAAATACTGTTTACCCACAAGCATAAAGAAATTACATATGTTAGAAACCAACCCTTTCTCATTACTTTATTTTCCAGATTAACAGACTGGGCCACAGCAATGTGTGGCAGGGGATAGCTAGTGATAAACAAAAAATCAATCCCTGGCCTCACACAGCTTTCTCAGGGTCTCTTCTCGTACCTATTAATTATTATTACTATTAATATCACTATTACTATTGTAATAATAATAATAATAGTAATAATATAATTTGGTGGGATCATAATAATTTGGTGGGATCATAAACCCGCAAAGGTCATGGAAAACGAACACGCAAAAATACTGTGGGACTTTCGAATCCAGACTGACAAAGTTTTGGAACACAATACACCAGACATCACGATTGTGGAAAAGAAAAAAGTCTGGATTATTGACGTCGCCATACCAGGTGACAGTCGCATTGAGGAAAAACAACAGGAAAACTCAGCCGCTATGAAGACCTCAAAATCGAACTGCAAAGTTTCTGGCATAAACCAGTCCAGGTAGTCCCAGTGGTTATCAGCACACTGGGTGCCATGCCAAAAGATCGGACGGCATTTGGAAACAATAAACATTGACAAAATCACTATCAGTCAACTGCAAAAGGCCACCTGACTTGTGATTTTTGATACAAAATCCAGCATATAGATCTCGTTTGTTGAGAACAAGCCCTATGAGGAGCGGCTTAAGGAGCTGGGCATGTTTAGCCTGAAGAAGAGAAGGTTGAGAGGAGATATGATAGCCATGTATAAATACGTGAGAGGAAGCCACAGGGAGGAGGGAGCAAGCTTGTTTTCTGCTTCCCTGGAAACTAGGACGCAAAACAATGGCGTCAAACTACAAGAAAGGAGATTTCATCTGAACATGAGGAAGAATTTCCTGACTGTGAGAGCCGTTCAGCCGTGGAACTCTCTGCCTCGGAGTGTGGTGGAGGCTCCTTCTTTGGAAGCTTTTAAACAGAGGCTGGATGGCCATCTGTCAGGGGTGATTTGAATGTAATATTCCTGCTTCTTGGCAGAATGGGGTTGGACTGGATGGCCCATGAGGTCTCTTCCACCTCTTTGATTCTATGTGCACAGACAACGTTGTCATCAGCATATTGGAGCTCTATAACAGATGATGTTGTAACCTTGGATTTGGCTTTCCGTCTGCTGAGACTATATAGCTTGCCATCTGTCTGGTAGATGATTTCCACTCTGGTGGGAAGCTTCCCATCAACAAGATGAAGTATCATAGCGATGATACTATATTATATTATATTATATTATATTATATTATATTATATTATATTATTATAGACAATCACAATTGGCTCATGCAGATAATAGTTCTTTCTCCCACCCTGGATATAATTCCACAGATATATAAACCGCATTGGCCTAGTTTCCAACAGACCTCACAACCTCTGAGGCTGCCTGCCATAGATGTGGGTGAAATGTCAGGAGAGAATGCTGCTGGGACATGGCCAGACAGCCCGGAAAATGTACAGGAATGAAGGAAGGTTTTCTGGAGATTCCCTGGATTGCTCACCTCCAAAATCTTCTGCAGCTGCTTGTCGTTTTCGACCACGATGATATTGGCGCTGCAGTTTTCCGCAACATATTTGCAAGCCTCTGGGGAATTGGTGGTATAGATGCCGACGGCAAAGCCCCTAGGAAAGCAAGAGTTATTATTGTTATTAATATGTTATTAACCTATATAAATAAAAATGTATTGTTAGTTTGTGCTACCATCAGAACTCAAAAACCACTGGGGGAATTGACACCAAATTTGGACACAAGACACCTAACAACCCAATGTATGTCCTCCACTCAAAAAATTTATTTTGTCATTTGGGAGTTGTAGTTGCTGGTATTTATAGTTTACCTACAATCAAAGAACATTCTGAACTTCATCAATGATGGAATTGGGCCAAACTTAGCACACAGGGCTCCCGTGACCAACAGAACACACTGGAAGGGTTTGGTGGGCATTGACCTTGAGTTTGGGAATTATAGTTCACCCACATCCAGAGAGCACTGTGGACTCAAACAATGATGGATCTGGACCAAACTTGACACAAAAATTCCATATGCCTAAATATGAACACAGATGGAGTTTGGAAGAAATAGACCTTGACAAACCCTTCCAGTGTGTTCTCTTGGTCATCGAACCATGTTTGGTTCAATTCCATCATTGGTGGAGTTCAGAATGCTCTTTGATTGTAGGTGAACTATAAATCTCAGCAACTACAACTCCCAAATGTCAAGGTCTATTTCCCTTAAATTCCACCAGTGTTTACATTTGGGCATATTGAGTTTTCATGCCACGTTTGGTCCAAATCTATAATTGTTTGAGTCCACAGTGATCTCTGGATGTAGGTGAACTACAACTCCCAAACTCAAGGTCAATGCCCAACAAACCCTTCCATTAATTTCTGTTGGTCATGGGAGTTTTGTGTGCCAAGTTTGGTTGAATTCCATCATTGGTGGAGTTCAGAACGCTCTTTGATTGTAGGTGAACTATAAATCCCAGCAACTACAACTCCCAAATGTGAAGGTCTATTTTTCCCAATCTCCACCAGTGTTCGCATTTGGGCATATTGAGCATTAGTGTCACATTTGGTTCAGATCCATTGGTCTTTGGATTCACAGTGCTCGCTGGATGTAGGTGAACTACGACTCCAAAACTCAAGGTCAATGCCCACCAAACCCTTATGGTTATGGTTGGGGGTCACCACAACATGAGGAACTGTATAAAGGGGTCGCGGCATTAGGAAGGTTGAGAACTACTGTCCTAGATGCTATGGTTTTCCTCCAAAACAGACATCCCAGTGTTTCTTAGTCTTTCCATTTGTGTGAAATTTGCATGACCTCACCCACTGCCTCTCCCTTAACCCTTTCCTATGGCACACAGCAAACAGTAACTGAACATGCATACTAGAAATGTTTGGGGAAAATTCACCATGATTTATAGGAGTTGTAGGTCCTGGGATGTATAGTTCACCTGCAATCTAAGAACTGCACTCTGAACTCTACCAACAATGGACCTGGAACAAACTTGGTACATAGAACCCCCATGATCCACAAAAAATACTGGAGGTCTTTGGAGGGATTTAGAGGAGATGTAGTTCACCTACATCCAGATGAACCCAAACAATGATCTGGACCAAACTTGGAATGCATACCCAGTATGCCCAAATTTCAGTACTGGTGGGTTTTGAGGGGAATTGGCCTGGGCATTTTGGAGTTGTGGGTACTGGGATTTATAGCTCACCTGCAATCCATGAATCCTCTGAACTCCACCAAAGATGGAATGAGACCAAACTTGGAACAGAGCCCCAATGACCAGCGAATAATACTGGAGGTCTTTAGGGGAAATTCACCTTGATTTGGGGTTCATCTACATCCAAAAAGCACTGTGAACCCAAACATCAATGGATCTAGACCAGTGGTTCTCAACCTGTGGGTCCCCAGGTGTTTTGGCCTACAACTCCCAGAAATCCAGCTGTTAGGATTTCTGGGAGTTGAAGGTCAAAGCATCTGGGGACTCCAGGTTGAGAACCACTGATCTAGACCATACTTGGTGCACCTACCTGATATGCCAAAATTTGATTACCGGAGGTGTTTGGGGGCGGGATGACCTCCCTCTGGGAGTTGTAGTTCACCTACAATCAGGGAAACTGTTACCTCCACAGATGATGAACCTGGACCAAACTTGGCACACAGAGCCCCCATGACTAACTCAACGTACTGGAGGGGTTGAGGGGACTGACTCACCATAGTGGGAGTTGTAGTTCACCCTACAGCCAGAGAGCACACTGAACCCCACCCCTGATGCATCCAAAGCAAACTTGACCAACATCACAAACTTTAAGCACTGATGGAGTTTCAGGGGGTTAACCTGGCATGATGGGAATTGTAGCTCACCCACAACCTCATGCATTTTGTACAATTAAAAATTGATTTTTTCAAATAACCCAGTTTTAATACAAACAAACCCATTTTCATTGGGTTTTTCTTACCCGGCAAGAATGGCTGCGATGTCAGAGATGAACCATTCGACTGAATTGAACCCCAGAATGCAGACGCCATGAAAACGGTCTAGGCCCAGCTGCCGAAAAAAGATAGAAAGAAAGGAAAATAAGTGAGCGGATAACAAAAAATATAGCAACAACAACATCTTTAGCAAAGAGACTCCCCTTTGAACCCTCTATCTATCTATCTATCTATCCATCCATCCATCCATCCATCCATCCATCCATCCATCCATCCATCCATCCATCCATCTATCTATCTATCTATCTATCTATCTATCTATATAATTCTTTATATATACACACACAAACACAATATAACATAATAATAAAATTACATATATATTAGATATATTTTAATACTAGATATAATGATAATATAATAATATACAATGTAATTGTAACTATATTGTGATAGACAGAATAAATATAATAAACATAATAATATATACAATAATATTATAGTAGATATAATAGAGATATATAAAGATAGAATAATAGTAATAATAATAATAAAAATTATAATATTATGATAGACAGAATAAATATAATAAACATAATAATACAATAATATTATAGTCGATATAATAGAAATATATAAAGATAGAATAATAGTAATAACAATAATAAAAATTATAATATTATAATAGACAGAATGATAGATATAAAAGGATAATAAATAGAATAATAATGATACATATAATACATATATAAATATAATAATATAATAGACAGAATGATAGATATAAAAGGATAATAGAATAATAATATAATGATACATATATTATAATACATATTATAAATATAATAATATAATAGAATGATAGATATAAAAGGATAATAGAATAATAATATAATGATACATATATTATAATACATACATAAATATAATAATAATACTAAACATATAATATGCAATAGATATAACGAATATAAAAAATATAAAAATAATATAATAAAACATATTATAGTAGATATATATATATATATATATAAGAGTAGCGATGATATAATAAAATAAATATAATAGATATAATAATAGAATAAATATCATAAAATATAATAATACATATAATAACACAGTAGATATATATATATAAGTAATAGTAATAATAAAAATATAATAGTTAGGTATAATAAATATAATAAAAATAATATAATGCATATATTGCAGTAGATATATATAGATATAAGAATGGTAATAATAAATATAAATATAATAATACATATAATAACACAATAGATATAGATATAGATATATATAAGTAATAGTAATAATAAAAATATAATAATAGTTAAGTATAATAAATATAATAAAAATAATATAATGCATATATTGCAGTTGATATATATAGATATAAGAATGGTAATAATAAATATAAATATAATAATATTATAATAACCATAATAGATATAATAATGTAATCAAAATATTATAATAAATATATTATAGTAGATATATATGTATAATAGTAATAGCAATAATAATAATAATAATAACAATATAATAGACATAATAAAATATATGATAAAAATAATATAATAAACATAATAATAATAATCCTATCATGTTAAGGGGACCTTGAGGAAGCTGCGTGCAGCCTGGCGGCACTGCTGGTAGTACTGCCGGAAGGAAATGCGCTCCCACTCGCCATTGCTCTTCTTGGCGGTCAAGGCCGGGAGGTCCCCGAACTTAGCGATGGAGCGGAGGAGCAGCTGATTGACAGTGAGGGGCTCCTGGGCACCCAGGCCACTCTCTTCTGAGCGCAGGCGCACTTGCCCGTCCCGCTTGGTGGTCCACAGGCCCAGCATTGACGGGGCCCCGCCCGTACCTGCAGGGTAGCACAGAAGGAAGGACGGACCAGGCTCAGCAAGGGACTCCTCTGGCTAGTGGAGAGCCTTCGAGCGGCAGGAAGAGCCAACATTGTAATAGAGATCAATGGGGAAAACATTCCCAGGATGGAAGCCATTCATTGCAACCACAAGGCACGGGAAGCATCTGCCACATAGCAATGGCCAGAATAAATAATAATAATAATAATAATAATAATAATAATTATTATTATTATTATTATTATTATTATTATTATTGTCGTGTCAGGAGTGTCCTGTTGTGAGAGAATTGGCCGTCTGCAAGGACGTTGCCCAGGGGACGCCCGGATGATTTTGATGTTTTATCATCCTTGTGGGAGGCTTCTCTCATGTCCCCGCATGAGGAGCTGGAGCTGATAGAGGGAGCTCATCCACCTCTCCCCGGATTCGAACCTGTGACCTGCCGGCACAGGGCTTTAACCCACTGAACCACCGGGGGCTCCTATAATAATAATATAAACATACTACTACTAATAAAATACTAATAAATATATATTAATAAGTATTCTTATTAATAATAATATTTAATAGAACCCCCGGTGGTGCAGTGGATTAAACCCCTGTGCTGGCAGGACAGAAGATCGACAAGTTGCAGGTTCAAATCCGGGGAGCGGGGTGAGCTCCCATCCTTGCAAGGACATGGGAGAAGCCTCCCACAGGATGATAAAACATCCAGGCGTCCCCTAGGCAACGTCCTTGCAGAATGGCCAATTCTCTCACACCAGAAGCGACTTGCAGTTTCTCAAGTCGCTCCTGACACGACAAATAATAATAATAATAATAATATTTAATAATAAATACACTAATAATACTATAAATATACTAATAAAATAGTAATAAATATAACACATATTCTTATTCATAATAATATTTAATAATAAACATACAACTAATAAAATAGTAATAAATATAATACATATTCTTATTCATAATAATATTTAATAATAAACATACTACTAATAAAATAGTAATAAATATATTATTATTAATAATAATATTTAATAATGAAGATACTAATCAATAATAATTATTTATTTATTTATTTTATTTGTCGTATTTATATACTGCCTTTCTTAGCCCGAAGGCAACTTAAGGCGGTTTACACAATTCGATGCCCCCAACAACATAAAATATAATTAAAACGTTTAGCATATAATATAAAAACCATACAAAACCAATAAAAACATTAAATCCTCAGCGTCTCTGTAATGAATTTTCTGATCTCTGCAAGATTTTTGGTATATAGCTCTATGTTCCCACGTGTCAGATAGGGCAGATTTAGTACAATTAGGATAGCAACAGCGAAGACAAGATCATTTGCATATGGGAAGCCGATTGGTCCTATGCAGATTAGTGTAGGCCCAGGAGTTGAGAAGAGCAGAGCTGAACGTTCTAAAGGGGCGTAGTTAAGTTTTTAAAAGGGGCAGTTAGAGTTAGAAAGTTGAAGAAATGACAGTTAGTTAGGAATGGCTGCTTGTGAAGTTAGTTAGGAACGGCTGCTTGTGAAGTTAGTTAGGAATGGCTGCATGTGAAGTTAGTTAGGAATGGCTGCTTGTGAAGTTAGTTAGGAATGGCTGCTTGTGAAGTTAGTTAGGAATGGCTGCTTGTGAAATGAGTTAGGAATAGCTGTTTGTGAAGCAGTTAGGAATCTGTGTGTGAGGAGAAGAAGTTAAGATTCCCTGTCTGAGAGAGAGACAGTGGGGAAATTCTGTTTGAGAGAAGAGTTATTGTAAAGGAGAATAAGTTAAAGCCAGTGTGGCTTAAGTTACAATATAAATTCTGTCAAGAGTTTAAAAGGAAAAGTAACCAAGTTAATGATATTGAAAGTAAGCCTTAAGAACGTGACAAGATACTAATGTATTCCCAAGTGTTGGAACATAAAGTTATAAATAAACGTTGTTAACTTGTTGCAAATGAGAGCCTCAAGCCTATGATTCAAAGCCAAAAGATTTTTATAACTCACACGATAGAGCCTGTAATTATCATCTCCTTACAGTCTCCTTACTAAAATAATTTTCCAGTCATATCATCCACTCATTCCGAAGATCTAGATTTGCCTGTTACACTGCATTTGTAAATGCTTATTCGAAAAGCCAGGTTTTAACTTTTTTACAAAATGTTAATATCCCTAGGAAGGGCGTTCCACAGCCAAGGGGCCACCACTGAGAAGGCCCTGTCTCTTGTTCCCGCCAAAACATATCTGCAAAGAAGGCGGGACCGAGAGCAGGGCCTCCCCAGGCAATCTTAGAGTCCATACTACTACTAATAAAATAGTAATAAATATAGTAAGTATTCTTATTAATAATAATATTTAATAATAAACATACTAATAAATATACGTATTAATAATAATCTATCTATATACATAATTGAAGTGAAAATGTGTATGTGTGTACATGGCAGAGGTGTCCGCTTACACAGACACAGTGCGTGCTTGTGAAGCCGGCGGGACCGAGAGCAGGGCCTCCCCAGACGATCTTAATGTCCTAACTGGTTCATAGGAGGAGATGCATTCGGACAGGTAGATCGGGCCAGAACCTCCTATAAAGGCTAACGCCAGCACTTTGAATTGTGCCTGGTAGCAAATTGGCAGCCAGTGGAGCTGATGCAACAGAGGACTTGTATGCTCCCTGAGTGCCGCTCCTGTTAGCATCCTGGCTGCTGATCGTTGGACCATTTGAAGCTTCCAAGCAGTCTTCAGAGGCAACCCCACGTAGAGAGCGTTGCAGTAGTCTATGCGGGATGTGACCAGAGCGTGGACTACCGTGGCCAAGTCAGACTTCTCAAGGTACGGGCGCAGCTGGCGCACAAGTTTTAATTGTGCAAATGCTCCCCTGGTCACCGCTGAAACCTGGGGTTCCAAGCTCAACGATGAATCCAAGATCACACCCAAGCTGCGAACCTGAGTCTTCAGGGGGAGTGTAACCCCGTCTAACACAAGCTGTAACCCTATGCCCTGTTCGGCCTTGCGACTGACCAGGAGTACCTCTGTCTTGTCTGGATTCAATTTCAATTTGTTCGCCCTCATCCAGACCCCAACCCATCTAAAACACAGACATGTGCCTTTCACCTCAAGAACAGACAAGCATCCCGAGCTCTGAAGATGACCTGGGAAGGAATCCCACTGGAGCATTGCAGCGCACCCAAATACCTGGGAGTCACTCTGGACCGTGCTCTTACCTACAAGAAGCACTGCCTGAACATCAAGCAAAAAGTGGGTGCTAGAAACAATATCATACGAAAGCTGACTGGCACAACCTGGGGATCACAACCAGACACAGTGAAGATATCTGTCTTTGCGCTATGCTACTCTGCTGCTGAGTACGCATGCCCAGTGTGGAACACATCTCACCACACTAAAACAGCGGATGTGGCTCTTAATGAGACATGCCGCATTATCACGGGGTGTCTGCGCCCTACACCACTGGAGAAATTACACTGTCTAGCCCAGTGGTTCTCAACCTGGGGTCCCCAGATGTTTTTGGCCTTCAACTCCCAGAAATCCTAACAGCTGATAAACTGGCTGGCATTTCTGGGAGTTGTAGGCCAAAAACATCTGGGGACCCCAGGTTGAGAACCACTGGTCTAGCCAGTATCGCACCACCTGACATCCACCGGGAAGTAGCAGCCAATAGTGAAAGGACCAAGGCAGAGACATCTCCAGCTCATCCCCTGTTTGGGTATCAGCCAGCACGTCAACAACCTAAATCTAGAAATAGTTTTCTAAGATCTACAGAGACACTCGCTGGAACGCCTCAGCAAGCGAGAGTCCAAAACTGGCATGCTCAAACCCAGAACCTCAACCAATGGCTGATACCAAATGAGAGACTGTGTGCCCTGGGCACACAGAGGACTGGGCGACTTGGAAGGCGCTGAACAGACTGCGCTCTGGCACCACAAGATGCAGAGCCAACCTTCAGAAATGGGGCCACAAAGTGGAATCCACAACATGCGAGTGCGGAGAAGAGCAAACCACTGACCACCTGCTGCAATGCAACCTGAGCCCTGCCACATGCACGATGGAGGACCTCCTTGCGGCAACACCAGAAGCACTCCAAGTGGCCAGATACTGGTCAAAGGACATTTAATCGACCAAACTCACACATTTTGTATTTTCTCTGTTTGTTTGCTTTGTTCTGTTAGAAATGTAATATAATCGACTGGCTGCCCTGACACGAGAAATAAAAAATCCAGACCGTTAAGCACCGGTTCAGGACCTGAACAGCCTCCTTAGTAGCAGGTGGAAAGGAGTGACAGAGTTGGACATCATCCGCGTACAGATGACATCGTACCCCGAAACTCCGGATGATCTCTCCCAGCGGCTTCATGTAGATGTTAAACAACATGGGAGACAATATTGAGCTCTGAGGAACTCCACAAGACAATGGTTGTGGGGTTGAACAGTGTCTCTCAATAACACCTTCTGAGATCGACCCTCGAGGAAGGACCGGAGCCACTGCAAAGCAGTACCCCGCGAGGCATCCCACAAGGATACCGTGGTCGACGGTATCGAAGGCCGCTGAGAAGTCCAGCAGAACTAACAGGGACACACTCCCCCTGTCGAGCTCCCGGCGCAGATCATCCACTAAGGCGACCAAGGCTGTCTCGGTACCATATCCCGGCCTAAAGCCAGACTGTGCTGGATCCAGATAATCCGTGTCTTCCAAGAATACCTGGAGTTGTGAAGCAACCACACGTTCCAGGACTTTGCCCAAAAAGGGGAGATTGGAAACTGGCCGATAGTTGTCGAATTGAGTGGGGTCCAGTGATGGTTTTTTCAACAGCAGTTTTATGATAGCTTGTTTTAAGCTCGCTGGAATTCTGCCTTCCCGAAGGGAGGCGTTAACCACCACCTTCACCCACTCGGCCAATCCCCCTCTGGCCTCCTTTAGAAGCCAGGATGGGCAGGGGTCTAGGATGCATGTGGTTGGCCTCATTCCTCCAAGTATCTTGTCCACATCCTCAGGTTTCACCAATTGAAATGAATCCATCAAAACTGGACAAGCAGGTGCTCGTGTTACATCCTCGTGTCATCAGCAACCATACCATTGTGTTACAATTCTAACAGAACAAAACAAACACACACATTAAAAAAAAAAGAAAAAAAAAACACAGATTTTGCAAACTTGGTAGTTGGTTAAATGTCCTTTGACCAGTATCTGGCCACTTGGAGTGCCTCTGGTGTTGCCGCAAGGAGGTCCTCCATCGTGCATGTGGCTGGGCTCAGGTTGCATTGCAGCAGGTGGTCAGTGGTTTGCTCTTCTCCACACTCGCATGTCGTGGATTCCACTTTGTGGCCCCATTTCTGAGGTTGGCTCTGCATCTCGTGGTGCCAGAGCGCAGTCTGTTCAGCGCCTTCCAAGTCGCCCAGTTCTGTGTGCCCAGGGGGGAGTCTCTCATTTGGTATCATCCATTGGTTGAGGTTCTGGGTTTGAGCCTGCCACTTTTGGACTCTCGCTTGCTGGGGTGTTCCAGCGAGTGTCTCTGTAGATCTAAGAAAACTATTTCTTGATTTAAGTCGTTGACGTGCTGGCTGATACCCAAACAGGGGATGAGCTGGAGATGTCTCTGCCTTGGTCCTTTCACTGTATTGGCTGCTACTTCCCGGCGGATGTCAGGTGGTGCAATACCGGCTAAGCAGTGTAATTTCTCCAGTGTTGGGCGCAGACACCCCGTGATAATGCGGCATGTCTCATTAAGAGCCACATCTACTGTTTTAGTGTGGTGAGATGTGTTCCACACTGGGCATGCAAACTCAGCAGCAGAGTAGCATAGCGCAAGGGCAGATGTCTTCACTGTGTCTGGTTGTGATCCCCAGGTTGTGCCAGTCAGCTTTCGTATGATATTGTTTCTAGCACCCACTTTTTGCTTGATGTTCAGGCAGTGCTTCTTGTAGGTCAGAGCACGGTCCAAGAGTGACTCCCAGGTATTTGGGTGCGCTGCAATGCTCCAGTGGGATTCCTTCCCAGGTGATCCTCAGAGCTCAGGATACTTGTCTGTTCTTAAGGTGAAAAGCACATGTCTGTGTTTTACATGGATTAGGGATCAGCTGGTTTTCCCTGTAATAGGCAGTTAAGAGCACCTAGAGCTTCGGAGAGCTTCTGTTCAACCATCTCAAAGCTCCCTGCTTGAGTGGTAATGGCACGATCATCAGCATAGAAACTATATTATTTCCTAATAATATAATATAGTATATTGTATATACATAATTTATAATATTATAATGTAGTACAATATGATACTAGTAATAATAATTCAATATTATAATTATAATTATATATTTACATTACATGTAATATTACTAATAATATTACAATATAATGGTATTGTGCAATATAGTAATATATACTGATATTGTACTATGCTAATAATATAATATATTGTATGAAAATATATATTGTAAGCCGCTCTGAGTCCCCTTCGCGGTGAAATGCCATAAATAAATAAATAAATAAATATTAAAAATAATAATAAATAACAGAGTGCTGTTGCCTCTTACCTTTTTTGGCGCTGAACATCTTCTCGTTTTTCCCGGAGACTTGGTTTTCAACGCTGCAGTAAAAAAGGAGACTTTATTATTATTATCATAGATTTAATATGATTTAGGAGATTAATGTAAGTCCAAAACATCAAGACTTCCTTGGCATAGTAATGATAATGATACATGTATTATCCTCTTCCAAGACAACTAGGTAGGAAAATATAATAATCATAATAAAAAAATAATAACAGCAATAAAATAATAATATTATCAATAACAAAACATAGTAGTACGAATAATTATTTTAATAATAGCCATTATAACAATTATTTTACTACTAATAATAAATGATGATAGTAGTAATAATAATGCCTCTCTCAGATGGTGCTGTTCTTCTTCCTTGGGTGGAATCGGGGCTTCATTTTGGGGGAAGCAGGTGTCAGGGGACGGGCTTTTTAGGCTTGGCCCCGCTTCCCTCCCTCGGACTTCTCTGTCTCTGCCAGCCCACAGGGGGCGGGCCATTCTAGAACCCGCCCCCTTCTTGTGATGTCACCGCCTGCTGCTACGGGGATTCTGGGGGCAGCCAGGTCTTCCCCAGGACACAAAGGTGTTGATGAATGAGAGGCTGACCTCAGGTGACCCCTTATTATTATTATACATTATTATTACATATTTATTAAATATTTTATTATACAATAAATAGATTTTATTATATATTTTATTACATTAGCATTTATTATAATTATATATTTATTGGGTTGTTGTAGGTTTTTTCGGGCTGTATGGCCATGGTCTAGAGGCATTCTCTCCTGACGTTTCGCCTGCACTTAGGCAAGCATTCTCAGAGGTAGTGAGGACCTCACTACCTCTGAGGATGCTTGCCAAAGTGCAGGCGAAACGTCAGGAGAGAATGCCTCCAGACCAGTGTTTCTCAACCTGGGGGTCGGGACCCCTAAGGGGGTCGTGAAGAGTTGTCGGAGGGGTCGCCAAAGACCATCAGAAAACATAGTATTTTCTGATGGTCATGGGGATTCCATGTGGGAAGTTTGAGCCAATTCTATCGTTGGTGGAGTTCAGAATGTTCTTTGATTGTAGTGAACTATAAATCCCAGCAACTACAATTCCCAAAAGTCAAGGTCTATTTTCTCCAGACTCCACCAGTGTTCACATTTGGGCATATTGATGATTTGTGCCAAGTTTGGTCCAGATCCACCATTGCGTGAGTCCAAGGTGCTCGCTGAATATAGATGAACTACAACTCCCAAACTCGAGGTCAATGCTCACCAAACCCTTCCAGTGTTTTCCGCTGGTCTTGGCAGTTCTGTGCGGCAAATTAGGTTCAAAATCATTGCTGGTGGAGTTCAGAATGCTCTTTGATTACAGGTGAACTATAAATCCCAGCAACTACATCTCCCAAATTACAAAATCAATCCTCCCCAACCCCACTAGCATTTACATGTGGGTGCATTGGGTATTTTTGCCCAGTTTGGTCCAGTGAATGAAAATACATCTTGTATATCTGATATGTATTATGATTTATAACAGTAATAAAATGACTGTTATGAAGTAGCAACAAAAACAATGTTATGGTTGGGGGTCACCACAACATGAAGGACTGTATTAAGGGGTCACGGCATTAGGAAGGTTGAGAACCACTGCTCTAGACCATGGCCATACAGCCCGAAAAAACCTACAACAACCCGGCGATTCCGGCCATGAAAGCCTTCAACTATATATTTATTATTATCATATTATATATTTTATTATTAGCATATATTATTGTTGCTTGGCTTCAAACACAGATATGTGTCTTTCTGTATTTTTATTTATTAGGCTTCAAGCAAGACACTATGTCTTGGTCTATCATTATCATTATTTTACTACTAGCTGTCCCCTGCCACTTGTTGCTGTGGCCCACATGGGGGTTCTGTGTGGGAGGTTTGGCCCAATTCTATCATTGGTGAAGTTCAGAATGCTCTGTGATTGTAGGTGAACTATACATCCCAGCAACTACAACTCCCAAATGTCAAGATTCTATTTTCCCCAAACTCCACCAGTGTTCACATTTGGGCATATTGGTCCAGATCCATCATTGTTTGATTCCACAGTGATCTCTGGATGTAGGTGAACTACAACTCCAAAACCAAAGGACACTGCCCACAAACCCTTCCAGTATTTTCTGTTGGTCATGGGAGAACTGTGTGCCAAGTTTGGTTCAATTCTATGGTTGGTGGGGTTCAGAATGCTCTTTGATTGTAGGTGAACTATAAATCCCAGCAACTACAGCTCCCAAATGACAAAATCAATTTTTTGAGTGAAGGACATACATTGGGCTGTTAGGTGTCTTGTGTCCAAATTTGCTGTCAGTTTGTCCAGTGGTTTTTGAGTTATGTAAATCCCACAAACGAACATTACATTTTTATTTATATAGATATTATATTAGAATTATTACAATTACATATATTATTATATATTTTTATTATTATTATTATTATATTATTATTATCATACATAATATATTTTATTATTAGTATATATTATTGCTGGGCTTCAAGCACAGATTTATCTGTGTCTTTCTGTATTATTAGGCTTCAAGTCAGACACTCCATGTCTTGGTCGATTATTGTTATTATACATTACTATATATTATATAGTGTAATGTATATTATACTATACATTACTATATATTATATTATATATATATTACTACATATATTACTGTGGGCCAAGTTTGGTTCAATTCCATCGTTGGCGGGGTTCAGAATACTCTTTGATTGTAGGTGAACTATAAATCCCAGCAGTTACAACTCCCAAATGACAACATCAATCCCCCCCCCCCCCCCCCCCCAACCCCACCAGTATTCAAATTTGGGCAGTTACAGCTCCCAAATGACAAAATCAATTTTTTTGTTAGGTGTCTTGTGTCTATACATTACTATATATTATATTATATATATATTACTACATATATTACTACATTAATTACAAACATTATTATAATTACATATATTATATTATTTATTATATATTTTTATTAGTAATATATATTATTTATTATTGTATTTTCATATATTATCACCAGAAGTGACTTGCAGTTTCTCAAGTTGCTCCTGACACTATATATATATATGTGTGTGTGTGTGTGTGTGTGTGTGTGTGTGTGTTATATTTTGTATAATATTTTTTGTATATTACTATATTCTTATATTCTTATTGCTAGGCTTCAAACAGACACATATCTGTGTCTTGGGCTATTATTATTATTCCTCTCCATTCCCAGGCTGCAAATTCAAGCGAAGGGAAGAAATGAAAGGCTATTCCACCAACCTGATCAAAGCATTTGCTGAAGCTTCTTCAGTCGAAACGTCGTTGCGTTCTGGGTTCAAATGTGTTGCAATCATGGTTTCCTCCTGCACCACTGCCATTTTGCAAGGCTTTCCTATGAAATGTATTATTCAAATATTATTATAATATATTTAATATAATCCCTCCTAAAAATCCATTTAAATCAAAAGTTGCTTTAAATGCATTTTCTCCAAAGCACTTGCCTTGCCATACTTTCTATCTACGATTACGATGTTTATTTATACCTTGTTTATTCTTCTCTCTGCAAAAGAGATTATATATTTTACTATATTATATATTATACTTATTATGATTACATATATTTATTATTTATTTTATTAGTTTATATTATATATTTTATTAGTATATATCATTATTTTGTGCTTCAAGCACAGACAGATCTGCATTGTCATCTATTATTATCAGTTATGTGTATTAAGTTTATTAATAACTTGCTTTTCCTCTCTACAAAATTTATTATGTATTATGTTTAATATAATTATTTTAATATCTTTTTAGTGTTTGTTTATACCTTACTTTTTCCCCTCTACAAATTATAAATAAACATAATAAAAATATCTTTAAAAAATATTATTTTAAAAGATACTAGCGGTCCCCTGCCACGTGTTGCTGTGGCCCAGTCTGGTGATCTAATGAAAAACTGTTGGTTTCTAACATATGTAATGTCTTTATGTTTGTGGGTAAACAGTATTTCTTGCTGTTTCTTTGCCAGTGTTGATGTGGAGATTGTCTGGTTTGCCTACTCTGGAACATGCAGCATATCATTGTCCTTAGGGGTCCATTTCAAATCTTTGATACTGCATCTGTCATCTACATATATGTCTGTCTGTGAATGGCTGGATGGCCCTTTGTCAGGAGGGCTTTGATTATGTTTTCTTGCCCTGGTGAAGGGAATTGGACGGGATGGCCTTAAGGCCGCATCTCTCAACCTGGGAAGTCATGGGGGTTCTGTGTGGGCAGTTTGCCCCAATTCTATCTTTGGTGGGGTTCAGAATGCTCATTGATTGTAGGTGAACTATAAATCCCAGTAACTACAACTCCCAGATTGTCAAGGTCTATTTCCCCCAAACTCCATCTGTGTTCATATTTGGGCGTATTGCGTATTCGTACCAAGTTTGGTCCAGATCAATCATTGTTTGAGTCCACAGTGCTCTCTGGATGTAGGTGAACTACAACTGCCAAACACAAGGTAAATGCCCACCAAACCCTTCCAGTATTTTCTGTTGGTCATGGGAGTCCTGTATGCCCCGGTTGGTTCAATTCTATAATGCTATTTGATTGTAGGTGAACTATAAATCCCAGCAACTACAAATCCCTATCTATCAATCTAATCTATGGCTGGATGGCTCTTTGTCAGGAGGGCCTTGATTACGTTTTCTTGCCCTGATGAAGGGAGGTGGATTGGATGGCCTTAAGTATTTTCTGTTGGTCATGGGGGTTCTATGTGGGAAGTTTGCCCCGATTCTGTTGTTTGTGAGGTTCAGAATACTCTTTGATTGTAGGTGAACTATAAATCCCAGTAACTACAACTCCCAAATGTCAACGTCTATTTCCTCCAAACTCCATCTGTGTTCATATTTGGGCATATTGAGTGCTTGTGCCAAGTTTGGTCCAGATCCATCTTTGTTTGAGTCTACAGTGCTCTCTGAATGTAGGTGAATTACAACTCCCAAACTCAAGGTCAATGCCCACCAAACCCTTCCAGTGTGTTCTGCTGGTCATGGGAGCCCTGTGTGCTAAGTTTGGCCCAATTCCATCATTGGTGGAGTTCAGAATGCTCCGATTGTAGGTGAACTATAAATCCCAGTAACTGCAACTCCCAAATGTCAAGATCTATTTCCCCCAAACTTCATCTGTGTTCATATTTGGGTATATGGAATATTTGTGTCAAGTTTGGTCCAGATCCATCATTGTTTGAGTCTACAGTGCTCTCTGGATGTAGGTGAACTACAACTCCCAAACTCTAGGTCAATGCCCACCAAACCCTTCCAGTATTTTCTGTTGGTCATGGGAGTTGTGTGTGCCAAGTTTGGTTCAATTCCATAGTTGATGGAGTTCAGAATGCTCTTTGATTGTAGATGAACTATAAATCCCAGTAAGTACAAATCCCAAATGTCAAGGTGTATTTCCTCCAAACTCCATCTGTGTTCATATTTGGGCATATGGAATATTTGTGTCAAGTTTGGTCCAGATCCATCATTGTTTGGTCCAGATCCATCATTGTTTGAGTTTGGTCCAGATCCATCAATGTTTGAGTCCACAGTGCTGTCTGGATGTAGGTGAATTACAACTCCCAAACTCAAGGTCAATGCCCACCAAACCCTTCCAGTATTTTCCGTTGGTCATGGGAGTTCTGTGTGCCAAGTTTGGTTCAATTCCATCGTTGATGGAGTTCAGAATGCTCTTTGATTGTAGGTGAACTATAAATCCCAGCAACAAGGTTGCATTACGGGAACAGTTTTTGTGGACCTTACGGCAGCCTATGACACTGTGCAACATAAGAAAATGCTACAGAAAGTTTACCATATTACCCGGGACTATGCTTTGAGAAAAACTGTCCAGACCCTCTTTGATTGTAAGTGAACTATACCTCCCAGCAACTACAACTCCCAAATGACAAAATCATAATTTTTGAGTGATGGGCACTCCTTGTGTTGTGAGACGTTTTGTTGCCAAATTTGGTGTGATTTTGTTCATTGGTTCTTTTGTTTTTAAGGTACTCATTATGCACAGAGCATTTATATATATATAGATAATAATAATAATAATAATAATAATAATAATAATAATAAGGCTAGTGAGGGATGCCTTTAATGCAAAGGCACAGGTCAGAGTGGCCATGACCCAGGTTTGACAAACAAAGTTGGGGAAAAGGTAAACACGGAGGAGCCAAGGCTGCAAACTCCTCTGTTTCCTCTGTCGCCATGCGTTCCAATGGGGTTTGGGGCTTGTTCCAAGCTTTGGTTTGGCTCCGTTGCGCAAGGACAATGTGCAATAAATAATGCTCCTGCTGCTGCTCTGATCAGGCCAGGCTGCTCAGCCAATGGGAGGCTCCCAGGTGAGCCAATATCCCAGGTACAGAAAGAAAGACAGAAAGAGAAAAAGAAGGAAAGGGAGAAAGAGGAAAAAAGGCAAAAGAATGAGAAAGGAAGAAAGAAGAAAGTCACATATTGGCTTGTGTCAGAATAAAAACTTTCTCTCTTTCTCTCTGCCATGTCTATGTATGTATATAGAGAGATATAGATATGTATATATCATAAATGCATATATGTGTGTATTATAAATATGTATGTATATATAAACCGCTCCGAGGCAAATTGGGAGTGTCAAGTCAAATAAAATAAATAAATAATATATATATATTAATGCACATATATCTGAATAAATGTGCATATATATGTGCTTGTATTATAAATATTTGTATGTATATAGTAAATAATACATATGTATTATAATATATATATACTATATATATATATAATATTTTGGGGACAAAGGCTTATTTTGGGGACAAAACCAATATTATATATATATATATATATATATATGTATATGTATATGTATATGTATATGTATAATACTATAATACAATATATCTAATATAATATAATATAATATCATTTTGGGGACAAAACCAATTATATATATATATATATATATATATATATATATATATCTCATACTATAATACAATATATATAATACATATATACACATAATACAATATATATATTACACATGTACTATAATATATTTAATATAATACAATATATATATGTGTATATATTAGAATTGTGTATATAATACATATGTGTACTATAAATATGTTTGTATATATAATATATATAATACATATGTATAATGCTATATATAATATATACTATAATATGATACACTGTATGTACTATGATATATAATATAATACTATACATATACACAATATAAAATAATATATAATACAATATACCTAATATAATACAATATATCTAATATAATACATATATACACATAATACAAATATATATATTACACATGGACTATAATATATTTAATATAATACAATATATATATATATGTGTGTATGTATTATAAATGTGTATATAATATATATAATACATATGCGTACTATAAATATGTTTGTATATATAATATATATAATACATATGTATAATGCTATATATAATATATACTATAATATGATACACTGTATGTACTATGATATATAATATAATACTATACATATACACAATATAAAATAATATATAATACAATATACCTAATATAATACAATATATCTAATATAATACATATATACACATAATACAATATATATATTACACATGGACTATAATATAGTTAATATAATACAATATATATATGTGTGTATATTAGAATTGTGTGTATAATATATATATAATACATATGTGTACTATAAATGTGTTTGTATATATAATATATATAATACATAGGTATGATAATGCTATATATAATATATACTATAATATGATACACTGTATGTACTATGATATATAATATAATACTATATATATATACACAATATAAAATAATATATAATACAATATATCTAATATAATACAATATATCTAATATAATACATATATACACATAATACAATATATATATTACACATGGACTATAATATATTTAATATAATACAATATATAAATGTGTATGTATTATAAATGCATATATAATATATATAATACATATATGTACTATAAATATGTTTGTATATATAATATATATAATACATATGTATAGTAATGCCATATATAATATATAATATATGATACACTGTATGTACTATGATATATAATATAATAATATATATATACACAATATAAAATAATACATAATACAATATATATATTACACATGGACTATAATATATTTAATATAATACAATCTATATATGTGTATGTATTATAAATGTGTATATAATATATATAATACATATGTGTACTATAAATATGTTTGTATATATAATATACTACATAGGTATGATAATGCTATATATAATATATAATATATTATGCACTGTATGTACTATGATATATAATACAATACAATATAAAGCATATTATATTATAATACAAAATAATAAATATATAATAAAATATAAAATTAAACAAAACAATAATGTACATAAATAAAAGGAATTACAGAATAAATTAATAATAATAATAAATATAATATATGCATATAAGGCAAGAAGAGGAAGGCTTATTTTGGGGACAAACCCAAGCCCACACAAGCCACTACATTCCTATTTGGCCTCTTTTCCTGCCATTTCCAGGTCAAACCCTCCCCAGACTCCCATTCATTTCCATGCAATCCGGCTTACCTGCTTCAGAGAGCGAGGAAAGCAAACGAAGAGAAAGGAAGAAGGCCGGCGGGTTTTATTTCAATGGCGGGGAGGGGCCCAAGGGGCGTGGCTTGGCGGGGCCGGACGCTCTAATTGGCCGGCTGGGCGGCAAAGGCCACGCCTCCTCGCACTCTGGGTTCATTCATCCGCCAGGGCTTACTCGCGGTCATTGACCTCTCAGGGAAGGCAGGAAGGAATGAATGGGATTTTGATGCACCCAAGTATCCCAGGGCCAGCAAGTGTGTGTGTGTGTGTGTTGCCTTGGCTGTTTGGGGATTATGGGAGCCCAGAGCATAGGAATATGTATATGTATGTATATTCCTATGCTCTGGGCTCCCATAATCCCCAAACAGCCAAGGCAACACACACACACACACACTTGCTGGCCCTGGGATACTTGGGTGCATCAAAATCCCATTCATTCCTTCCTGCCTTCCCTGAGAGGTCAATGACCGCGAGTAAGCCCTGGCGGATGAATGAACCCAGATTCCTATGCTCTGGGCTCCCATAATCCCCAAACACACACACACACACATATATATATATTCCTATGCTCTGGGCTCCCATAATCCCCAACACACACACACACACACACACACACACACACACACACACACACATATATATATATATATATATATATATATATATATATATATATTCCTATGCTCTGGGCTCCCATAATCCCCAAACACACACACACACACACATATATATATATTCCTATGCTCTGGGCTCCCATAATCCCCAAACACACACACACACACACACATATATTTATTTGGAGCATTTATTAACCGCCATTCTCAGCCCACTCGGGCGACTCACGGCGGTGTACAGTACAAAAGGCAATTCACACAAAGACAAGTACAACAGCATATTAACCATACAACAATACAACAGTTAAAATTACACTAACTAATCCGCTTCGTCTCGTAATAGAATCGTGACCAATCTCGTATTCCTTGTACCATTCCAGTCGTCTTTACCACATTACTATAGCACTTAATTAAATGCCCTCTCGAACAGCCACGTCTTGAGGCTTTTTCGGAAGGACAAAAGAGAGGGCGCCTGCCTGATGTCTGTAGGGAGAGTGTTCCACAACCGGGGGGCCACCACTGAGAAGGCCCTCTCTCTCGTCCCCGCCAGGCGTGGGGATTATATATTGGCTGTTGGCTGTTTGGGGATTATGGGAGCCCAGAGCATAGGAATATATATATACACACACACACACACACACATATTCCTATGCTCTGGGCTCCCATAATCCCCAAACACACACACACACACACACACACACACACACATATATATATCCCTATGCTCTGGGCTCCCATAATCCCCAAACAGCCAAGGCTTCTCCCACTTGCAACACTAGTCTATATATATAAAAATGCTCTGTGCATAATGAGTACCTTAAAAACAAAAGAACCAATGAACGAAATCACACCAAATTTGGCAACAAAACATCTCACAGCACAAGGAGTGACCATCACTCAAAAAATTATGATTTTGTCATTTGGGATTGTAGTTGCTGGGATTTATAGTTCACCTACAATCAAAGAGCATTCTGAACTCCACCAATGATGGAATTGAACCAAACTTGGCACACAGGACTCCCATGACCAACAGAAAACACTGGAAGGGTTTGGTGGGCATTGACTTTGAGTTTGGAAGTTGTAGTTCACCTACATCCAGAGAGCACTGTGGACTCAAACAATGATGGATCTGGACCAAACTTGGCACAAATATTCCATATGCCCAAATGAACACAGATGGAGTTTGGGGGAAATAGACCTTGACATTTGGGAGTTGTAGTCACTGGGATTTATAGTTCACCTACAATCAAAGAGCATTTTGAACCCCACGAACGACAAAATCGGGGCAAACTTCCCACACAGAACCCCCGTGACCAACAGAAAATATTTAAGGCCATCCAATCCAACTCGCTTCATCGGGGCAAGAAAAAGTAATCAAAGTCCTCCTGACAAAGAGCCATCCAGCCATAGATAGATAGATAGATAATGATTCACACACACAGATGGAGTATCATAGATTTGAAAGGGACCCCTACAGAAAGAGAATGATATGTTGCATGTTCCAGGGTGGGCAAACCAGACACTCTCCATATCAACACTGACAAAGAAACAAAAAGAAATACTGTTTACCCACAAGCATAAAGAAATTACATATATTAGAAACCAACACTTTCTAATTACTTTATTTTCCAGATCACCAGACTGGGCCACAGCAACGCGTGGCAGGGGACAGCTAGTTGATATATATTTTCTGTTCGTCGTGGGAGTTCTGTGTGCCATATTTGGTTCAATTCCATCATTGGTGGAGTTCAGAATGCTCTTTGATTGTAGGTGAACTATAATTCCAACACTCAAGGTCAATGTCCACCAAACCCTTCCAGTGTGTTCTGTTGGTCATGGGAGTCCTGTATGCCATGTTTGGTTCAATTCCATCATTGGTGGAGTTCAGAATGCTCTTTGATTGTAGGTGAACTATACATCCCAGTAACTACACTTGCCGCACTTGCTCCCTTGCCTGGCCTGCTTTGGGTCCGGAGGCGTGCCTGAAGACCCCAGCGTGTGCACCAAAAGTCACCTCTTCTCCTGACTTTCTCCTCAGCCATTGGGACCAAGAGAGAGAGAGAGAGAGGTGGAGATGCCCACCTTTCCTGAAGGTAGGCGCAAAAACAAAAGAAGGAGCGGAGGGACTCCAGCCGGAGGGACTCTCTCTCTCTCTCTCTTGGTCCCAATGGCTGAAGAGAAAGTCAGGAGAAGAGGCGACTTTTGGTGCGCACGCTGGGGTCTTCAGACATGCCTCCGGACCCAAAGCGGGCCAAGCGCGGTGGCTCCGCCCCTTGGCCCACCCGCAGATTGGGGAGAGGAGAGGAGGCGGGTAGAGTGCCGGGGAGTCGGGAAAGGGAGCCGGTTGTGGGGAAGGGATCGAACGAGGAGAACGATTGAGCGCCGGCTCTGCTCGCGCACCCGGTGGCCAGGTGGAGCAGGAACGAGAGGGGCTAGGCGAGGCTCAAGGGCCCGGCCCCTGTGGGAAGAGGATCGCCCGGCAGTGAGGCAAGAAAGCCGAGGCTCCCCCCGGACTGCTAGGGCTGTTGTGAGCTGAGGGGGCGCTCCTCAAGTGGCAGTCGAGGGGCATTTACAGAGGCGCCTCTGCGCCCCTGGCAAAAAAAAGTGTTCTGCAACCGCTTACTTCGCGTAATAGATGAGCCGCCCCTGATATATATACTAGCTGTCCCCTGCCACGCGTTGCTGTGGCCCAGCCTGGTGATCTGGAAAATAAAGTAATGAGAAAGTGTTGGTTTCTAATATATGTAATTCCTTTCTGCTTGTAAGTAAACAGTATTTCTTGCTGTTTCTTTGTCAGTGTTGATGTGGAGAGTGTCTGGTTTGCCTACTCTGGAATATGCAACATATCATAGTCCTTCTTTAAGGGTCTCTTTCAAATCTATGATACTATATCTGTGTGTGTGAGAGAGAATCATATCTATCTATCTATCTATCTATATTTATGATTGGATGGCTCTTTGTCAGGAGGGCTCCGATTACATTTTCTTGCCCTGGTGAACAGAGTTGGACTGGATGGCCTTCAGTCAAGGTCTATTTCCCTTAAACTCCATCTGTGTTCATATTTGGGCATATGGAATATTCGTGCCAAGTTTGGTCCAGATACATCATTGTTTGAGTCCACAGTGCTCTCTGGATGTAGGTGAACTACAACTCCCAAACTCAAGGTCAATGCCCACCAAACCCTTCCAGTTTTTTCTGTTCGTCATGGGAGCCCTGTGTGCTAAGTTTGGCCCAATTCCATCATTGGTGGAGTACAGAATTCTCTTTGATTGTAGGTAAACTATAAATCCCAGCAACGACAATTCCCAAATGACAAAATCAATTTTTTTTGAGTGGAGGACATAAATTGGACTGTTAGGTGTCTTGTGTCCAAATTTGGTGCCAACTCCCCCAGTGGTTTTTGAGTTCTGATGGTAGCAAGAACTAACATTACACACACACACACACACACACACACACACACATATATATATAATACAATACATAATACTAAAATATGATATAATAAGGAATAGGAGCATAGGAATATATATAAACATAATAGTAAAATATGACATAAAATAAGATATAATAATATGACATAATATAATTATTATATTATATTAATTAATCTTATATAAATAAAAATGTAATGTTCATTTGTGGGATTAACAGAACTCAAATTTGGGGAATTGACACCAAATTTGGACACAATACACCTATCAACCCAATGTATGTCCTTCACTCAAAAAATTCGATTTTGTCATTTGGAAGTTGTAGTTGCTAGGATTTATAGTTCAGCTACAATCAAATAGCATGATGGAATTGCACCAACCGGGGCACACAGGACTCCCATGACCAACAGAAAACACTAAAAGGGTTTGGTGAGCATTGACCTTGAGTTTGGGAGTTGTAGTTCACCTACATCCAGAGAGCACTGTGGACTCAAACAATGATGGATCTGGACCAAACTTGGCACAAATATTCCATATGCCCAAATATGAACACAGATGGAGTTTGGGGGTAATAGACCTTGACATTTGGGAGTTGTAGTTAACGAGATTTATACAACCTCGGAGGATGCTTGCCATAGATGCAGGCGAAACGTCAGGAGAGAATGCCTCTAGAACATGGCCATATAGCCCCCCAAAAAAACCTACAACAACCCAGTGATTCTGACCATTAAAGCCTTCGATAATACAATATTATTATACGTTATAACATATATACATAATATTTTTGTTATTATAATATATACGTAATTTTTAATTATTTATTATAGTGACAAATGCAAGATACTCCACTTACGCAGAAAAAAATGAAATGCAAAGGTTCAGAATGGGGGATGCCTGGCTTGAGAGAAGAACGTGTGAAAAATATCTTGGGGTCCTCGTGGACAACAAGTTAAACATGAGGTAACAATGTGATGCGGCAGCAAAAAAAGCCAGTGGGATTTTGGCCTGCATCAGTAGGAGTCTAGTGTCTAGATCCAGGGAAGTCATGCTACACTTGGTCAGACCACACCTGGAATATTGTGTCCAATTCTGGGCACCACAATTGAAGAGAAATATTGACAAGCTGGAATGTGTCCAGAGGAGGGCGGCTAAAATGATCAAGGGTCTGGAGAACAAGCCCTATGAGGAGCGGCTTAAAGAGCTGGGCATGTTTAGCCTGCAGAAGTCTGAGAGGAGACATGATAGCCATGTGAGGAGAAGTCATAGGGAGGAGGGAGCAAGCTTGTTTTCTGCTGCCCTGAAGACTAGGATGCGGAGGAATGGCTTCAAAGTACAGAAAAGGAGATTCCACCTGAACTTTAGGAAGAACTTCACTGTGAGAGCTGTTCAGCGGTGGAACTCTCTACCCTGGAGTGTGGTGGAGGCTCCTTCTATGGAGGCTTTTAAAAAGAGGCTGGATGGCCATCTGTCGGGGGTGCTTTGAACATGAATGTCCTGCTTCTTGGCAGGGGGTTGGACTGGATAGCCCATGAGATCTCTTCCAACTCTCCATCTCTACAATTCTATGATTCTACTGGAGACGTTTGAGGGGACTGACCCACTATAGTTGCAGTTTACCCTACAGCCAGGGAGCACACTGAACAATGCATCTAGAGCAAACTTCCTAACATAACAGACTTGAAGTACTGATGGAGTTTCTCAGGGTTAACCTGGCATGATGGAAGTTGTATTATTATTAAATTATTATTATTATTAAACTATATTTGTACCCCGCTAGCATCTCCCGCAGGACTCGATGCGGCTTACAAAGGCCAAGGCCTCAACACAACAACAGCAAAACAATAACAATACAATTTAAAGCAAATTAAAACATAAGCAATTACAAAACATTACATCATTACGCAATAAAAACCAGGGCCGGGCCAGTGATGGGTACAGGTTAAAAAGTGCTGGGTGTGGCAGGAGGTAGGTTGGATTTCCGGGCAAGTGCAATGTGCAGAGAGTCTTAAACTCTAATAAAGTGCTTCTGGGACGTAGTGCTGGGGTTTTCCTATTCCGGAAAGGCACATCGGAATAGCCAGGTCTTCAGATTTTTCCTGAAGACTGCCAACGTGGGTGCTAGTCTAATGTCTTTGGGGAGGGTGTTCCAGAGTCGGGGGGCAACCACAGAAAAGGCCCTGTCCCTCGTCCCCACCAAACACGCCTGTGACGCAGGTGGGATCGCTAGCAGGGCCTCTCCGGATGAACGAAGGGAGCGTGTGGGTTCATACACAGAGATGCGGTCACGCAGGTAGGCAGGTCCCCAACCGTTTAGGGCTTTGTAGGTAAGCACCTGCACCTTGAATTGGGTTCGGTAGGTAAACGGCAGCCAATGGAGCTCCTTAAACAGGAGGGTTGACCTCTCTCTGTAAGGAGTGCCAATTAACATCCTGGCCACCGCCCATTGGACCAGTTTGAATTTCCGAGCCGTTTTCAAGGGCAGCCCCACGTAGAGTGCATTACAGTAATCCAATCTAGAGGTGACCAAGGCATGGACCACCCCGGTCAAATCAACCTTTGCGAGGTACGGTCGCAGCTGGCGCACAAATCTTAGCCTCAAGCGTAAGTGATGAATCCAGGAGAACTCCCATATTGCGGACCTGTGACTTCAGGGGGAGTGTAACCCATCCAACACAGGTTGCCATCCTATACCCCAATCCGGTTTACGATTGACCAGGAGGACCTCTGTCTTGTCGGGATTGATCTTCAGCTTGTTCATCCTCATCCAGATAGCCACAGCGGCCAGGCACTCGCCCAGCACTCGAGGGGCCTCCTTGGAATTAGGTGGAAATGAGTAGTAGAGTTGTGTGTCATCTGCGTAGAGATGGCACCTAACTCCAAAACTCCGGATGACCTCTCCCAGCGGTTTCATGTAGATGTTAAAAAGCATGGGAGACAGAATAGAGCCTTGCGGGACCCCACAGGTCAAAGGCCAGGGGTCCGAGCAGGCATCTCCCAGCTTCACCATCTGGGATCGACCCTCCAGGAAGGAAAGCCACGACAGAACCGTGCCCCCGAGACCCATCCCAGAGAGTCGTCCCAGAAGGATACCATGATCGATGGTATCGAAAGCCGCTGAGATGTCCAAGAGAACCACAGAGTCACACTCCCCCTGTCCAGCTCTCTACGGAGGTCATCCACCAAGGCGACCAAGGCCGTCTCGGTGCCGTGGCCAGGCCTGAAGCCAGACTGTGACTGATCTAGGTAGGTGTTGTCATCTAGGAAGCCCTGGAGCTGGGAGGCAACCACCCGCTCCAGCACCTTGCCCAAGAAAGGGAGGTTGGAGATCGGTCTGAAATTGTTCAGCACCATGGAGTTGTAGTTCACCCACAACCTTATGCATTTTGTACAATTTAAAAAATGACTTTTTTCAAATAACCCGGGCAACACCAGGTACCCAACCTAGTGTGTGTGTGTGTGTGTGTGTATACACACACACACACACACACACACATTATTATCAATGAACAAAAATTCGAACCATCTGCCCCTTTAAGAAGTGAACACCACACAAGCCGCTTGTGACTCTCTCGCCTTTATTTCACATTTTTCTCCTTTTTTTCCTCTTCGCTTTTCCATATATATATATATCTATATATATATATGAACAAAAGAAAGAGGCTGAAAAAAGTCAGGACAAATTCCTCAAAACAATCTCCTCATAACTTATGACAAAACACTTTTCCCTTTCTTCCCGACCTCCCTTTCCTCCCCCCAACGCTCTTCCCTCCATTTACAAACATTATTATTTCCAATGTTTATTATTACTTTTTTTATTCTTTTAATATCCTCTGATCCTTGGTATTTAATACCTTCCTGGCACGAAGAAAAAAAGAAAGAAAAGAGAGAGGATTTCCTAAGTACTTGTTCTGTTTGCTGCTTTTCAGAGTGCAAACTCTCCTATATTCTTTTTGTTCTGTGACATATAAAAAACACGCAAACAATTCCTGTTAAAAGACATAATTATTAATTGGCATTCCTTTTCCCGAACCGGAAACTATGGGTAGTCGCCCAGGATAGGATCCGGACAGCAATCCGTTTCCAATGGGTTTCGGCCCAACAATCTGAAGGAAGGGGAGATAGTAGAAGGGGGATGGACTGGATGGCCTTTGGGGGTCCCTTCCAACTCTTAAGATTCTATGATATATCTATCATAATTATTATTAATTGGCATTGTTTTTGTTTGTTTTTATATAACCTAAACACTGTTCATTTCCAGTTGTAAATTGATTTTTTTTTTTTAAACTGGCTTTGTCCTCCATTCAGCTGCAGTTTCGTTTAGCAGCATCAGGGGAACAAAACACATTGGGTGATATAATGGGATAAAGTGAGAATAATGATATTATATAACCATATAATTATATAATATAATTATATTATTAATAATAATAATGGAGCCCCCGATGGCACAGTGGGTTAAACCCCTCTGCCGGCAGGACTGAAGACCGACAGGTCACAGGTTCGAATCCGGGGAGAGGCGGATGAGCTCCCTCTATCAGCTCCAGCTCCTCATGCGGGGACATGAGAGAAGCCTCCCACAAAGATGATAAAAACATCGAATCATCCAGGCGTCCCCTGGGCAACGTCCTTGCAGATGGCCAATTCTCTCACACCAGAAGCGACTTGCAGTTTCTCAAGTCCCTCCTGACATGACCAAAATTTTTTGTTATTAATAATAGTAATAATAATAATAAATTTTCATTCCTTCCAATGTTTCTTTTCCCAAAGGTCCCTCATTCAACCAATGGCTATTCACTCATTCATGTCTCAATGGGATCTATTCTTACTTCATTCATAAAGCTTCATTCACTTCTCAATGGAATCTATTATTATCTCATTCGTAAAATGGCGGACTGTTGTACGAATGGAGAAATCAGGAGGTTGAGATTATGATTAATAGTATTATAACTTCTTTAAAATACTTCTAGGATTTGAAGGCAACATTTGAACCCTCCCGACAGAAGGACAGCTTGCTATTGTTATGATAGCAATATGATTATAGCAATACAATTTCTATCATTGGAAGAGACCATTTAAACCCTCCTGACAGTTGGCCAGCTTGCCGACGAAGATTTTCGGCTTTTCAAAGAGAAGGAAAGCAAAAGATAAGAGGGGTTAAAAAAATATAATATAATACAAGGGTCGTCCCAACACTGACAGTATCATCATCATCGTTATGATTATTTCTTATCAAAAGAGACTTCCTGAACCATCAAACAACTGGTCACTGTTTTGTTTTGTTTTTTCTGTAAAAAGGCGCATCAATGCCATCCTCATAGGGCCCAATGAGGCTCTTTTCTGACACCGTTAACATATATAATATATATATATATATATATATAATAATATATATAAAATTGACAGCATACAATAGTCCTTACAAGCAGGGGGCGGGGAAGGAAGGGGCCTTTGACCCCAGGAAGTGACCAAAAGGAAGGTCCAGCTTTGGACGGAGAAGCCACGACGGTCCTTGTTGGTGCATCTTCTTCCTGAACCAGAAACAATGGGTAGTCGGCCAGGATAGGATCCGGACGGTGGCCCATTTCCAATGGGTTTCAGCCCAAAGTGGGTCCATTGAGCCAAAGGAAGGGAAGGAGGGATGATCTGGTATCAGAGCAACGTCTATGTTTGTTTGTGTTTTTAAAAAAGAGAGGGGTTTGGGGTCTTTCTGTGGGGCAGGAGGTCACGTAGTGACGGCCTCTAGGTAGCTCTGCAGCTTGCGGACAGTGCTCTCGTCGAGGGAGAAAAGGTCAAAGTCGAAGGTGGTGGTCGTCACATTGAAGTGGCCTGTCTCCTCAATCAGGTTCACGATCTACACGAGAAGGAAAGGGGGAAGGAAGGACACAAGACATTAAAAACTCACTTGAGTCAGCCTTCTCCTTAGTGGTAAATATATCCACTCATATTCATGCAAGGTAGTTAGGTTTCTCAGCTATTAAATTGGTATACCTAGGTATCTCTTTGAACTGTTAGGGACAAAGATATGCCAATGCACACACACACACACACATATATATATATATAGAGAGGGCAGAGTTTCAAAAGTGTTATTTCAGTTGCCTAAAAAACTTCTACTCTCCCTTAAAACATCTTTCCTTTAAATCAGGGGTCCCCAAACTACAGCCCGCGGGCCACTTCCGGCCCGCCAAGGGCACTTATCTGGCCCGCGGAGGAGGAGCGTCCCCCCCACACAGTGCCCCTCCCTTGGCAGGCTCACGCTATCCGTCAGGCTGATGGGCAGCGTGAGCCAGCCAAGGGCAGCTGCTCCGCGAGGTCTACTCGCGCGTAAAGCACCTCGTGAGGTGCTTTACTCACACATAGGCCGCGCGGGCCTGCTCCTCCTTGGCAGGCTCACGCTATCCGTCAGGCCCGATGGACAGTGTGAGCCAGCCAAGGGAGCTGCTCCGCATGGTCTACTCGCGCATAAAGCACCTCGCGAGGTGCTTTACTCGCAAGTAGACCACACGGGGTTGCTCCTCCCTTGGCAGGCTCACGCTATCCGTCAGGCCGATGGGCAGCGTGAGCCAGCCAAGGGCAGCTGCTCCGCGAGGTCTACTCGCACGTAAAGCACCTCGCGAGGTGCTTTACGCGCAAGTAGGCCGCAGGGCTGCTCCTCCCTTGGCAGGCTCACGCTAATCGTCAGGCCCGATAGGCAGCGTGAGCAAGCCAAGGGAGGCTGCTCCGGCACTCCATGCAGTCATGCCGGCCACATGACCTTGGAGGTGTCTACGGACAACGCCGGCTCTTCGACTTAGAAATGCAGATGAGCACCACACCCCAGAGTCAGACACGACTGGACTTCATGTCAGAGGAAAACCTTTAACTAGGAAAATTGTGGAAGATCCAGGGTGGGAGAAAGAACTCTTGTCTGTTGGAGGTAGGTATGAATGTTTCAATTGGCCACCTTGATTACCATTTCATAGCCTGACAGTTTTTAGGGAGAATCCTTTGTTGAGAGGTGATTAGCTGGCCCTGATTGTTTCTTGTCTCGAGTTCCCCTGTGTTTGAGTGTTGTTCTATATTTACAGTTATAATTTTAGAGTTTTTTAAATACTGGTAGCCAGATTTTTGGTCAGACTAGAAATAGGAAGATTTCCCATTCTCTGCTCCTGGAATTACTGCCTAAAGAGGGCTAGAAAGAACCCCCTCTAAGGGCCCTTCCACACAGCAAAATAAGATATGTGCAATGTGCATAGGAATTTTTTATTAATTTTTTTTTTTTAAAAAAAACCTATAGTCCGGCCCTCCAACTGTCTGAGGGACAGTGAACTGGCCCCCGGTTTAAAAAGTGTGAGGACCCCTGCTTTAAATCATGCCCTCAGGAGACAAAATATGTAGTCTTTCAATGTAACATAGTTGGCTTACTCACAAACTTCATGTATTCAGCATACAGGTACATTGCTTATCAGTCCAGTTACAGATAGGATTTGAATTAGTTTCTCTATGCAGGGCATTTTTCTGAAAATCAACAGTCCAACGTCTAAAGCACCTCCCCGATCTAAGAGTCTAATAGAGTCTCTTGTCTTGTCTGAAAGTCCAATGGAGTCTGAGTCCTGAACAGTCTCAGATCTGATCACATGGTCTCCCACAACACAGAGCTAAGGGAAACTTCACGCCAATACACACATATACAACACAGTGAGCAATCTGATTTATATGCATAACAAATGACTAGTATAGGAGGCTTGTAGAAGGTTGCCATTTCCAACAAGAAACCAGGATGAGGTTGGAAAGCATTAGCAGAGGGGTCCTCAAAAGAATAATAATAATAATCATCATCATCATCATCATCATCATCATCACAGTAATAATAATATGTAGCAATAATTAGTAGCAATAGAATAATAATAAGTGCAATAATATGTAGTAGTAATAATGGCAATAATAATAAAAGCAACAAGTAGGAGTAATATCAATAATTAGTAATAAGAGAAATAATAAGTAGTAATAATAAGCAGCAGTAGCAGTAGTAATAGCAATAATAATTGCAATAAGTGGCAATAAAGAATGGTAACAATAGCAATAATAATAAGCAGTAATAATAGTAATAAAATAATAATAATAGCAACAAGCAGGAGTAATAGTAGCAATAATAATAGATTGTAATAATAATAGAAATACTAAGCGGTAATAAGAAGTAGCAGTAGCAGTATAATAATAATAATAATAATAATAATAATAATAATAATAATAATAGCAATTTTTTTCTCGTGTCAGGAGAGACTTGAGAATCTGCAAGTCACTTCTGGTGTGAGAGAATTGGCCATCTGCAAGGACGTTGCCCAGGGGACGCCCAGATGATTTGATGTTTTATCATCCTTGTGGGAGGCTTCTCTCGTGTCCCCGCATGAGGAGCTGGAGCTGGTAGAGGGAGCTCATCCGCCTCTCCCCGGATTTGAACCTGCGACCTGTCTTTAGTCCTGCCGGCACAGGGGTTTAACCCACTGCATCACCAGGGGCTCCAATAATAGCAATAATAAGTAGTAATAATAGCAATAATAATAAGTAGTAATAATAATAGAAATAATGATAATAGAAATAATAATAATAGCAATAATAATGGGGAAAATAATAACAGAAATGATGACAATGACAATGATAATAGAAATAATTAGTAATAATAATAGCAATCACAATAATAAGTAGCAGTAGTAATAAATAACAACAACAACAAAATAGGCATCTCATTATGTCTGATTATCAGTACATACTATAACAACAATAATAAAAAACAACAACAACAATAACAATAAACCAAGTATGGATCATTGATGTTGCAGACGACAGCAGGATCAAAGAGAAACAACTGGAAAAGCTGACTCAATGCGAGGATTTAAAGATCTATCTGCAAAGCCTCTGGAACAAGCCAGTCAAGGAGGTCCCAGCGGTGATCGACACACTGGGTGTAGTGCCTAAAGACCTTGGCCTGCACTTAAAACATAATTAGTGCTGACAAAATCACTACCTGTCAGCTGCAAAAGGCCACCCTACTGGGATCTGCATGCATTATTCGCCGATACATCACATAGTTCTAGACATTTGGGAAGTGTCTGAAGTGTGATCCAATTCAACAGTCAGCAGAGTGATCTTGTTTGCTGTGCACTCATCTTGTTGTGTTTCAGTAATAATAATAATAATAAATAATAATAATAATAATAATAATAATAAGCTTCTCAAAGCACAGCAGACAAAGAGTCAGTACAAGAAAACTGCACTACAAACCAGAGCTGACAGCTGGCACAACAAAGCCTTGCGTGAGAAGATTGAAGGAAAAGTTGACAAGGAGAAGACCTGGTTATGGCTCACGAATGGAACCCTGAAGAAGGAGACAGAAGGCCTGATTCTTGCAGCCCAAGAGCAAGCCATCAGAACCAATGCAATTAAGGCCAGGACTGAAAAGTCAGCGGATGACCCAAAATGCAGATTGCGCAAGGAAGCTGATGAAACCATCTCCTCAGCTGTTGCAAGAAAATCGCACAGGCGGACTACAAACAAAGACACAACTCTGTGGCCCAGATGATTCACTGGAACTTATGCCTCAGGGGAGCGTGCTTGCTCCATCCATGTTCAACATCTACACAAATGACCAGCCACTGCCAGAAGGGACAGAGAGTTTCATCTATGCTGATGATCGTGCCATTACCGCTCAAGCAGGGAGCTTTGAGATGGTTGAACAGAAGCTCTCCGAAGCTCTAGGTGCTCTAACTGCCTATTACAGGGAAAACCAACTGATCCTAATCCATCTAAAACACAGACATGTGCCTTTCACCTTAAGAACAGACAAGCATCCCGAGCTCTGAGGATCACCTGGGAAGGAATCCCACTGGAGCATTGCAGCACACCCAAATACCTGGGAGTCACTCTGGACCGTGCTCTGACCTACAAGAAGCACTGCCTGAACATCAAGCAAAAAGTGGGTGCTAGAAACAATATCATACGAAAGCTGACTGGCACAACCTGGGGATCACAACCAGACACAGTGAAGACATCTGCCCTTGCGCTGTGCTACTCTGCTGCTGAATACGCATTCCCAGTGTGGAACACATCTCACCACGCTAAAACAGTGGATGTGGCTCTTAATGAGACATGCCGCATTATCACGGGGTGTCTGCGCCCTACACCACTGGAGAAATTACACTACTTAGCCGGTATTGCACCACCTGACATCCGCCGGGAAGTAGCAGCCAATAGTGAAAGGACCAAGGCAGAGACATCTCCAGCTCATCCCCTGTTTGGGTATCAGCCAGCACGTCAATGACTTAAATCTAGAAATAGTTTTCTTAGATCTACAGAGACACTCGCTGGAACACCTCAGCAAGCGAGAGTCCAAAAGTGGCAGGCTCAAACCCAGAACCTCAACCAATGGCTGATACCAAATGAGAGACTCCCCCCTGGGCACACAGAAAACTGGGCGACTTGGAAGGCGCTGAACAGACTGCGCTCTGGCACCAAGATGCAGAGCCAACCTTAAGAAATGGGGCTACAAAGTGGAATCCACGACATGCGAGTGTGGAGAAGAGCAAACCACTGACCACCTGCTGCAATGCAACCTGAGCCCTGCCACATGATGCACCATGGAGGACCTTCTTGCGGCAACACCAGAGCCACTCCAAGTGGCCAGATACTGGTCAAAGGACATTTAATCAGCTACCAAGTTTGCAAAATTTGTGTGTGTTTTTTTTATCTGTCTGTTTGTTTTGTTCTGTTAGAAATGTAATACAATGTTCTGGTTGCGGATGACACGATAAATAAATGTCACAAGTACTACCTGCCAACAGCAAAGAATTGGTGGGATCATAAACCCGCAAAGGTCATGGAAAATGAACACGCAAAAATACTGTGGGACTTTTGAATCCAGACTGACAAAGTTTTGGAACACAATACACCAGACATCACGACTGTGGAAAAGAAAAAAGTCTGGATTATTGATGTCGCCACACCAGGTGATAGTCGCATTGAGGAAAAACAACAGGAAAAACGCAGCCGCTATGAAGACCTCAAAATCAAACTGCAAAGGCTCTGGCATAAACCACTACAGGTGGTCCCAGTGGTCATTGGCGCACTGGGTGCCGTGCCAAAAGATCTCAACCGGCATTTGGAAACAATAAACATCGACAAAATTGTTGTTGTTCCAGTGTGCCTTCCCAGAATAAGCAATATTCCTCAAATGCACTTTAATATTGATTAGGATTGTCTGCGCGCCCTCTTCTTTCTTTGAAAACCCTAGTTTTCCTAATTTACCCTACGGCGCTCCATGCAGTCATGCCGGCCACATGACCTTGGAGGTGTCTACGGACAACGCTGGCTCTTCGGCTTAGAAATGGAGATGAGCACCACACCCCAGAGTCAGACATGACTGGACTTAATGTCAGGGGACTACCTTTACCTTTTTTAGTTTACTCTACCTGTTCATGCCCAGCATTTTAAATTTTAATTATTACATTTGGCCCGGCCATAGGTTTTTAAATGCTGTATGTTATTGTTATTGTTGATTGCTTATTGTGTATTTTTGTTTTTGAGTTTTATTTTAACTGTTTGTATTGATTATTTGTTATTGCCTTTGTTTATTGATGTGGCGTGGGCTTGGCCTCATGTAAGCCGCACAGAGTCCCTTGGGGAGATGGTAGCGGGGTACAAATCAAGTTTTATTATTATTATTTTATTATTATTATTAAAATCTGTCAACTGCAGAAGGCCACCTTACTTGGATCTGCGCACATCATTCGAAAATACATCACACAGGCCTAGACGCTTGGGAAGTGTTTGACTTGTGATTTTGTGATACGAAATCCAGCATATAGATCTCGTTTGCTGTGACATACTGTGTTTTTGTGTCAGTAAAATAATAATAATAATAATAATAATAATAATAATAATAATAGATTTGATTTACTATTTATTTATTTATTTAGAACTTTTATATACCGGTCTTCTCACCTCCAACGAGAGACTCAGGCCTGTTTACAACAAGGGGGTTCATACACAATAGTTTAAAAACATCACATCAATAATACACTAATATAAACACATTAAAGTACTATCATATCTCTATATATATAAATGCTCTGTGCATAATGAGTTCCTTAAAAACAAAAGAAACAATGAACGAAATCACACCAAATTTGGCAACAAAACGTCTCACAACACAAGGAGTGACCATCACTCAAAAAATTAGGATTTTGTTATTTGGGAGTTGTAGTTGCTTGAATTTATAGTTCACCTACAGTCAAAGAGCATTCTGAACTCCATCAACGAGGGAATTGAATCAAACTTGGCACCAGAACTCCCATGAAACACAGACAACACTAGAAGGGTTTGGTGGGCATTGACCTTGAGTTTGGGAGTTGTAGTTCACCTACATCCAGAGAGGACTGTGGACTCAAACAATGATGGATCTGGACCAAACTTGGCACAAGCACTCAATACGCCCAAATATGAACACAGATGGAGTCTGGGGGAAATAGAATCTTGACATTTGAGAGTTGTCGTTACTGGGATTTATAGTTCACCTACAATCAAAGAGCATTCTGAAACCCACGAACGACAGAATCGGGGCAAACTTCCCACAGAGAACCCATCATAACAGAAAATACTTAAGGCCATCCAATCCAACTCCCTTCATCAGGGCAAGAAAACATAATCAAAGTCCTCCTGACAAAGAGCCATCCAGCCATAGATATAGATAGAGAGAGAGATAGATATGATTCACGCACACAGAGATATAGTATCACAGATTTGAAAGGGACCCCTAAAAGAAGGACAATGATATGTTGCATGTTCCAGAGTAGGCAAACCAAACAATCTCCACATCAACACTGACCCATAAACAACAAGGAATACTGTTTACCCACAAGCATAAAGGAATTACATATATTAGAAACCATTACTTTATTTTCCAGATCACCAGACTGGGCCACATCAACGCGTGGCAGGGGACAGCTAGTAATTATATAAAGCCAAGTCATTGGCATAAAAATTACTATTCATCCCCATCTGTCCGTGTGGTCAAAAGCCATTGCCTCACTCATCAAATGCCAGATTCCAAACCAGGTTTTCACCAACTTTCTAAAGGTCAGGAGGGAAGGGGCAGTTCTAATCTCCAATGGGAGAGAGTTCCAGAGCCGAGGGGCTACCACCGAGAAGGCCCTGTCCCTCGTCCCCACCAGACGCGATTGCGAAGACGGTGGGACTGAGAGCAGGGTCCCTCCAGAAGATCTTAACAACCTTGATGGTTCATAGGGGAGAATCCGTTCGGACAGGTAAACTGGGCCGGAGTCGTTTAGGGATTTATAGGTCAACACCAGCACTTTGAATTGTGCTCGGAAGCTAATTGGCAGCCAATGGAGCTGGCGCAACAGAGGAGTAGTATGCTCCCTGTACCCCGCTCCTGTTAGTAATCTGGCTGCCGCTCGTTGGACTAATTGCAGCTTCCAGGCAGTCTTCAGAGGCAACCCCACGTAGAGAGCGTTGCAGTAGTCTATACAGGATGTAACCAGAGCGTGGACCACCGTGGCCAAGTCAGACTTCTATGTGACTGTAATGCACACCTGAATGCTGAGGAGGACATGAAGCCCCAAAAGGTGAGCACGAGATCCAGGGAAAGGGTTGCAAATGAGCCTAACGCACATTGGGAAAACCCTTTCCTTACCTGCTGAAGGACGTTCCGTTCCCTTAAGGCCATCAGTCGCCGGTGGAGCTCCACCAGTTCGTCCGTGTAGGCCTGGCAGAGGGAAAGAAGAGGGAAAAGATGAAAGGAAGAGAAAGAGGGTGGTCAGTCAGTGAGGGAAAGGAGCAGGGCCTCCCCCTCCCTCCCTCCGATTTCCCAGGGTGCTCTGGGACAAGAGAGGTGTGGCCTGACTCACCTTGTCGTAGGTGCCTTTCTTCAGCATCTTCTCCGACTTGCTGCAGGACTCAGGGCTCTTTCTCCCGGAAACCTAGAAGAGAGAGAGGGAAGTGGTTAGGGTTGGGTGGCTTTTGTAGGGCCAGATAAGAGGGATAGATATAGGGATAAAAGAGAGACAGAGAGAGGGGGTGTGTGGGGTGTGGATAGATAGAGGGATACATAGCAGAGAGCAGTGTTTCTCAACCTTCCTAATGCCGTGACCCCTTAATACAGTTCCTCATGTTGTGGTGACCCCCAATCATAACATTATTTTCATTGCTACTTCACAACTGTCGTTTTCCTACTGTTATGAATCGTCATGTAAATATCTGATCTGCAGGATGTATTTCCATTCACTGGACCAAATTCGGCACAAATACCTGAATCACCCAAATTTGAATACTGGTGGGGTTTGGGGAGGGATTGTTTTTGTCATTGTAGTTGCTGGGATTTATAGTTCACCTACAATCAAAGAGCATTCTGAACGAACCATCAAGATTGTTAAGATCGTCTGGAGGGGCCCTGCTCTCGATCCCACCAGCCTCACAAGCGCGTCTGGTGGGGACGAGGGACAGGGCTTTCTCGGTGGTGGCCTCTCGGCTCTGGAACTCTCTCCCACTGGAGATCAGAACTGCCCCTTCTATCTTGCCGTTCAGAAAACAGGTGAAAACTTGGCTCTGGAAATTGGCATTCGACAAATGAGTCAATATTCTGTGATATGGATGGATGATGATGAACAACGATTTTATTGTGATGACTGACCATTGTAATTATATGACTGCACTTTGCTATTTTAATGTTTTTAGTCTAATATGCAATATGATGTTTTTTTAATGATTATTTGTGATATTACTGTTGGAAACCGGCCTCAGTCCCTCGATGGAGGTGAGAAGACAAAACTGCTAAATAAATAAATAAAAATAAACTCCACCAACAATGGAAATCGGCCAAAGTTAGCACACAGAACTCCCATGTTCAGCAGAAAATACTGGTAGGGTTTGGTGGGCCATGACCTTGAGTTTGGGTTGTAGTTCACCTACAGCCAGAGAGCACTGTGGACTCGAACAATGATGGATCTGGACCAAACTTGGCGCAAATACCTGATATGCTGAAATGTGAACACTGGTGGAGTTTGGAGAAAATAGAACATGACATTTGGGAGTTGTAGTTGCTGGGATTTATAGTTCCCCTACAACCAAAGAGCATTCTGAACTCCACCAATGATAGAATTGGGCCAAACTTCCCACACAGAACTCCCATGACCAACAGAAAATACTGTGTTCTCTGATGATCTTTGGGGACCCCTTTGACACCCGCTCTCGACCCCCCCTAGGGGTCCCGACCCCCAGGGTGAGAAACGCTGGCATAGAGGAATAGATAGAAGGATAGAATCATAGAGTTGGAAGAGACCTCATGAACCATCCAGTCCAACCCCCTGGCAAGAAGCAGGAAAATTGGATTCAAAGCAGACAGACAGACAGACTGATTGATTGATTGATTGATGGCTAGAGAGAGGGATGGATGGATAGATAGAAAGACAGAGGGATAGATAGATGGATGGATGGACAGACAGATAGATAAAAGGATAGATAAAGTAGGTAGGTAGGTAGATGGATGGATGGACAGATAAATAGAGGGACAGACAGACAGACTAATAATAATAATAATAATAATAATAATAATAATAATGCTGCTTTATTTATACCCCGCTCCATCTCCCCCAGGGGATCTCGGTGCAGTTTACATGAGGCCATGCCCATCAATACAATACAAGCTAAAACACAAACACAATAAAACAAGCAAAATACATAAAAAGCAAAATCAAAATAAACAACACAACAATACAAAATCAAGCATTCAAAACACAGGAAATTTCACTAGGCAGGGCCAGATGCATGGATAAAATTATAGAAAATATTAAAAACACTGGGAGATAGGGCAGAGTAACTTATAAGGAGGAGGCTCCAGAAATGAGGAAAAAATTCATTGCACAACCCATAAAGTGCGTCTAAGATACAGAGATAGAAAGACGGATAGACAGACAGATACAGGGATACATAGTTGGAAGGACAGATACATAGAGGGATAGATACGTAGAGGGATAGATAAAAGGATAGATAGATAAATAGCAGATCGACAAAAAGTGGGATAGACAGATAGCGGGATGGATAGATGGCTGGATAGATAGAGGGACGGACAGATAGATAGATAGATAGATAGATAGATAGATAGATAGATAGATAGATAGATAGACAGACAGACAGACAGATATAGATAAACAGATAGATACAGGGATAGAAGGATAAATACATAGAAGGATAGGTACATAAATAAAGGGATAGATAGACAGATAGATGGATGGACAGATCCAATGAGGGATCCCTAGGAGGGCCACCTTGTTGTGGGAGGGGGGCGGCTTCTGGCTGGGAGGGGCCTCTCGGCTGGGGAGGCAGGAGTCCATGCTGTTGTCGCTGTCGCTGTCGCTGGGGCTGAGCCTGCAAGGAAGCAAGGGGGGAGTCATATAATTTAATATAACACTATGCAATACGAGTTTTGTTCCTGGGTTATTAATATCATTTCTTAATTGGTTCCATCATAAAAATGTGGGAAAAGTGTGTGTGTGTATACACACACACATACATATCTATCTATGCCATGGATGGCCCTCTGTTGGGAGGGATCGGATGGTGTCTTCATGTATTAGAATGGGTATCTATATCTGACATCTATCTATAGTATGATATAGATCCAACTCGGAGGATCCCACAATTCTTTCTTTCCTTTGTGGTGTCTCTGGGTGTGTCAAGGAGGCGTGGCCTCTTATCCATTCATTGATCCACCTCTTCATTCATTCTTTTGGGTGTGTCCAGGAGGTGGGGCCTCCTCACCTGGCATCCCGCCCAACAGGGGTGGCCTTGGGGGCGGCCTCCTCTGCACCAGAAGAGCTGTCGTCCTCATCCGACTCCTCCGACTGCAGGTCCTCCACCATGGAGCGCAATGGACCTGCAAGCAAGCCGTCAAGAGTATGATATATTATTGTATTATACTATTATTATTATATTATACTATTAAATATATATTATTATACTACTATATTTATTATTACTTATATATCTATATAAATAAAAATGTAATGTTAGTTCGTGCTACCATCAGAACTCAAAAACCACTGGGGGAATTGACACCAAATTTGGACACAAGACACCTAACAGTCCAATTTATGTCCTCCACTCATTTCGTCATTTGGGAATTGTCATTGCTGGGATTTATAGTTTACCTACAATCAAAGAGCATTCTGAACTCCACCAATGATGGAATTGGGCCAAACTTAGCACGCAGGGATCCCATGACCGACAGAAAAAAACTGGAAAGGTTTGGTGAACATTGACCTTGAGTTTGGGAATTATAGTTCATCCACATCCAGAGAGCACTGTGGACTCAAACAATGATGGATCTGGACCAAACTTGGCACGAATATTCCATATGCCCAAATATGAAGACAGATGGAGTTTAAGGGAAATAGACCTTGGCATTTGGGAGTTGTGCTTGCTGGGATTTATAGTTTACCTACAATCAAAGAGCATTCTGAACTCCACCAATGATGGAATTGAACCAAAAATGGCATACAGGACTTCCGTGACCAACAGAACACACTGGAAGGGTTTAGTGGACATTGACCTTGAGTTTGGGAGTTGTAGTTCACCTACATCCAGAGAGCACTGTGGACTCAAACAATGATGGATCTGGACCAAACTTGACACAAAAAATCCATGTGCCTAAATATGAACACAGATGGAGTTTGGAGGAAATAGACCTTGACATTTGGGATTTGTAGTTACTGGGATTTATAGTTCACTACAATTAAAGAGCATTCTGAAACCCACAAACGACAGAAATGGGGCAAACCTCCCACACAGAACCCCCATGACCAACAGAAAATACTGAAGGCCATCCTGTCCAACTCTCTTCACCAGGGCAAGAAAATGTAATCAGAGCCCTCCTGACAAAGAGCCATCCAGTCATAAATATAGATAGATAGATATGATTCTCTCTCACACACACAGATATAGTATCATAGATTTGAAAGAGATCCTTATAGAAGGACTATGATATGTTGCATAGTCCAGAGTAGGCAAACCAGACACTCTCCACATCAACACTGACAAAGAAACAGCAAGAAATACTGTTTACTCACAAGCATAAAGAAATGACATATATTAGAAACCAACACTTTCTCATTACTTTATTTTCCAGATCACCAGACTGGGCCACAGCAATGCGTGGCAGGGGACAGCTAGTATATATTTATGTAGAGAGAGAGTGAGAGAGAGTGTAAAAAGGTAAAGGTAGTCTCCTGACATTAAGTCCAGTCATGTCTGACCCTGGGGTGTGGTGCTCATCTCCATTTCTAAGCCGAAGAGCCAGCGTTGTCCGTAGACACCTCCAAGGTCATGTGGCCGGCATGACTGCATGGAACGCCGTTACCTTCCCGCCGGAGCGGTACCTATTGATCTACTCACATTTGCATGTTTTCAAACTGCTAGGTTGGCAGAAGCTAGGGCTGACAGTGGAAGCTCACGCCACTCCCCGGAATCGAACCTGCGACCTCTCGATCAACAAGCTCAGCAGCTCAGTGCTTTAACCCACTGTGCCACCAGGGGCTCCACGAGAGAGAGTGTATATATTTGGGCATATGGAATATTTGTGCCAAGTTTGGTCCAGATCCATCATTGTTTGAGTCCACAGTGCTCTCTGGATGTGGGTGAACTATAATTCCCAAACTCAAGGTCAATGTACACCAAACCTTTCCAGTTTCTTCTGTTGGTCATGGGAGCCCTGTGTGCTAAGTTTGGCCCAATTCCATCATTGGTGGAGTTCAGAATGCTCTTTGATTGTAGGTAAACTATAAATCCCAGCAATGACAATTCCCAAATGACAAAATCAATTTTTTTGAGTGGAGGACATAAATTGGACTGTTAGGTGTCTTGTGTCCAAATTTGGTGTCAATTCCCCCAGTGGTTTTTGAGTTCTGATGGTAGCACGAACTAGGATCGACAGCAAATTCAGTGTTTACGTCGCTCTGAAAGGTTTCGTCTGATAAGGGGTAATTGTGGGGGAAAGCAAACCAATTTCTGAGTTTTGGGATATAAGGTTTGCCTCAAGGGGAAACCTGTTAGATCAGGCATCGTTTGGAAATCAATGTAATGTGCCATGGAAATCCTGTTCATGGGGTCTTGTTCCTGTGGAGTTTTTTTAGCCTTTTGGATTGTCTTTGCATCTTGTTGATTCCTCTCTGGATTAATACTGTCTTGGATTGTTTTTATATCTGGTGTGGACATTGCTTTGTATTACTACCTTTTATGGGCTTAGTACTTTTTGGAACTTTCTTATTTTCTTACAAGCATTTATTTCTTCTGGCTGTTTACTAAGTTTCAATAAAAGAAGATTTGTTTCTTACTCTTCGTGTGGTGTGTTTTAAAGTCAGAGGGCTTTTTCCTGACCTGGAGTGCAACAACTATAATGAATTCCAGGGCCAGAGAAGCAGATGGCGGAAACAGAAGAACGGCCTGCCTCAGGGGAGCGTGCTTGCTCCATCCATGTTCAACATTTACACAAATGACCAGCCATTGCCAGAAGGGACAGAGAGTTTCATCTATGCTGACGATCGTGCCATTACCGCTCAAGCAGGGAGCTTTGAAAAGGTGGAGCATAAGCTCTCCAAAACTTTAGGTGCTCTTACTGCCTCTTACAGGGAAAATCAGCTGATTCCTAAGCCATCTAAAACACAGACGTGTGCTTTTCACCTTAAGAACAGACAAGCACCTCAAACTCTGAGGATGATCTGGGAACGAATCCCACTGGAGCACTGCAGCACACCTAAACACCTGGGAATCACCTTGGACCATGCTCTGACAAAGAAGCACTGCTTGAATATCAAGCAAAAAGTGGGTGCTAGAAACAATATTTTACAAACGCTGACTGGCACAACCTGGGGATCACAACCAGACACAGTGAAGACATCTGCCCTTGCATTTTGCCACTCTGCTGCTGAATACGCATGCCCAGCGTGGAACATATCTCACCACACTAAAACAGTGGATGTGGCTCTTCATGGGATGCTGCATTATCACAGGTTGTCTATGCCCCACACCACTGGAGAAATTATACTGTCTAGCCGGTATTGCACCACCTGACATCCACCAGGAAGTAGTGGCCAGTAGTAAAAGGACCAAGGCAATGACATCTCCAGCCTATCCTCTGTTTAGATAAATTGCCTTAAATCAAGAAATAGCTTCCTGTGATCTACAGAGATACTCGCAGGAACACCTCAGCAAGCTAGAGTCCAAAAGTGGCAGGCTAAAGCCAGGAACCTCAATCAGCGGCTGAGACCAGATGAGACACTCCCTCCTGGGCACACAGAAGGCAGGTCAAATTGGAAGGTGCTAAACAGGCTGCGCTCTGGCACCACCAGATGCAGAGACAACCTTAAGAAATGGGGCTACAAAGTGGAGTCCATGACATGCGAGTGTGGGGAAGAGCAAACCACAGACCACTGACTGCAATGCAGCCTGAGCCCTGCCCCATACACAAGGGAGGACCTCCTCACAGCCACACCAGAGGCACTCCAAGTGGCCAGCTTCTGGTCAAAGGACATTTAGCATCATGCCAAGTTTGTGTAAACTTTGTGTTTTTTAAATACATTACAACTATACTCTCAGTTCGCTTCTGATACGACAAATAAATAAATAAAACAATATTATTAAAATATAGGATTTATTGCTTACGTCGCAGAGTCAGAGGTTTAGTATAATATACTTCATGGCTTATGTCACAGACTCTGATGTTTTTTATAAGAGTAATAATAATAATAATAATAATAATAATAAAAAAAAAATATTATTAAAATATATTATTTATTGCTTATGTCACAGACTTAAGAGGTGTTTTATAATAATAATAATAATAATAATAATAATAATAATAATTTTTTAAAAACTTTATTTGTACCCCGCTATTATCTCCCCAAGGGACTCGGTGCGGCTTAAATGAGGCCAAGCCCACATTACATCAATAAACAAAAGCGATAACAAATAATCAATACAGAACAGTTAAAATAAAACTTAAAAACAAAAAATACGCAACTAGCAATAAACAATAACAATAACTTTCAGCATCTAAAAACCTATGGCCGGGCCAAATGTAATAATTAAAATTTAAAATGCTGGACATGAACAAGGTAGGGTAAACTAGGATAGGGTTTTTAAGGAAAGATGAGGGCATGCAGACAATCCTAAATCAATGTATTGTAGAAGGCTTTCATGGCTGGAATCACTAGGTTCTTGTGGGTTTTTTCGGGCTATAGGGCCATGTTCTAGAGGCATTTCTCCTGACGTTTCGCCTGCATCTATGGCAAGCATCCTCAGAGGTAGTGAGGTCTGTTGGAATTAGGACAATGGGTTTATATATCTGTGGAATGGCTGGGGTGGGGCAAAGAGCTTTTCTCTGCTGGAGCTAGGTGTGAATGTTTCAACTGACCACCTTCATTAGCATTTGAAGGCCTGGCTGAGCCTGGGAAAATCTTTTGTTGAGAGATGTTAAAATCTGGCTACCAGTATTAAAAAACTCTAAAATTACAACAGCAAAACAGCAGAGAGGAAACAACCAGGCACATCTTAACACCTCTCAACAAAAGATTTTTCCAGGCTCAGCCAGGCCTTCAAATGCTAATGAAGGTGGTCAGTTGAAACATTCACACCTAGCTCCAGCAGAGAAGAGCTCTTTGCCCCACCCCAGCCATTCCACAGATATATAAACCCATTGTCCTAATTCCAACAGACCTCACTACCTCTAAGGATGCTTGCCATAGATGCAGGCGAAATGTCAGGAGAAATGCCTCTAGAACATGGCCCTATAGCCCGAAAAAACCCACAAGAACCTAATCCTAAATCAATATTAAAGTGCATTTGAGGACATATTGCTAAGAGTTTTTCTTATTCTGGGAATAACAACAACAATAATACATGCACAATGGAGAACCTTCTCTCAGTGACACCAGAGGCACTCCAAGTGGCCCATCTTCTGGACAAAGGACATTTAGTACAATGCCAAGTTTTCAACTTTGTGGTTTTAAATAAATTACAACTGTACTCTCAATTTGCTTCAGACACAATATATAAAAATATTACTATATAGTATTATACTATTATTATAATTATATATTACTACTACTACTATTGACACATATCATCATTATTATAATATTAATATTATGCTATTATATATTTTGTATTATTATATAATGATGATTATATACTATATTACTATATGATATTATGTTTTTCTCAAGGGGAACGCACCTTGGCTGTGGTTCTGTGAAGGTTCAAAATCGGAGTCGGAGCTGGAGTCAGAACTGGAGCTGGAGTTGGAAGGGCTGGAAGGAGCCGACTTGCAGGCGGAAGGAAGGAAAGAAAGGAAAGAAAGAAAAGAAAGGAAGGGAAACATTAACCCACGCTTCAAGGCAAATATACTTTAAGGGAGAGTAGACGTTTTTGGGCAACTTCTAAGAACACTTCTGAGACTGCTGAATATATATGTTTTTGGGCATTGGCATGTCTTTGTTCCTGGCTGTTCAAAGACATACCTAACTACATCATTTAACACAGTGTTTCTCAACCTTCCTAATGCCGTGAACCCTGAATACAGTTTCTCATGTTGTGGTGACCCTCAACCATAACATTATTTTCGTTGCTATTTCATAACTGGCTTCAAACTACAAGAAAGGAGATTCCATCTGAACATGAGGAAGAACTTCCTGACTGTGAGAGCCGTTCAGCAGTGGAACTCTCTGCCCCGGAGTGTGGTGGAGGCTCCTTCTTTGGAAGTTTTTAAACAGAGGCTGGATGGCCATCTGTCAGGGGTGATTTGAATGCAATATTCCTGCTTCTTGGCAGGGAGTTGGACTGGATGGCCCATGAGGTCTCTTCCAACTTGATGATTCTATGATTCTAACTGTCATATTGCTACTGTTATGAATCATTTGGGAGTTGTAGTTGCTGGTATTTATTATTCACCTACAATCAAAGAGCACCCTGAACTCCACCAATGATGGAATCGAACCAAACTTGGCACACAGAACTCCCATGATATGCAGAAAATACTGGAAGGGTTTGAGGAGCATTGACCTTGAGTTTTGGAGTTGTAGTTCACCTCCATCCAGAGAGCTCTGTGGACTCAAGCAGTGATGAATGTGGACCAAACTTGGCATGAATACTCAATATTTGCAAATGTGAACGCTGGTGGAGTTTGGGGGGGAAATAGACCTTGACATTTGGGAACTGTAGTTGCTGGGATTTATAGTTCACCTACAATCAAAGAGCATTCGGAACCCCACCAACGATAGAATTGGGCCAAACTTCCCACACAGAACCCCTATGCCTTGAAGAGACTCGTTGGCATCATCAGAAATATGTGTTTTCCGATGGTCTCTGGTGACCCCTCTGAAACCTCCTCACTACTCCCCCAGGGGTCCTGACCCCCAGGTTGAGAAACACTGGTTTAACAGCTGAGGGACCAAGTTGCCTTGCATGAATGCTGGTGAACATCATTTTTCGAAAGGTTGTGACTTCTAACAAGGTTGTGCCTTTCCTTGACCAGTAGTTTTCCAAAAAGGTTATGAATCCCATTTCCCAAATGGTGATGGAGATTCGCATTTTCTAAAACTCCCAACAGGGACTCGGGCGGCTTACAGAGCAGCACACGATGGTGCCATGCAAAACACATAAAATACACCAGCATTTATAAAATCAAAGTCACACAATTTACATATTACATACTAATAATATTGAAATACAATACAATATAATAATTGTATATTATATATTACATGTAATATTACTAATAATATTGCGGTATAATGGTATAGTACAATAGAGTAATATATAATGCTAATACTGTAGTATGCTAATAATTATATTATATGTACATATAATATTGATCATAATATTGTAATACAATATAATACTAATAGTAATACAACACATTATATATTATATGTAATATTAGTAATAATATTGCAGTATAATGGTATAGTACAATACAATAATATATAATACTAATATTGTGCTATGCTAATAACATATATTGTATGTACATATAATATTGATCATATTGTAATGCAATAGAATACTAATAATACAATATAATAATATAATAATTATATATTTTATATTACATGTAATATTACTAATAATATTGCGGTATAGTGGTATAGTACAATAGAGTAATATATAATGCTAATACTGAAGTATGTTAATAATTATATTATATGTACATATAATATTGATCATAACATTGTAATACAATATAATACTAATAATAATACAATACATTATATATTATATGCAATATTACTAATAATATTGCAGTATAATGGTATAGTACAATACAATAATATATAATACTAATATTGTGCTATGCTAATAACATATATTGTATGTACATATAATATTGATCATAATATTGTAATGCAATAGAATACTAATACAATATAAAAATATAATAATTATATATTTTATATTACATATAATATTACTAATAATGTTGCAGTGTAGTTGTATAAGTACAATATAGTAATATATAATGCTAATATTGTACTATACTAATAATATAATATATTGTATGTACATATGTACATGTACACAAGTGTACATGTGTACTTGTAAGCTGCTCTGAGTCCCTTTCAGGGTGAGAGAAGGTGGGATATCAATGTTGCAAATAATAAATAAAGAAATAAATAAAACAACATACAGAGGTTAAGCAAGAACCCAACTCAACTGAAGTAAAGAGCTCAATAAAACAAGAGGCTTGAAGGTGGTTGTCATTTCCAAGGGGAGGGTCCCTTACCTCTGACTTGAGAGAGGGCTCCTCCTCTTCGGAGTGGGACTCCTCCTCAGCGGCCATGGATGTGGCTTCGGGGCCCTTCTTGGCGGGGGCAGCCGCCTTGACCTCTCCTTCAGCCTTGGCCTTCTCGACCTTGGGGGGCAGCCTCTCCTTGGGGGGCTTCTTCTCAGCGAAGGGGGCACCCCCCCTTGGGGAAGGCGTGGAGGATGTGGGTGGGGCACCCTTGGGCCCCTTGCTGAAGCTGGAGCTGCTGCCACCGCTGTTGCTGCTGCTCTTCTTGGGCTTCTTGGCACTGGGCTTGGGGGACTCCCCTGCTGCCGGGGGCCGCTTCCCAGGGGGCTTGGCTTCCGGGGCGGTGCTGTTGTTGCTGTTGCTGACCCCGCCCCCTGATGCGGAAGCCCCGCCCCCTTTGGGGGAGGCAGCCTCAGCCTTGGGGGCCAGCTTGGGCTCCTTGAAGGCCACCTTTGGAAGGAGGGGGGGCCGCTCCTCCTTGGTGGGGGGTTTGCCCTCGCCCGGCTTCCGGGAAGAGGAAGAGGGGTCCTTGGGGGGCTTCCCAGCCTCCGCATCCCGGGAGGAAGAGGAAGAGGAGCCGCCCTTGCCTTCCAGGTCCTTCCGGGGCCGCTCGCGGTGCTCCCGCATCACTTTGTGCGGCTTCGAGGCCTTCCCACCGCCACTGCTCCCTTCTCGGTTTGCCTTCTGCGCAAAAAGAGATAAGAGAGATCAAGACAATCATGGGAAGAAGAAGAAGTCACAAACAGGAAGGGAAAGCAAATCATTTCGGCATAAACAAGGCACCAAAGGCTAAGATGACAGGTGGTTACTCATATAATGCAGAAACAAGGCACCAAAGGCTAAGATGACAGGTGGTTACTTATATAATGCAGAAACAAGGCACCAAAGGCTAAGATGACAGGTTAAACTCATATAATGCAGTTAAACTCATATAATGCAGTTTAACTGCATTGAGCTGCATTGTGTGAGCCTTTTAATCTGTACCCATTACTTTGGCCTGGCCCCAGTTTTTATTGTGTTTGGTGTATTGTTCTTATTGTTTTGTTATTTTGATATTGCTTTAATTGTTTTGATTTGCTTTAAGTTGTGTATTGTTTATGCTATGTTTTGAGGCCTTGGCCTTTGTAAGCCGCATCAAGTCCTTCGGGAGATGCTAGCGGGGTACAAATAAAGATAATAATAATAATAATAATAATAATAATAATAATAATACACTGGCCTACGTTGTGTGAGCCTACACTAGTGGAGCTTCAAGTTGCATTGTATGGCAGTATAGATGGGACCTGAAATAGTTTCAGCTCATTGTGTCAATGAGTTCTTTGCAAATTTTGGGAACGATATAGGTTTGGGGAAAAAAGACCCTGACATTTGGGAATGGCAGTTCTGAGGATTTGTAGTTCACCAGCCATCAAAGAGAATTCTGAGCTCTTCCAAAAATGGAACTGAACCAAACTTGGCATACAGAAGTCCCATGACCAAGAGAACATACTGGAGGGGTTTGAGATAGGATCTACAACAGATTATGGGATTTGCAGTACCTTCAATCGCTTCAGCTCTGTCATCAAAACCACAGGGCTCTCTCCCACTGCCTGCACAGCTGCTGAGAGAAGCCTCTTTGCTGTTCTGTAGAGGAGTCCTGGCACAGCCCCTAGGAGAGGCACACCGTCGCCATGGCATCAGAGCCACCGGGCTGCTCCTCGAGGCAGGGAGCACCCCGGTGGCATAGATGTGATATGTGACACTTGTGTTGGCACTCTTCCCCCTCGCATTTGCCAATGCTGGGAGAGGGATGGTGCATGGAGTGCGTGCCCAGGGGCCAGTGCAGGGAGTGCACTCCCTGCACTGGCCCTGGATGCGTGCTCCTGGCACCAATGTAGGGAGTGCCCACCCAGGGGACGTTGACAAGCGTGTGGGGGAAGAGGGCCAGTGCAGGGAGCACGCTCCTTCCACCAACCCTCATCCCCTGCACTCTTGACAACGCCGGGAGAAGGCCAAGGGGTGTGGCAGCCCAGTGCACCCGGCAGGCCGGATAAATGCCCCCAGGCATCAGAGTGAGACAGAAGCTTTGAAGCTTAGAAGAATGCACACTTTGAGACTTCAGTAAAAGCAAACGTATAGCTTAACTGAGTAGAGCAAATATACAGCACACACTCGCATCGACACCCAACCAAAAAGAACAGAAACAAGACAAAAGCACAGAAGTAACAAGGACAAACGAAATCTTATCTCTGGATCCTCCCTATGCGTTCCAGGCACACTCAGGGTCACAGCTTCACAGTTCATTAGAGGCTTGACTGATTAACCCTTTCAGAGTCAATACACTCTCTGCTAATGCAATCAGGTTACATTCACAGGCATTGCACAAAATTACATTTAAACATTCACATAACACTAATCTTACATTAACAGGTTTGGCCCACGGGCCTTAGTTTGAGGACCCCTGTTTTAGAGGCTGGGTGGCCATCTGTCAGGATGGTGCCCTTTGAAAATTCCCCCAAAATCCACAGGTAAATGAAATATTCTGAAACTTGATGGGCTAAGAGTGGTCAATGTGTTCTACCATTGTAGCAAGTTTCACCCCAATAGCTTTAGTTTCTGATACGGAACATATGCCATCCAGTAGATAAATATCGGATAGATATATGCATGTGGTTATCTATCTATATCTATCCTATATGGTAGATGTGATATATTTTCTAAGGAAAGTAAAAATATGTGTCTCTCAATCCTTCCCCTGTGACTCACCTTTGACCCGTGGGAGGGCTTGGTCTTCTTGGGGTCGGAGAAGGCGGAGAGCGGGATTGTGGGTAACATGGGGTAGTCTGGGCTCGGTCGGGAAACGCTTTCAGCCCCTTCGGGCATCACCATCACCTGGAATGGAGGAAAGGATACAGTATAGGAAGGACGGCCATCTGTCAGGAAGGATCGAAGGATGGCTTTCTGCTTGACATCAACAGAGTCGGACTGGATGGCCTTTGGGGGTCCCTTCCACCTCTAGGGTTCTAGGATACACCTATCACACATAGGCTCCTCCTCAACCATTGTAGTCTTATAGCCCGCATTGAACTTCATGGCAATATAAAGATGTGAACTTGGACTTCCTGGCCCTAATAATAGCAATGCTGTTATTACTGAAACTCCCAACAGGGTTCCCATATACACAAGTGTATATCCCCCTTGAGACTACTGATAGAATTCCCATATAAGAGTATAGATATAAATATAGATAGATAGAGACAGACAGACAGACAGATAGGATTCCCTTGAGTTCAACAGGATTCTCGTATCCCCAAGTCTATACACCCCCTTGAGACTCAAAATAGAATTCCCATATAAGAGTATAAATATAGATATTTTGATAATACACTTTATTTATATTCTGCTTCATCTCCGCAGGGGGACTCAGAGCAGATTTCAGCTTCACATACGCAAAGCAAACATTCAATGTCTTGAGTTGTCGATGGAAGGCTTTCATGGCCAGAATGCCTGGGTTGCTATGAGGTTTCCAGGCTGCCTGACCATGTTCCAGCAGCATTCTCTCCTGACGTTTCACCCACATCTATGGCAGGTTGCCTCAGAGGTTGTGAGGCCTGCTGGAAACTGGACAAGTGGGGTTTATATATATATCCCTGTGGAAGGATGTTGGGGGCAAGTGGGAATGTTTGAAGGGAGATGTTGACAAGCTGGAATGTGTGCAGAGGAGGGCAATCAAAATGATCAAGGGCCTGAGGAAACAAGCCCTATGAGGAGTGGCTTAAGGAGCTGGGCATGTTTAGCCTGAAGAAGAGAAGGCTGGGAGGAGACATGATGGGCATGTATAAATATGCGAGGAGAAGTCACACGGAGGAGGGAGCAAGCTTGTTTTCTGTTGCCCTGAAGACTAGGATGCAATGAAGCAATGGCTTCAAACTACAGGAAAGGAGATTCCACCTGAACATTAGGAAGAACTTCCTGACTGTGAGAGCTGTTCAGCAGTGGAACTCTCTGCCCCGGAGTGTGGTGGAGGCTCCTTCTTTGGAGGCTTTTAAACAGAGGCTGGATGGCCATCTGTCGGGGCTGCTTTGAATGCAATTTTCCTGCTTCTTGGCAGAATGGGGTTGGACTGGATGGCCCATGAGGCCTCTTCCAACTCTATGATTCTATGATGCTATTGGCCTCCTTGATTAGCCTTACATCATAAAAGCCTGGCTGCTTCCTGCCTGGGAGAATCCTTTGTTGGGAGGTGTCAGCTGGCCCTGATTGTTTCCTGTTTGAAAACAACCAGGGACTCTTGTCTCCAACAGACAATAGTTCTTTCTTCCTCCCACCCTGGACGTTATTATTCCACAGGGAGATATAGTTTCCAACAGATCTCACAACCTCTGAGGATGCCTGCCATAGATGTGGGCAAAACGTCATATATATAGAGGGGGGAGGAGGGAGGAAGGGAGGGAGAGATCCCTTGAGACCAACAGGATCCCCATATCCACAAGCTCACCCCTCCGGCCTTGATGAGCTTGCGCTGGAAGTCCTTGGTGGGGTTATTGAAGGTCAGCTTCTCGCAGCGCAAGTGATTGACAGGAGGATTCCCCTCCAGGTTCAGGAAGAGATCGTAGGTGAAGCAGACTTTCTTGGGCTCCTCCTGAAATGTTAATATTATTTACCATTATTAGTAATCTTATTTATCATTGTAATATTATTGGTAACTATTTCTCATCATCATCATTATTATGAACTTTGTGTATTTTATTTCTATTATTATTATCATTAATTTTATTTATACCCCACCTTTCTACCACAGGAACTCAAGACAGTTTACAATAACATGATCATCATTATTGTCGTTGTCGTCATCATTTCTATCCCGCCTTTCTCTCCATAGGGACTCAATTACTAGTAGTACTAGTAGTAGTAGTATTTCTCACCCATCTATCTCCCCATAGGAACTCAAAGCAGTTTACGATAGCATTATTTAAAAATACACGCAATAAAAGTGAAAATATGTGTGTGTGAATGTCCACTTCCACAAACAAGCTCCTACCTCCACAAACGGCTATACCTTCCAAGCACTCAGAAGCCACCAATGGCTCTGCCTCCAATGACACTGCAGGTTACAGTGAGCACCGTGAACATGTCCAAGAGCCCTGCCAATGTCTTCCACCAACGCCATACTGCCCACCACCCAAGTGAAGGCTTTCAGACGAGAACAATTTCATCCTAGATTTCATGTGTTTCCTCCACCAAAGAATCATAGAATCAAAGAGTTGGAAGAGACCTCATGGACCATCCAGTCCAACCCCCTGCCAAGAAGCAGGAATATTGCATTCAAAGCACCCCGACAGATGGCCATCCAGCCTCTGTTTAAAAGCTTCCAAAGAAGGAGCCTCCACCACACTCCGGGGCAGAGAGTTCCACTGCTGAACGGCTCTCACAGTCAGGAAGTTCTTCCTCAGGTTCAGATGGAATCTCCTTTCTTGTAGTTTGAAGCCATTGTTCGCGTCCTAGTCTCCAGGGAAGCAGAAAACAAGCTTGCTCCCTCCTCCCTGTGGCTTCCTCTCACATATTTATACATGGCTATCATATCTCCTCTCAGCCTTCTCTTCTTCAGGCTAAACATGCCCAGCTCCTTAAGCCGCTCCTCATAGGGCTTGTTCTCCAGACCCTTGATCATTTTAGTCGCCCTCCTCTGGACACATTCCAGCTTGTCAATATCTCTCTTTAATTGTGGTGCCCAGAATTGGACACAATATTCCAGGTGTGGTCTAACCAAAGCGGAATAGAGGGGTAGCATGACTTCCCTTGATCTAGACACTATGCTCCTATTGATGCAGGCCAAAATCCCATTGGCTTTTTTTGCCGCCACATCACATTGTTGGCTCATGTTTAACTTGTTGTCCACAAGGACTCCAAGATCTTTTTCACATTTACTGCTGGCCAGGCATGGTCCCCCATTCTGTATCTTTGCATTTCGTTTTTCCTGCCAAAGTGGAGTATCTTGCATTTGTCACTGTTGAACTTCATTTTGTTACTTTTGGCCAATCATCTCTCTAATCTGTCAAGATCGTTTTGAATTCCGCTCCTGTCCTCTGGAGTATTGGCTATCCCTCCCAATTTGGTGTTGTCTGCAAACTTGATGATCATGCCTTCTAACCCTTCATCTAAGTCATTAATAAAGATGTTGAACAGGACCGGGCCCAGGACGGAACCCTGCGGCACTCCACTCGTCACTTCTTTCCAGGATGAAGAGGAAGCATTGGTGAGCACCCTCCCAGTGTTCCTTACTCGCTCCATTGGTTTGGAATTTGCATGACCCCGCCCACTGCCTCTCCTTTAATCCTTTTCTACTCTTATCTATGGCACACAGAAAAGCTTTTTGGCTGGGGGCTGGACTGGATAGCCCATGAAGTCTTTTCCAACTCTATGATTCTAAAGCAAACAGAAGAATTGAGCAGCAACTGAACACACTAAAGAGGTTTGGGGAGAATTCACCGTGATTTATAAGAGCTGTAGGGACTGGGATGTATAGTTCACCTGCAATCTAAGAACTGCACTCTGAACTTGGCACACAGAACCCCCATGAATAGAGGGATTTATAGGATATGTAGTTCACCTACATCCAGAGTGCACTATGAACCCAAACAATGATGGATCTGGACCCAACTTGGCATGCATACCCGATATGCCCACATTTGAATTCTGGTGGGTTTTGAGGGCAATTGGCTTGGGCATTTTGGAGGTACTGGGACTCCAGCACTCTGAACTCCACCAAAGATGGAATGGCTCAGAGAGCCCCTGTGACCAGCAAAAAATACTAGAGGTCTTTGCAGAAAATTCACCTTGATTTGGGGAAGTTGTAGCTCACCTACAACCAGGGAGCACTGTGCACCCAAACAACAATGGATCTAGACCAAACTTTTAAATCAATAAATATTAGTGTGTGGATCTAAAGGTAAAATACAACGAGAACGCAATACATAGAACTCCCCCGGCGTTACCTTATTGATGAAATGGACCTCGATGGGCATAATGAATCCAGCGTAGCCGGACTCCTCCACTTTGTAGGGCGGCTCTTTGCAGACTGAGGAAGGAAGGAGAAGGAAAGGCATCATTATGATGATGATTATGATGATGATTATGCAAAGCAGGACAGCAATAATGACGCTCAAGATCCCTTAAGGGATTGCATTGCAGGGGAAGGTACGCATTATGCAAATGACCTAGAACAAGGGAATGATGGGTAAGTGAGCACCAAGAGTGATGGGCTAGCCACATACTTCCTGATGGGAAGAACTGTTCTTTAAGCAGAGGCTGGATGGCCCTCTGTTGGGAGGGGTTAGATGGTGTCTTTCCTTGCCTGGCATAAATAGTTGGAATGGATGGTGCTCCATTCTACTTTCAACACTAGGATTCTATGATATATCTGTCCTATATCTATCCTTAATAATATGTATCACAATCTATGGCTGGATGGCCAACTGTCAGGAGGTCTTACTGTCTTACAAGGTGTTGGACCAGATGGCCCATGAGGTCCCTTCCAACTCTATGGTAACATAATAATATAAAATAAGAATAATAAATGTAGTAATGACAATTAATATTATAACAATATTATAACATAATGATATATTATCTCAATGAGGTCCACAGCCAATTGGGAGGGCTTTGATGGTGTCTTATTGTATTACAGTGGGTTGGACTGGATGGCCCCTGAGGTCCCTTCCGACTCTAGGGTAATATAATACTAATAAATATAATAATATACAATTAATATAATACTACTACTACTACCAACAACAACAACAACAATAATAATAAACAATATATTCTCTCATTGATGTCCATGGCTGGGTGGGCCCCGTGAGACCCTTTGATGGGGTCTCACGGGGATAATATAATAATATGAATAATAACAATATTAAAAATAATATATCATATACTCTCGCAATGACATCCATGGCCAGGTGGACCACTGTTGGGAGGGCTTTGATGGTGTCTTACGGAGGTCATATAATAATATATAAAGTAATAATAATAATAATAATATATAATATATTTTCTCAATGACGTCCACAGCCATATGGGCCTCTGTCAGGAGGGCTTCCATGGTGTCTGAGATTCCTTCCAAAAATAATAATAGAATAATATCAATAATAATAATGAATAATAATATTGAATAGGAGCCCTTGGTGGCACAGTGGGTTAAACCCTTGTGCTGGCAGGGCTGAAGACCAATAGGTTGCAGGTTCGAATCCAGGGACAGCACGGATGAGCTCCCTCTATCAGCTCCAGTTCCTCATGCAAGGACATAAGAGAAGCCTCCCACAAGGATGGTAAAACATCAAAAACATCTGGGCGTTCCCTGAGCAATGTCCTTGCAAACAGCCAATTCTCTCACACCAGAAGCAACTTGCAGTTTCTCAAGTTGCTTCTGACACAGAATAATAATAATAATAATAATAATAATAATAATAATAATAATAAATATATTCTCTCAATGACACCCATGGCCAGCTGGGCCTAATTCGGGAGGACTTTGATGGTGCCTGAGGTTCCTTCCAATTATAATAATATTAGTAATAGCAACCATAATACTAATAGTATAGGGCTCACCCCTCTTGGGCTTGGGAAAGCTCTGGTGCAGGCGGAAGACGACCCTCTCCACGAAGTGCTGGATCTCGAACTGCTCAGGCCCGCGGACAAAAACCATCCAGTCGTGGGTGAAGCCCTCCGTGGTCGGCTTCTTGCGCAGCTGCGCCCGGTGACCCAGCTCCAACTTCACCTGCACCGTGCACTGCAAGGCAAGCCCCGCCCACTATTCAAATACGGGCTCAGACAGGCCCCGCCCCCTTAGAGAAGAGACTCCTTCAAAACTGCCAAGCAGGTTATAAGCCACGCCCACTATTCAAAATCCCCAGGGTGGAGGCATGGCCTAGTGGCCTGCTCACGCCTCCAATAGTAGAGGCATGGCTTAAAGGAGGGACCCAAGGCAACACAGCCAAGCAGGCTACAAGCCCCACCCACTATTCAAATCTCCATTCTGACCCCACCCCTCAACAAGAAAGCCCCGTCTACTATTCAAATCCCAGTCCAGAAAGAGGAGTTCAGCCAGGCCTTTCACCTGGAGGTGTGGCTTAAAGGAGGAACCCAAGTCAATACAGTCAAGCAGGCTACAAGCCCCACCCACTATTCAAATCTCCATTCTGACCCCGCCCCTCAAAAAGAAAGCCCCGCCTACTATTCAAATCCCAGTCCAGAAAGAGGAGTTCAGCCAGGCCTTTCGCCTGGAGGCGTGGCTTAAAGGAGGGACCCAAGTCAACACAGTCAAGCAGGCTACAAGCCCCACCCACTATTCAAATCTCCATTCTGACCCCACCCCTCAAAGAGAAAGCCCCGCCTACTATTCAAATCCCAGTCCAGAAAGAGGAGGAGTTCAGCCAGGCCTTTCGCCTGGAGGCCTGACTTTAGCTGAGACAGGACAAGGGGGCGTGGCCTCCACACCCATCCATCCAGGGCAGAGACTTGGCTTAGAGAAGGGATCCAAGTCAAGACAGCAGACCACAAGTCCCGCCCATTATTCAAATCTACACTCTGGCTCCTCCCCCAAGGAGAGACGGACAAACTCTTTGTATACTTGATAACGGCGGCACGCTTGTTATTGGCCAAGGCTTGGAAACAAAAGACATTACCAACGGAGGAAGAGTGGACAGAGAAAATAATAGATGTGATGAACGCGGACCACTTAACATATATTTTGTCAGCCTCAAGAAACATGCCTGTACTCCCAACAAATTGGACACCGGTCAAAGATTGGCTTAGGAAAAATAAAATTAAATGGATGATAGCTTAACTCTTTAACACAAGAAATTAGAGAACAACACCTAGGGGGGAGGTCAAGGAATATAGGATGGTTTAGGATTATTGATAGGAGCGGCATATGTAAACAGGAGAACGGGTAGAAACAAAAGAAGAAGACTGCTTAAGTGAGTCAAGGAATTAGAACAGATGTTGTTTAGACAATTACGAGTATAAGGATTACCCTTTGTAAATGAATAAATATGTATATATTGTTAAAGATGAAACAGTAGATTGGAAAGATAGGGCATTATAGGAAGGTGAAAGAAACTAAAAGGCATGTAAGTACAGAAGAGCGGTAATAGACACAGAAATACCGTAGAAGAGAGAGATGGAGGTCTGCTGCCGTAGCGGGCACTCGCTTTTTAATCTATCCGTAGTCAGTGTGTTGTGTAAGTTATGTCGATGTTAGGATGTGTCGCACCATTGTGTATGTTCATGTACGTTGTGTTTATGCTATTGCTATGCTTCTCGTGTTTGTTTGTTTCTTTTTTACTATTAATAATAAAATTTAATAATAAAAAAAAGACAGCAGACCACAAGTCCCGCCCACTATTCAAATCTACACCCTGACTCCTCCCCCAAGGAGGCGTGGCTTAAGTGAGAAATAATAATAATAATAATAATAATAATAATAATAATTAAAAAAAACCAAAGTCAAGGCAGCCAAGCAGTCTACAAACCCCGCCCACTATTTAAATCCACATTCTGGAGGCGTGGCTTTCAGGAGGGACCCAAGTCAAGACAGCCAAGCAGGTTACAAGCCACACCTACTATTCAAATCTTCCCTCCAGAAAGGGGAGGAGTTCACCAGGCCCACCCCTTCTCAGGGAGTAGGCGTGGCTTAGAGGGACCCAAGCAGCTATAAGCCCCGCCCACTATTCAAATCCCAGTCCAGAAAGAGGAGGAGTTCAGCCAGGCCTTTCGCCTGGAGGCCTGACTTTAGCTGAGACAGGACAAGGGGGCGTGGCCTCCACACCCATCCATCCAGGGCAGAGACTTGGCTTAGAGAAGGGATCCAAGTCAAGACAGCAGACCACAAGTCCCGCCCACTATTCAAATCTCCACTCTGGCTCCTCCCCCAAGGAGGCGTGGCTTAAATGAGAAATGAGAAACCGAAGTCAAGGCAGACAAGCAGCCTACAAATCCACATTCTGGAGGCGTGGCTTACAGGAGGGACCCCAAGCAGGTTACAAGCCACGCCTACTATTCAAATCCTCCCTCCAGAAAGGGGAGGAGTTCACCTGCCCGAGTAGGCGTGGCTTAGAGGGCCCCAAGCAGCTATAAGCCCCGCCCATTATTCAAATCTACAGGCGTGTTCATACAGGCTCCGCCCCTCGCCAGGGCTGGAGAGGGGGCGTGGCCGCCCAACACCGCGTCCAATAGCGGCGCAGGCCTTTCCTTGAGCGCGAAAAAGGGGGCACGGCTCCCAGGGGCCCCGCCCCCTGAATGGGAAATAAAGGCGCCCTGGGGAACCCATCCACTCTCCATCCTCTGCAGGCCGGGGGCGTGGCTTGGCTTGGCCTGGCCGCCCAATGGAGAGGGGGAAGGTGGGCGGCCCCGCCCACCTGGTTGTCCATGGCTGCCCGTCCTCCTTCTCCTCCTCCTCCGTCTCCTCGTCTTCCTCGCGGCGGGGCTTAGGCCTGGTCGGGCCTGGCTTCACGGCCGCTGCGCATGCGCGTAGTCGCCCTCCTCATGGCCTCTCCTCCTCTTCCTCCAGAGGCAGAGAGAGAGAGAGAGAGACACACACACACAGAGAGACTCCCTTTCCCTTCTCCTCCTCCACACCGGAAACGGAAGCTGAATTGCCTGTGTTCCTCCCTTCCCCCCACCTTCTCCGAAGGCAGGCAGGCGCCCCAGCCAATCGGAGCGTGAAGCCAGGCACCGTAGAGGCCCTCCCATCCTGCTCAGTGGGCAATGGAGGCGAAGGCAGGGCGGGGCCAACGGTGCGCCAGCCAATGCGTGTGTGAGGGAGGGGGGAAGCGAGGAGGGGCGGGGCCCAGCCGCGTTGCCAGGGAAACGCTGGAGAGAAGGTGCCTCTGCGCAGGCGCCAAGGAAAGGACAACCAGAGAATATTGGAACTGGGAGAGGAAAGCTAGAATAATAATAATAATAATAATACATTAAATATATACTGTAGTAATATTAATAGTATTATTAAAATATAAATAAATAATATAAAATATAGTCACAATTTAATAATGTAATAGTATCTATATAAATAAAAATGTAATGTTGATTTTGTCATTTGGGAGTTGTAGTTGCTGGGATTTATAGTTCACCTACAATCAAAGAGCATTCTGAACTCCACCAATGATGGAATTCAACCAAACATGGTATACAGGACTTCCATGATCAACAGAACACACTGGAAGGGTTTGGTGGGCATTGACCTTGAGTTTGGGAATTATAGTTTACCAACATCCAGAGAGCATTGTGGACTCAAACAATGATGGATCTGGACCAAACTTGGCAAAAATACTCAGAATGCCCAAATGCGAACACCGGTGGAGTTTGAGCTAAATAGACCTTTTGGGAATTGTCGTTGCTGGGATTTATAGTTTACCTACAATCAAAGAGCATTCTGAACTCCACCAATGATGGAATTGGGCCAAACTTAGCACACAGGGCTCCCATGACCGACAGAAAAAAACTGGAAGGGTTTGGTGGGCATTGACCTTGAGTTTGGGAATTATAGTTCACCCACATCCAGAGAGCACTGTGGACTCAAACAATGATGGATCTGGACCAAACTTGACACAAAAATTCCATATGCCTAAATATGAACACAGATGGAGTTTGGAGGAAATAGACGTTGACATTTGGGAGTTGTAGTTGCTGGGATTTATAGTTCACCTACAATCAAAGAGCATTCTGAACTCCACCAATGATGGAATTGGGCCAAACTTAGCACACAGGGCTCCCATGACCAACGGAAAAAACTGGAAAGGTTTGGTGGACATTGACCTTGAGTTTGGGAGTTGTAGTTCACCTACATCCAGAGAGCACTGTGGACTCAAACAATGATGGATCTGGACCAACACATTCCATATGCCCAAATATGAACACAGATGGAGTTTGGAGGAAATAGACCTTTATTATTATTATTATTATTATTATTATTTTGGTTGCTTCTACCCCGCCCTTCTCACCCCAGGGGGGACTCAGGGCGGCTTACACAAGCAAGGCACAATTCGATGCCCGCATTACATACAGCAAAAAAAACAACCTTGACATTTGGGATTTGTAGTTGTTGGGATTTATAGTTCACCTACAATCAAAGAGCATTCTGAACTCCACCAATGATGGAATTGAACCAAACATGGCATACAGGACTTCCATCACCAACAGAACACACTGGAAGGGTTTGGTGAGCATTGACCTTGAGTTTGGGAGTTGTAGTTCACCTACATCCACAGAGCACTGTGGACTCAAACAATGATGGATCTGGACCAAACTTGACACAAAAATTCCACAAAAATTCCATATGCCTAAATATGAACACAGATGGAGTTTGGAGGAAATAGACCTTGACATTTGGGATTTGTCAAAAAAAAAAAAAACAACAAAAAACTACATACTATTCCCAAACTACAAACTACTTACTGGGATTTATAGTTCACTACAATTAAAGAGCCCCCGCTGGCGCAGTGTGTTAAAGCACTGAGCTGCTGAGCTTGTTGATAGAAAGGTCGCAGGTTCAATTCTGGGGAGCAGCGTGAGCTTCCGCTGTGAGCCCTAACTTCTGCCAACCTAGCAGTTCGAAAACATGCAAATGTGAGTAGATCAATAGGTACCACTCCGGCAGGAAGGTAACGGCGTTCCATGCAGTCATGCCGGCCACATGACCTTGGAGATGTCTACGGACAACGCTGGCTTAGAAATGGAGATGAGCACCACACCCCAGAGTCGGACACGACTGGACTTAATGTCAGGGGACTACCTTTACCTTTACCTACAATTAAAGAGCATTCTGAAACCCACAAACGACAGAAATGGGGCAATCTTCCCACACAGAACCCCCATGACCAACAGAAAATACTTAAGGCCACCCAGTCCAACTCTCTTCACCGGGGCAAGAAAATATAATCGGAGCCCTCCTGAGAAAGAGCCATCCAGCCATAGATATAGATAGATATGATTCTCTCTCACACACACAGATATAGTATCATAGATTTGAAAGAGACCCTTAAAGAAGGACTATGATATGTTGCATATTCCAGAGAAGGCAAACCAGACACTCTCCACATCAACACTGACAAAGAAACAGCAAGAAATACTGTTTACCCACAAGCAGAAAGGAATTACATATATTAGAAACCAACACTTTCTCATTACTTTATTTTCCAGATCACCAGACTGGGCCACAGCAACGCGTGGCAGGGGACAACTAGTATAATAATAAAGTAAGAATTCTAAAGATATCCTATAATAATAGAATATATATTATTTTAATATATTAAATATATTTTAATAATATATTTACTATATTAAACATATGTAATATATTAAAATAAATAAATATAATGGGTGTTTGGGTGTTTTCCAGGTTACCTGGCCATGTTCCAGCAGTATTTTCTCCTGATGTTTCGCCCACATCTGTGAAGTCTGTTGGAAACTAGGCAAGTGGGGTATATATATACACCTGTGGGATAATGTCCAGGGTGAGAGGAAGAACCCTTGTTTGCTTGAGGCAAATGTGAATATTGCATTTGGCCACCTTGATTACCATTGAATGGCCTTGCAGCTTTAAAGCCGGGCTTCTTCCTGCCTGTGGGATTCTTTGTTGGGAGGTGATTAGCTGGCCCTGATTGTTCCTTGTCTGGAATTCCCCAGTTTTTGAGAGTTGTTCTTTACTGTCCTTCTGGAAACAGCCAAGCCTCGAAGCTGCAAAGCTATTCAATGGTAATCAAGGTGGCCAATTGCAACATTCACACTTGCCTCCAACAGACAAGAGTTCTTTTTTTTCTCCCACCCTGGACATCCTTCCACGGGGATATATATAAACCCCACTTGCCTCCTGCCCAACAGACCTCACAACCTCTGAGGATGCCTGTCATAGATGTGGGTGAAACGTCAGGAGAGAATGCTGCTGGAACATGGCCAGGCAGCCAGGAAAACTCACAGCAAAGCACGGATTCCAACAATGAAAGCCTTCCACAACACAGTATATATAATATTTATTTTCTCCAGGATTCTCTACTACTACTACTACTACTACTATTATTGATCTCATCTGTTATTATTGGAGCCCCCAGTGGTGCAATGGGTTGAACCCTTGTGCCAGCAAGTCACAGGTCACAGGTTCGTATCTGGAAAGAGAGCACGGATGGGCCCCCATTTGTCAGCTCCAGCTCCCCATGCGGTGAAATGAGAGAAGACTCCCACAAGGATGGTAAAACTTCAAACACCCTTAGGGTGTCCCCGGGCAACATCCTTGCAGACAGCCAATTCTCTCACAGCAGAAGCGACTTGCAGTTTCTCAAAAAAATAAAAAAAATCAATTATTATTATTCCCAGCAATTTTTATTATTATATTTATTTATTTTCTCCAGGACTTTCTATTATTGTTATTATTATTATTTATTTTCTCAAGGATTTGCTATTATTATTATTGATCTCATCTATTATTATTATTATTCCCAATATTTTCTATTATTATATTTATTTATTTTCTCCAAGATTTTCTATTATTATTATTATTCTCAGGTTTTTCTATTATTATTGTTGTTGTTCATTCGTTCAGTCGTCTCCGACTCTTCGTGACCAGAGCTCCCTGTCGGCCGTCACCAACCCCAGCTCCCTCAAGGTCAGTCCAGTCAGTCCAGTCTATTATTATTATTATTATTATTATCCCATCATTTTCTTTTATTATTATTATTTAATATTATCCCCAGGACTTTCTATTATTATTATTATTATTATTATTATTATTATTATTATTACTAATCTCATATTATTATTACTATTATTCCTTTTCTATTATATTTATTTTCTCCAGAATTTTCTATTATTATTATTATTATTACTATTATTATTATTATCCCATCATTTTCTTTTCTATTATTATTATTCCCAGGATTTGATTTTATTTCCTCTTGGGGGGAAAAAAGAAACAGGGTTTCTTCCTTTCAAGGAGATAAAAATCAGGGAAAGATAGGAAGTAATGGAATTGGACTTATGAATGCTTCCATTGGAATATGGAACATTGATGGATTTTCTCCTTTTTCTGTCCAGTGTATAGAATTATTGCTATTGTTATTATTAATCTGTCCTGAAGAGGATAAAGATGTGTTTCCTCTTTGCTTCTCTGCAGGAAGCCAAAACAATGGCTCCCTTTACAGCCGGATGGAACGCATTTCCTTTCCCCCCCAAAAAGGCATTTGATCCCATTCTCTTAATGTTAATCGTTGTTATTAATGTTCAGTCCTGAGCGGAGAGGCACGGCACGTCTACACTGTGGATCTGATGCAGTTTCGTCCTTCCGAGTCATCGTTTCGCAAGGAATCAGATCTAGGTTTATTCTCGTCTTGCCTTCCTCTTGATAAGGTACCCAACATAGATATTGTGATGATGATGACTAGCTTGGGAACCCGGCGGTGCCCAGGTTACTTGAGAAAGGCATTGTTTGTTTTGGGAAGTTTGGTAATATCAGTGGGATCATATGTCACGCTATTCCTTAAGAGCAATAGTCTTTGCTTTTGTTTTTATTAATGCTTCCATTGGAAAATGTATAAGGATTTGTGTGAACTCCAATTTCCCAAAATTGTGGGTCAATCACCCCCAAACCCTGCCAATATTTAAAATTGGACATATTGGGTCTATGTGCCAAGATTCGTTGTTGGCTGGGTTCAGTGCTCTCGGGATGCAGGGTGAACTATAAGTCCCGGGTCCCAAACCCCTCCAGTATGTTCTGTTGGTCGCCAGGATTCTGTATGCTAAGTTTAGTCCAGATCCATCATTGGTGGGCTTGAGACTGCTCTCTGGATGCAGGGTGAACTACAACTCCCATGCAGGTGGGTCAGTCCTCCCCAAACCCCTCCAGCATGTTCTGTTGTACACCAGGGTTCTGTGTGCCAAGTCTGGTCCTGATCCGTCATCGGCTGGGTTCTGTCCTCTCTGGATGCAGGTAAACTACAACTCCCAGATTCCCAGGGCAATTACCCCCAAACCCTGCCTGTATGCACAGTTGGCCATGTTGGATTTGTGTGCTAAGTTTGGTCCAAATCCCATATTGCCTAGGTTCAGTGCTCTCTGGATAAGGTTGAACTACAATTCTCAGATTCCCAGGGCAGTTACCCCCAAACTCTGCCTGTATGCACAGTTGGCCATGTTGAGTTGATGTGTCAAGTGTGATCCAAATCCGGAGTCAGCTGGATTCAGTGCTCTCTGAATAAAGGTGAACTACAACTCTCAGATTCCCAGGGCAGTTAGCCCCAAATTCTGCCTGCATGCCCAGTTGGCCATGTTTAGTCTGTGTGCCAAATTTGGTTCAGATCCGACGTCTGGGTTCAGGGCTCTCTGGATGCAGGTGAGCTATAACTCCCAAAATCAAGGCATTGCATGTTTTGGGGTTGTATCATTTAGTTAATTAGTAACACTATTAGGAAAAAGCCAGGCTTGTTTTCTTTTTTTTTTTTAATGAATGCTTCCATTAGAAAATACATAATGATGTGGGTGAACTACAATTCCCAGAATTGTGGGCCAGGCCTCCTCAAACCATGCCAGTATGCACAGCAGGCCATGTTGGGTCTGTGTGCCGATTTTGGTCCAGATGCATTGTTGGCTGGGTTGAGTGCTTTCTGGATACAGATGAACTACAATTCCCAAAATCAAGGTCAATTCCTACAAACCTCTGCAGTATGTTCAGTTGGTCATGGGGCTTCTCTGTGCCAAGTTTGGCCCCAGTCCATTGTCAGTGGGGGTCACAGTTTCTCTGGATGTAGGTGAACTACAACTCCCACATGGGTGGGTCATTCCTTCCCCAACCCTTCCAGTATGTTCTGTTGGCTATCAGGGTTCTGTGTGCCACGTGTATTCCTGATCCACCTTTGAGGCCTTGGGGATGCTCTCTGGCTGCAGGGTGAACTACAGTTTCCATGTGGGTGGGTTAGTTCTCCCCCAAACTCTTCCAGTATGTTGTGTTCGTCACCAGGATTCTGTGTGCCATGTTTGGTCCAGATCCATCATTGATGGGATTCAGAGTGCTCTGGATGTAGGGTGAACTACAACTCCTATGCAGGTGGATCAGTTCCCCAAGCCCCTCCAGTATGTTCTGTTGATCATATGGGTTTTGTGTCCCAAGTGTGGTCCAGGCCCATGATTCGTGAGGGTCGCAGTAGTCTCTGGATGTGAATTAAAGTACTGCAAATCCCATCATTCGTGGTCCATCCTTCCCAAAACCGCATCAGGACGTAAAGTGGATTGCAGTGATCTGTTGGAGCCAAAACAATTGAAAGTACTGCAAATCCAACTATCCATTCCACTCCAATGAAGAGAGAGAAGGGAACCCTGGGATGTCCATTCTGGAAGAAAAACAGGACATGTAGAATGAAATTCTCCCCGAATTAGAGCCTTCACTTGTGTGGCGGGCAGGACTTCAGCAAGGATTGGGAGACATGTTCATGACACCTGTGAAGTCGAACATGACCCCCCCACCACCACCCCATAAAAGATAGTAACTTATAGTTTTGCTAAGGACAAAGACACCAGAATGGATGATAAGGGTTAAGCCTTGGTCAATTTGCCAAGACACTAACAACAACAAGGACCCTTCCCATGTTAGACAGTGTGTACATTTAATCAAGGTTTTATGCCCTATGTTTCATATATAGCAGAAGGTAGCACATTTATTACTGAGAAACCACCTCCCTTTACACTTATGTGTTCTCTTGAACTTCTATGGGACTCTGGGGGAGGGATAAGTGGTTATGTTTTCTGCACCATGATTTCTATATTTCTCCCTGTATATCTGACCTTTACCTGACCCTTCTGCCCTATCCACTTTTTAAAAATGTATAAAAATGTAAGAAGCCACTCTCTGTGACCCTGGAAAGAAGGAAATCCTCTATTGGAAAGAACCTTATTAAAGACACTTTTTGCATGAATAATACAATGGCTGTAACCCTGGGGCTCAGAGTTGGTCCCCCCAGCAGAAGGCAGCCCATTGGCATTGATGATCATATCTCAACAGGACAAAAGGGGCCTTCGGAAAGCCACACTTCGTCCTGATCTGTTGCTCATTCAAACCTGCCTCCACCGAAACTTCAGCCAGATTGTCTCATTGTTCCCATATCTCAGCACCAAGAAAATCCGGATTTGGCAGGCTTGCCAGACATCAATGTTTATTGCCACCAATCAAAGACAATAGACTGGCCGGCTGGAAGGCCCCCGGGATTCACTGACCGCTTGGACATCCATATCTCCATAATCCCTTCAAGAATTCATTGTTTCCCTCTCGTCCCGCCTCCCTCTCTCCTGATTGGTCGGGAAGCTGAGGCAGCAGAAGGCCAGCGATTGGCCCAGGCGCTCAGGAGGCAGCCAAGCCTCCTCCCAGCTGTAGAGCGCCAGCCAATCATCGTTGAGCCGGGAGAGGGGCAGGGAGCAGCTCTGACAGCTCTGTTTTATGTATAAAAAGGCCTTTATTCGTGTACACTGTATGCTTTGCTTGGCGAATTATTGCAGCTTTGCATCCTTTCCAGCTGGATCGCAATAAAACCAACTCAGTGGCGCTTCCTTCAACTTTGGTGAGATTCTTTTGGGAATTTAGGGAAATCTTTTAATTGCGGCTTCTCCTTACCTTTGCTCACCAAAGTAGCGAGACCTCTTTCGTGGGTTCGTAGGGTCTCTCCTTCAGGGCGAGACCCTTTTAAATTCCTCCTCGATTTCACCTGCTGTAACCTGCAATGTCTTTGGGAGGGCTTTTGGTGGCTCTTTGGCACTGTGGATTATAGCTCTTTGTGGAAGTGGGAGGCTGTCAGTGTAAGTGGACAGCTACGCCAACCCTGACTGGGACTGCCTTTCATCTGAAAACCAATGTCTTCACTGCAGGAGAACATGCGGATCAAGAATAGGGCTCCAAAGCCATCTACGGACTCACCACTAAGACACTACATCTGGAAGACCATCATCCTTGAGCTATGAGGGATTGCCTAAGTATTATTATTATTATTATTTCTTTAATAATAATAGTAATAATAATTTTGGCATTATATATATTATAAAAATAGTATGAGGACGTGTGTTCTGCATTATATAAATATTATAATAGGGTAATAAATATAATGAATATAATACATTATTATAATTATTATGGATGCATTACACCTATGTTAATATTATTGTTATTATCATTATTATTTATTATCAACGGGAACAACTTTGGAAAAAATGCTTTAAAAGTCCTGGAATACGGTTCCCATTTGCAGCTTGTTTGGGCTTCGTTTTGGAAACCTTTTGCGAAGTTTACAAAAGTTTGCAAAACTGAAAAGGAATAAAGTCCATGCTGCATTTCCATTGGGATGTATTACCTGATTCATGTTCGGAGTGTGTGTGTGTTTATAGGATTTATTAAAAGTCATTAAAATATTAATAATACAAAATTAATAAAAAATAAAGCTTGCTCATGCCTTTGATGTTTCCCAGGTCTTTGTCTGAGAGAAATGGCCCAGACGTCCCCTTTGGATCCAAATCTTGCAGGTAGTGTACAGCATATCAGTCGATCTATGGCTGGATGGTCATCTGTTGAGAGGAATTGGATGATGTCTTCTTGCCTGGCTGGGCTGGAAGGGGTTTGGGGGTCCCTTCCAACTCTAAGATTATGCAATATACCTATCTCATATATAGATATATCTATGGATGTGGTATAGCTCTCTATGTATCTGTCAGGAGAGATTGGGATATGTCTACATTCCTGGCTGAATGTATTGCTGGTTGGACTGGATGGCCTTTAAGGGCCCCTTTCATCTCTAGGTTTCAATATCTTGTTTTATGGCTGAATGAGCTAGACTGGATGGCCCTTACAATTTGGTAGGGGGTTGGACTGGATGGCCCATGAGGTCTCTTCCAATTCTATGATTCTACTAATAACTACTAATATAATAAATATAATATGTATTTGTCGTGTCAGGGCAACCAGTCAATTATATTACAAAGCAAACAAACAGACAAAATACAAAATTTCTGAGTTTGGTAGTTGATTAAATGTCCTTTGACCAGTATCTGGCCACTTGGTGTTGCCGCAAGAAGGTCCTCCATTGTGCATGTGGCAGGGCTCAGGTTGCATTGCAGCAGGTGGTCAGTGGTTTGCTCTTCTCCACACTCGCATGTCGAGGATTCCACTTTGTAGCCCCATTTCTGAAGGTTGGCTCTGCATCTCGTGGTGCCAGAGCGCAGTCTGTTCAGCGCCTTCCAAGTCGCCCAGTCTCTGTGTGCCCAGGGGGGAGTCTCTCATTTGGCATCAGCCATTGGTTGAGGTTCTGGGTTTGAGCCTGCCACTTTTGGACTCTCGCTTGCTGAGGTGTTCCAGCGAGTGTCTCTGTAGATCTTAGAAAACTATGTCTGGATTTAAGTCGTTGACGTGCTGGCTGATACCCAAACAGGGGATGAGCTGGAGATGTCTCTGCCTTGGTCCTTTCACTATTGGCTGCTACTTCCCGACGGATGTCAGGTGGTGCAATACCGGCTAAGCAGTGTAATTTCTCCAGTGGTGTAGGGCAGACACCCCGTGATAATGCGGCATGTCTCATTAAGAGCCACATCCACTGTTTTAGCGTGGTGAGATGTGTTCCACACTGGGCATGCATACTCAGCAGCAGAGTAGCACAGCGCAAGGGCAGATGTCTTCACTGTATCTGGTTGTGATCCCCAGGTGTGCCAGTCAGCTTTCGTATGATATTGTTTCTAGCACCCACTTTTTGCTTGATGTTCAGGCAGTGCTTCTTGTAGGTCAGAGCACGGTCCAGAGTGACTCCCAGGTATTTGGGTGCGCTGCAATGCTCCAGTGGGATCCCTTCCCAGGTGATCTTCAGAGCTCGGGATGCTTCTCTGTTCTTGAGATGAAAGGCACATGTCTGTGTTTTGGATGGGTTGGGGATCAGCTGTTTTTCCCTGTAATAGGCAGTAAGAGCACCTAGAGCTTCGGAAAGCTTCTGTTCTACCACCTCAAAGCTCCCTGCTTGAGCTGTAATGGCACGATCATCAGCATAATAATATAAATATAATATAATAATAATAATAATAATAATAGTACTACTAATTGTACTAATAGTAATCATAAATATAATAATGATAGTAATCTTAATACTATAAATTCCTTCTGATCAGCAGCAAAGGTCCCTTACTCGCTGGAGACACCCTACGGCTTCCTCTTGGACCTGGACTTCGTGAAGTATGTGGAGGAAATTGAGAGTGGAGTAACCCTCCGGAAGGCCAAAACAGTCAGGGGGGTCAAAGGTCAAGGTCGCACCGGCTGGACATCAACGGAGTCCCTTTGGGGCGAAACAGGGGAGACCCCATTGACCGCTCCCCACTCCTTGCCGCCCCAAAGGAGAGCAGTGGAGACCAGGAAGAGGCCGGAGGAAGCTCTGGTCAGTGTCCGGTCGGCCTTTGGCCAAGCGGTGCCTACTCTGGCCACAGCAGCAGCGATTAGCTCTCTACACTTGCATTGGGATGCAAATCCAGACCACACTGAAGGGCCTTGGAGCCAAATGGTCAGCTTGAAGAAACTAACCCCTCCGGAGAGAGTGAGGAGGTCCAGCAATGGACATGAGGTGGACACGAGCCATGCTGATGACCGGGGTCAACGCTCGAGCCCAAAGGTCACTCTGGAGACCCACGAAGCAGAGGTCTGGGTCACAGAGGTCATGCTGGGCCTCTCGTCCGAAGCCGAAAGAGAGCGGTGTCTCCTCCAGGACACCATCCAGCACCAGAAGGCAGTCATTGCCCTGCTGGAGGGTCATCTTCGAGACACGGCTGATGAACTGGAGGAGCTGCGAGTGGCTGTGAGTAGCTGGAAAGACCGGGCAGAGGTCACAACCTGGCCAGAGAAGGATGAGGCGGCCGTCCAAGTGGACCTCAGGCCAGAAACGGCCCACAAAGGCATCCAGCACTCCCCAGAGGTGGCCTCCGTTGGAGTCGAATGCCTGCTCACTGACCTAGCCGAAGGTGACTCCAAGGACGGGGAACCCCAAAGGTCATCTAAACTGGTCAAGCGGGATCCTGAACCAGGTCGGTTTTTATGGAATGAAGAGGAGCAGCCGAACAAGAGAACAGGTACTTGTTTGAGATTATTTGCATAATAATACCAATACTGGGTTGTTGTGAGCTTTCTGGACTATATGGCCATGTTCCAGAAACATTTTCTCCTGACATTTTGCCATTTTCCTAGTTTCCCAACAGACCTCACAACCTCTGAGGATGTCTGCCATAGATGCATGCGAAATGTCAAGAGAGATGCTTCTGGAACATGGCCATACAGCTCAGACAGCTCACAACAAACCAGTGATTCTGGCCATGAAAACCTTTGACAATACAATACCAATGCTAATATGATAACTGATATGATATACATTATTATATAACATAATATATAAGAATTATGTCAGATAACAATATATTATAATTATCTGACATAATTATATATTATGCAATATAATACAATATATAATTGTATTATATTGCATGTAAGACATATCTGTTTCGATAGGCCTTTGATCTTTGATATTGCTGTTTTTAAATTGTTTTAAATTGTTTTTAAATTGTGTTCTTGTAAGCCGATCCGAGCCCCAGGGGAGTGGTGGCATATAAGTTTGAATAATAAATAAGTAAATAAATAAATAAAATATCAGACCATATTATATTATTAATGTAATAATAATGATCATAGGGTCTGGAGAGAGTAAGGCTCTGAGCCCAACACAGGGGCAGGTACTTATTTGGGATTATTTATTTACTAGCCGTCCCCTGCCACGTGTTGCTGTGGCCCACATGGGGGTTTCTGTGTGGGAGGTTTGGCCCAATTCTATCGTTGGTGGGGTTCAGAATGCTCTGTGATTGTAGGTGAACTATAAATCCTAGCAACTACAACTCCCAAATGTCAAGATTCTATTTCCCCCCAAACTCCACCAGTGTTCACATTTGGGCATATTGAGTATTCTTGTAGAGTTTGGTGAACTATAAATCCCAGCAACTACAACTCCCAAATGTCAAGATTCTATTTCCCCAAACTCCACCAGTGTTCACATTTGGGCATATTGAGTATTCATGTAGAGTTTGGTGAACTATAAATCCCAGCAACTACAACTCCCAAATGTCAAGATTCTATTTCCCCCAAGCTCCACCAGTGTTCACATTTGGGCATATTGAGTATTCATGTAGAGTTTGGTGAACTATAAATCCCAGCAACTACAACTCCCAAATGTCAAGATTCTATTTCCCCCAAGCTCCACCAGTGTTCACATTTGGGCATATTGAGTATTCATGTAGAGTTTGGTCCAGACCCATCATTGTTTGAGTCCACAGTCATCTTTGGATGTAGGTGAACTACAACTCCAAAACCACCAAACCCTTCCAGTATTTTCTGTTGGTCATGGGAGAACTGTGTGCCAAGTTTGGTTCAATTCCATCGTTGGTGGGGTTCAGAATGTTCTTTGATTGTAGGTGAACTATAAATCCCAGCAACTACAACTCCCAAATGACAAAATCAATTTTTTTGAGTGAAGGACATACATTGGGTTGTTAGGTGTCTTGTGTCCAAATTTGTTGTCAATTCGTCCAGTGGTTTTTGAGTTATGTTAATCCCACAAACGAACATTACATTTTTATATATATAGATTTGTTTGTTTATTTGCAGTATGTACTTATATTCCGCCCTTCTCATCCTGAAGGGGATGCAGAACATACATATGCAGAAAATGTTCAATGCTGATTATACAATGACAACACAGACAACAGATAGAGGTCTATATGGGTTTTTTCTCATCGTTTGGCATCTTTTGGAGGCTGTGCTTGGTTCCGGCCACAGGGGGTGCTGTCGCTCCATCTCCTTGCCAAAGAGCGTAAACTTTTCTCTGAAATGCCGTGCCTAAAATACCTCCCCGCTTCAATGTAGTTCCTATTTATCTACTCACATTGCTGTTTTTAATCTGCTAGATGAGCGAGGGAGCTGGGTTGAAGGCCAGGAGCTCACCCTGACCCAGCTTCGAGCTGTCAACCTTTCTGTTGGCAAGATTTGCTGTAGCTGGTGATTAATCTGCTGCGGTAAAGCCCGGCCCTAGTATTACTATTATTTGCATAATAAAGAACAACATGATAATAGGGTCTGATATGATAGTATATTATTATAAGGATATAATCATTATGTAGGATAATAATAACAATATAATAATTATAGTATTATAATATAACGGTGTGTATTGGTTTCTCTCCTTTGCAGTAGCCTTGAAGTCAATCATGAAAAGGCAAGGACTTCCAACGAAGGCTGAGCGGAAGACCCTGCAGTTTGTGGGGTTCCTGAATGGCGAGTATGGGCCCTTCCTTTGCTTTCCTTTTGGGGTGGTTTTGGGATGGGTGCCTTGGGACTGAAGCCTGTTTGGGGGTTTCCTGAGCACCTCTCCAAATCCCTCTTTCCTCAGGTATGAGAGCACCTCCTCCAGTGAGGAAGAGGGAGATGAAGGAGAGACAGAAGAAGAGAAAGAAGAGGAGAATGAAGAAGGAGTGAAAGAAGAGGAAGAAGAGAAGGAAGAAGAGGAGGAAGAGGGAGAGAAAAAAGAAGAAAAAGAAGAGGAGGAGGAAGAAGAAGAGGGCACAGTGGAGGCAGTGAGTGAATGGAATGGAGAGATGGGGAGGAAGGATGGAGGAATGATAGGAAAAGATGGAAAAACGAGTGAGAGGAAGTATGAAAGAAAGGCAGGAAGGCATAAAGAAGGAAGGAATAGAGGAAAAGATGGAGAGAGAAGAGGGACTGGAGAAGACTGAAGGAGGGGAAGAAGGAAAAAGAAAGAGGGAAGGAAGAAAGAAGGGGGAAGGAAGGAAAGAAGGAGGGAAGATAAGAAAACATAGAAAGGGGATTTTATAGAGCATGAATTTAGGGGTCTTTGCCAGGAGGCAGAGACCAATTAGACTCATCAAAGAGTTCTTTTTTCCTGGCGAGACAGAGAAGCACCCAATATTTTTCCCTGATTTTCCCAATTAAAGGTCTCACCAAGTTGAAGAAAAGCCATCGAGGTTTATTAGCGATTCAGCTGAAAAGGATGCAGAGCAACAATCATTCGCCAAGCAGAGCATGTGGTTACAGAAATAAAGGCCATTTTTATAGAAAATACAGTTGTGAGTTTCAAAATTCCCACTCCCCCGCTCCCGCCCAGCTCGAAGGGGATTGGCTGATGCCAGGCCTGTAGTCAGATTTCGATTCGGGGGGGGGGGGGGGGGGGGCTGAGTCCGAGTGAAAGAGGGTCTACCCTAGCAAACCTTTTGTATCGTTACCCCAATATGGGATATATTGGGCATGGTGATCAGATCATGATAATAATAAACATAACAGTTTAAATAATGCACCAGTAAGGCCTTTTCGCGAACCACCATGAGAATTTCGAGGGGGGCTGAAGCCCCTCAAGCCCCCCCCCCCTGGCAAGGGGATTGGCTGATGTGCAAACAGCTGGGAGGAGGCTTGGCTGTCCCCCATGCATCAGGACCAATCACAGGGCTTTCACAGGGCGCCAGAGCCTATCAGGAGGCTCCTGCTGCCTCAACGCTCCAGCGAATCAGAAGGGAGGGAGGCGGGATGAAGGGAGACAATGCATTCTGGAGTGGATTATGGAGTTTTAATGTCCTTAGGTTTATTGAGTCCGGGGATCGGCCTTCCAGAGAAGCCACTTTATTGTCCTGAGATGGGTCTGTGATAAGCATTGATGGCTTAATCCGAGTTTTCCTCTTACAATCAGATAGGGCACAGAGGGGAAACTTTGTGAATGTCCTTAGTGGAAAGATTTGAGAGAAAAACGGTTTGGAGGAAAAGAGGACTTTCCTGACATCATTGTTGTATTGTGCTAAAAACTGGACTTCATCTTTTTATTTTTCATTATCTGTGCATTAGTGTAAAGACATGTGAGCCCCTGAGATCTTCCCTTGAGCTGTTTATTTGCGATTATTGTGTTTTTGGTACTTGGTCCTTGTGTCCATCCAACCCTCCGTTTAGTCTTTCTCTGACATTGTGCTAAAGTACTGCTTGCAAGGCTGTTGTCCCCCTCCTCTGGTGGACCTAGTTTAAAGTGTGCATAATGAGGTTTGCGAGTCTGTGACCAAAAAAATGTTTTCCTATTTGTGTGAGGTGCATCCTATCCCTTGCCAGTAGGCCACCCTCCTGGAAAAACAGGCCATGAATGGAAGGAGAGAAGGAATGGAAGGAGAGAAGGAAGAGGAGGGATAGAAGGACAAGATAAAAAGAGGAGGGAGAAAGGGGAGGAAGGAGGGAATGAAGAAAAGGGGACAAAAGGGAAGGAGAGAAAGCAGGAAAAGATGGAAGGAAGGAAAAGAGGGAAGGATAGAAGGAAAGTTGAGGGAGGAGGCAAGGAAGGAAAAGACTGAAAGGGGAGAGAAGAAGGGAAGGAAGAGAGAGAGAATGAGAAAGCAGGAAAAGATGGAAAGAGAGAGAAAAGGAAGGAAAGAAAAAGGGGGAGAGACGGAAGGAAAAGAAAGAAACAGCGAAGGAAAGGAGGAAGAATGGAAGAGAAAAAAAGGAAAGAAGATAGGGAAGGAAGGAAGGAAGAAGGATGAAAGGAAGGAAGGGGGGATGGAAGGAAAAGATGGAAAGAGGAGGAGGAAAAGAATGAGGAAAGAATAGAAGGAAGATGGAAAGCGGAGGGAGAGAAGGAGGAAGAATGAAAGTAAGAAAAAAGGAGGGAAGGAGAAAAAGGAAAAGATGGAAAGAGGGAGGAAGGAGGGAATAAAGGAAGGAAAGATGGAGGGAGAGGGGGAAGAAGAAAGAAAGAAAGAAAGAAGAAGAAAGAAAGAGAAAGAAAGAAAGAAAGGAAGGAAGGAAGGAGAGAAGGAGAAAGGGAAAGGAAGAAAAGGGAGGGAAGGAGAGAAAGGAGGAAAAGATGGAAATAGGGAAGGAAGGAAAAGAGGGAAGGAAGAATACAAGGAAGGAAAGATGGAAAGCGGAGGGAGAAGGAAGGATTAAAGAAGAATGAAAGGAAGGAGGGAATGAAAGAAGAAGGCAAGGAATAAAGAAGGAAGGAGGGAGGAGGAAAAGATAGGGAGGAGGAAGGGGAGAAGGCAGGTAAAGGTGGAAAGACAGAAGGAAGGAACCCATCTGACCAAGGGATTTTTTTTTTGTTGTGTCAGGAGCGACTTGAGAAACTGCAAGTCGCTTCTGGTGTGAGAGAATTGGCCGTCTGCAAGGACGTTGCCCAGGGGACGCCAGATGTTTTGATGTTTTTATCATCCTTGTGGGAGGCTTCTCTCGTGTCCCCGCATGAGGAGCTGATAGAGGGAGCTCATCTGCCTCTCCCCGGATTCGAACCTGCGACCTGTCAGTCTTCAGTCCTGCCGGCACAGGGGTTTAACCCACTGCGCCACCGGGGGCTCCTTTGACCAAGGGATGTCAGAAGTCAAATTGACCCGAAGGTGTATCCAGGGGCCCTTCCTCTTACTGCACAATAAAGGGAGGGTGGACTAGATGGCCTTTGGGGGTCCCTTCCAACTCTGTGCTTCCGTTGCGTTAGCAGTGGTTCGGGGCCTCCAGCCAGAAGGGCTCCTCGGCGGAGGAAGTGTCCAGCTTCTTGAGCTCTGTCTCGCCAGACGCCAGAATCCGGCTCCTTGACCTCACGGATGCCAATGGCAACACTGCTCTGCACTACAGCCTCTCCTATGGGAACTTCGACATCGCCCGRCTGCTACTGGACGCAGGGCTTTGCAAGGTGGACCRGCCAAACAAGGCCGGCTATACGGCGCTGATGCTGGCCACCTTGGCGCCCGCCCAGACGGAGGCAGAGATGGACGTCGTCCGGAGGGTCTTCCGCCTTGGAAACGTCAATGCCAGGGCTGGCCAGGTGGGACCCCCCCCCCCCGAGTCGTCAACAACAAAAAAACAATAGAAGTAATAACAACAGCAATAATGATACTAGACTCCACCCAGCCCAAACCTCTTCTGCAACCAATCCCTCCCAACAGATGGCCATCCAGTTTGTGAGACTAATAACAGAATCCTAGAAGATGAGAGAATGTTTAAATGTCCAGCCCTGAGAGTGCCTTGTGTCCATCCCTTGCAGGCGGGCCCAACGGCGCTGATGCTGGCGGTCAGTCACAAGAGGGAAGCCATGGCTGAAGCCCTCTTGGCCGCAGGAGCTGACCCCCACCTGCTACACGAGGAGAGCGATGCCCCCCAGGTGACCGCCTGTCAATCACACGACCAGATCCCCACTGACCAATCTCTGCTGGACGTTCCAGATGGCCTCCAGGACCACGTAAGTACCCCCAGAAAAATCACAATGATTATAGGGACCTACAAATAGGCTGATATCATCTGTCTATATATATATAAAAATGCTCTGTGCATAATGAGTACCTTAAAAACAAAAGAACCAATGAACGAAATCACACCAAATTTGGCAACAAAACGTCTCACAACACAAGGAGTGACCATCACTCAAAAATTATGATTTTGTCATTTGGGAGTTGTAGTTGCTGGGATTTATAGTTCACCTACAATCAAAGAGCATTCTGAACTCCACCAACAATGGAATTGAACCAAACTTGGCACACAGAACTCCCATGACCAACAGAAAATACTGGAAGGGTTTGGTGGGCATTGACCTTGAGTTTGGGAGTTGTAGTTCACCTACATCCAGAGAGCACTGTGGATTCAAACAATGATGGACCTGGACCAAACTTGGCACAAGCACTCAATACACCCAAATATGAACACAGATGGAGTTTGGGGGAAATAGACCTTGACATTTGGGAGTTGTAGTTACTGGGATTTATAGTTCACCTACAATCAAAGAGCATTCTGAACCCCACCAAACAGAATCAGGGCAAACTTCCCACACAGAACCCCCATGACCAACAGAAAATACTTAAGGCCATCGAGTCCAACTCCCTTCACCAGGGCAAGAAAACATAATCAAAGCCCTCCTGACAAAGAGCCATCCAGCCATAGATATAGATAGATAGATATGATTCACAAAGAGAGAAAGGGACCCCTAAAGGACAATTATATGTTGCATGTTCCAGAGTAGGCAAACCAGACAATCTCCACATCAACACTGACAAAGATACAGCAAGAAATACTGTTTACCCACAAGCAGGAAGACATTACATATATTACAAACCAACACTTTCTCGTTACTTTATTTTCCAGATTAACAAACTGGGCCACAGCAACGCGTGGCAGGGGAAAAGTAAAAATGTATATGTGTGTATGTTGCAGGACTGTCCACTTCACAGACAAGCTCCTGCCTCCACGAACAGGCTACAGTTCCAAGTGCTGAGAAGCCTCCAAAGACACTTTTGCCACTGACATTGCAGATTAGTAAAGGCCCTCCCTCCATAATAAAATCATCCCTTTATTTTTATACCCCATCTCCCCAAAGGGACTCAGGATGGCTTACACATGAGACAAAATGACATTGTAGGTTACAGCGAGCACTATAAACATATCCCAAAGCTCTGCCAATGTCCTCCACGAACACAACACTGCCCATCACACAACAGGAGGCTTTTATAAAGGGACAATTCCATCCTAGATGTCATGTGTTTCCTCCACCACAGACATCCCAGTGTTCCTTATTTTCTCCATCGGTGTGGAATTTGCATGACCACGCCCACTGGCTCTCCCTTTACCCTTTCCTACGGGGCACAGCAAACAGAGAGGAACTGAGCAGCAACTGAACATACTGGAGATTTATTATTTCAGTATTGTGTAAACAATATAAAATTAATTATTTTGACGAGGGAGAGGGCCTTCTCCGTGGTGACCCCTTTGCTCTGGACTTGCTACCCAGGGACATCAGGCAAGCACCTACTCTTATCAGTTTTTAGGAAAAGTCTGTAAAGACTTGGCTTTTCCGGTGTATTTATTTTTTATTTATTTATCGTGTCATCAGCAACCATACCATTGTATTACATTTCTAACAGAACAAAACAAACAAACAGATTAAAAAAAACCACAGTTTTTGCAAACTTTGTAGTTGATTAAATGTCCTTTGACCAGTATCTGGCCACTTGGTGTTGCCGCAAGAAGGTCCTCCATCGTGCATGTGGCAGGGCTCAGCTTGCATTGAAGCAGGTGGTCAGTGGTTTGCTCTTCTCCACACTCGCATGTCGAAGATTCCACTTTGTAGCCCCATTTCTGAAGGTTGGCTCTGCATCTCGTGGTGCCAGAGCGCAGTCTGTTCAGCGCCTTCCAAGTCGCCCAGTCTTCTGTGTGCCCGGGGGGAGTCTCTCATCTGGTATCACCCACGGATTGAGGTGCTGGGTTTGGGCCTGCCACTTTTGGACTCTCGCTTGCTGAGGTGTTCCAGCGAGTGTCTCTGTAGATCTAAGAAAACTATGTCTTGATTTAAGTCGTTGACGTGCTGGCTGATACCCAAACAGGGGATGAGCTGGAGATGTCTCTGCCTTGGTCCTTTCACTATTGGCTGCTACTTCCCGGCGGATGTCAGGTGGTGCAATACCGCTAAGCAGTGTAATTTCTCCAGTGGTGTGGGGCGCAGACACCCCGTGATAATGCGGCATGTCTCATTAAGAGCCACATCTACTGTTTTAGTGTGGTGAGATGTGTTCCACACTGGGCATGCGTACTCAGCAGCAGAGTAGCATAGCGCAAGGGCAGATGTCTTCACTGTGTCTGGTTGTGATCCCCAGGTTGTGCCAGTCAGCTTTCGTATGATGTTGTTTCTAGCACCCACTTTTTGCTTGATGTTCACAGTGCTTCTTGTAGTGACTCCCAAACTGTGGACCTGTGACTTCAGGGGGAGTGTAACCCTGCCCAACACAGGTTCCCACCCTATACCCTGATCCAGTTTACGATTGACCAGGAGGACCTCTGTCTTGTCAGGATTGATCTTCAGCTTGTTCTTCCTCATCCAGATAGCCACAGTGGTCAGGCACTCGTCCAGCACTCAAGGGGCCTCCTTGGAATTAGGTGGAAATGAGTAGTAGAGTTGTGTGTCATCTGCGTAGAGATGGCACTTAACTCCAAAACTCCAGATGACCTCTCCCAGCGGTTTCATGTAGATGTTAAAAAGCATGGGAGACAAAATAGAGCCTTGTGGGACTCCACAGGTCAAAGGCCAGGGGTCCGAGCAGGCATCTCCCAGCTTCACTATCTGGGATCGACCCTCCAGGAAGGACTGGAGCCACGACAGAACCGTGGCCCCGAGACCCATCCCAGAGAGTCATCCCAGAAGGATACTGTTTCCTCGCGGGGAGGAGGGGGCGTGGCCATGGGTCTCTTTGTGGGCAATGCAGTTTCTCCTTTGTGAACATGTAGTTCAAAAGTCCTTTCTGCATTTTTTTTTCATGGTTTTTTGAGTGGAGAACATACATTGGGTTGTTAGGTGTCTTGTGTCCAAATTTGGTGCCAATTGCCCCAGGGGTTTTTGAGTTCTGTGAATAGCACAAACGAACATTACATTTTTATTTATATAGATTAGTTTTGTGTAAATACTCAAAAACATTTAACCTACTGACGATTACCAGTAGCAGCTACATTTCTCACCCTCGGCTTATACTCGAGTCAATACATTTTCCCAGTTTTTTGTGGTAAAATTAGGTCCCTCGGCTTATACACAAGTATATGTATTTTTAGTATTTTACAAATATAAAATTACGTATTTTGATTATTTGTATGTATTTTATTTTTAACATTTTGTTTATTTTTATTTATTCACATTTATTTTTAGTATTTTATAAATCTATATTAATTTCTCTCCTATTATTTAGTGAATATTATTCATTTTTTATTATTGTATTTCCTTGCAGGACAAGAATGGGAAGAAGCCTTGCAGCGAGTGAGGAGGCACGACTTTAGGGCCTCCAACCAGGAAGCAATTATTCATACCATGAACATTTCCAGCCAACCTTTTGTATATTTTAACACACGGTTGAATCGATCACTACCTGGTTGTTGGTATTGATCTATCCATTGATCCTATTCTATTCCTATCTATACACATAATAAAAGTGAAAATATGTATGTGTGTGTGTGTGGTGCCCATTTACCCAGACAAGCTTCTGCCTCCACAAACAGTTATTGCTCCCACTCCACAGGAGACACCAAAGAGCCATGAACATGTCCAAGAGCCCTGCCAATGTCCTCCACAAACATCACACTGCCCACCACCCAAGTGAAGGTTTTCATTCAGGTACAATTTCATCGAGTTTCTGTTTTTCCTTCAAAACAGATATCCCAGTGTTTCTGACTCTCTCCATTGGTGGGGAATTTGCGTCATCCTGCCCACTACCTCTCCCTTAACCCTTTCCTACGGCACACATCAAACAAAAGAATTGATCAGCAACTGAACATACTAGAGAGGTTTGGGGAGAATTCACCATGATTTATAGGAGTTGTAGGTCCTGGGATGTATAGTTCACCTGCAATCTAAAAACTGCACTGTGAACTTCAACTATGGACATGGAACCAACTTAGCACACAGAACCCCCATGACCAACAAAACATACTGGAGGTCTTTGAAGGATTTAGAGGACTTGTAGTTCACCTACATCCAGAGCGCACTATGAACCCAAACAATGATCTGGACCAAACTTGGCATGAATACATGATATGCCCCAATTTGAATACTGGTGAGTTTTGAAGGGAACTGGTCTGGGCATTTTGGAGTTGGAGGTACTGGAATGTATAGTTCACCTGCAATCAAAGAGCACTCTGAACTCCACCAAAGATGGAATTGGATCAAACTTGGCACACAAGAGACCAGCAAAAAACAATGGAGGCCTTTGGGAGGAAATTCACCTTGATTTGGAAGAATTGTAGTTCACCTACATTCACAGAGCACTGTGAACCCAAACGATGGATCTGAACCAGACTTGGCACAGAGACCTGATATGCCAAAATTTTATTACTGGAGGGTTTTGGGGGGAACTCATCTTCCTTTCGGGGAGTTGTAGTTTACCCACAATCAGGGAAACTGACCTCAAATCGATGATTGAACTGGACCAAACTTGGCACACAGAATCCCCATGACTCACTCAACCTACTGAAGGGATTTCTAGGTTTCTAGAATAAAACACAGAATTATGATTGACAGGGCAGATAGGGGAGGCTTTGGACTCCCAAGTTTAAAGAACTATTTTGAGGCCTGTGCTCTGAATTGGGTAAAGGACTGGACAACGTTGAGAAATGAGAAGGTGCTGACCCTGGAGGGATTCAACCTGAGGGTAGGGTGGCGCTCGTACATTTGGTATGGCAAGACCAAGGTGGAAAAAACCTTCGGAAATCATTTCATCAGGTCCACCCTGATAAAAGTGTGGGACAAATATAGAAAATATTTCTATACAAACCCCCCCCCCCCTTTCTGGATTTCACCGATCGAGGCTAGCCAGAGGAGGCTCTTGGGATGGCAACACTGGCCCACATATAAAGATCTGGTGGGAAAAAATAAAAATAGCAACACTTGGAAACTTAAACCACAAGAACTGGCCAAAAATTATAAAAACTTCACATGGTTGCAATACTTCCAGACTAATGAGATATTTAAACAAGACGAAAGGATAGGTTTTGAGGAGAAAGAGACTATATGGGACAAAGTAACAAAAACAGAAAGGAAAGTGATCTCAAAAATATATAACCAATTATTGGATTGGGAAACGGAAACGGAGGAAATTAAAAATTGTTTGGTAGTGTGGGCAAGGAATATAGGACACCAGATTAAAATTCAGGAATGGCAGCAGATCTGGAGAAAGAAATTGAAATATACATACTCAGTAGCATTACTTGGGAGAATTGGTTGAAGACCTTCCATAGGTGGTATATGACCCCTCAGAAGTTGAGTTTAATGTATAAAAAATATCCAAATGTATGCTGGAAATGTGAAAAAACAAACAGGAACCTATTTCCACATGTGGTGGACGTGCCCAGAAACTACTGGCGGACTATCCAAGAAACCGAAAAAATCCTAAAAAGATTCCATATAATCCAGAGTACTTCATCCTAGGCCTTACAGACAAGGATTTAAATCTAAATAATAATGAGGCGGACTAAATACTGGCGGACTATCCAAGAAGAAACCGAAAAAAATCCTAAAAAGAAAGATTCCACGTAATCCAGAGTACTTCATCCTAGGCCTTACAGACAAGGATTTAAATCTAAATAATAATGAGGATGTCCTTTTCACGTATATAATTACTACAGCACGAATAACATTTGCAAAACACTGGAAGGAGGAGCAGATCCCAACTGTAGACCAATGGTTAGATAAACTATTAGATATAAGGGATATGGACAAACTGACATACCTCCTGAGGAACAGCTCTGGAAGTCCAGTGAAACAAACAGATTGGTCATGCTTGGAGGATTATGAGAACAGTAAAACTGACAGAACATAAGAAAACTAAATAAATAAATATAATCTGAATAGGGGAGAGTCATATATGGCAGAAAAAGAAGACGGAAGGATCCAAAATTAACTAGGGGTCTCTCCCTGTAGTTAAGGAAGATTAGAAGACACAGTTTTTATGCCCAGTTTGGAAACAAAATGGAAGTTATCTTTTAACCTGATTTGTCTTATATGTAAGTGTGTAGGGGTGATAGTTTGTTAGGTGCACCATGTAGTGTGTAGAGGTATGTATGATTCTGTGTAGATGTGAAATCTGTTGTAAGTGTACCCTCACCCCCCCTCTTCCCCCATATTTTTAATACATCTTGAAAACTTAATAAAGATTATTTTTTTAAAAAACCTACTGAAGGGATTTGAGGGGACTGACTTTCCATAGTGGGAGTTATAGTTTACCCTGCAGCCAGAGAGCACGCTGAACCCCCACTAACGAAGGATCTAGAGCAAACTTGCCCAACATAACAAACTAAGAAGTACTGATGGAGTTTCACGGGGTGTAGCTGGCATGAGGTGAGTTGTAGTTCACCCACAACCTTATGCATTTTGGACAACTACAAAATTGACTTTTTCAAATAACCCAGCCAACGGCAAGTCTGAAAGCTAATAATATATAATAAGTGCCCAATATTAATAGGTACATGATAGTAATATATAATTACCTGATAATAAGCACATCATAAAAATATTTTTTAACCCCAGGTATGTTTTGGATAATAGTGTTTGAATTGCAATGCATTGTTTTATCTTTGTGGGAATGCTGCATTCATGGGCCTTGTTAATAGTGGGAGGAGAAGGCGTATTAATGATTGGGCAAACTCCTGAAGCCCCACCCACTTTCCCCCTATTTTGGCCAATGGAAAAGTTCCGCACACCAGACAAGGATGAAAGGGAGGTAAACCCAAGTTTATTTCAGTCCAAGGTCATTTTCATCTTTCTCCAAATTAGGTCTTGAGGGGCAGGTCCAGCAGGAGAAGCTCTCAACCCATCTGAAGAAGAGGGAAAAGGAAATTACATATTATTTCAATATAACGAAGTACAAATATTGTTATATATTATTCATATGTTTCATTACAAATAAAAATGTAATGTTAGTTTGTGGGACTGACATAACTCAAAAACCACTGTACGAATTGTCACCAAATTTGGCCACAAGACACCTACTAACCCAAAAAGTGACCATCACTCAAAAAATTGATTTTGCCATTTGGGAGTTGTAGTTGCTGGGATTTATAGTGAACCTACAATCAAAGAGCTCCACCAATGATGGAATTGAACCAAATGTGGCACACAGGACTCCCGTGATCAACAGAAAACACTAGATGGATTTGGTGGGCATTGACCTTGAGTTTGGGAGTTGTAGTTCACCTACATCCAGAGAGCACCGTGGACTCAAACAATGATGGATCTGGACCAAACTTGGTACAAATATTCCATATGCCCAAATATGAACACAGATGGAGTTTAGGGAAAATAGACCTTGACATTTGGGAGTTGTAGTTACTGGGATTTATAGCTCACCTACAATCAAAGAGCATTCTGAACCCCACCAAGGACAGAATCGGGGCAAACTTCTCACACAGATCCCCCATGAGCAACAGAAAATACTTAAGGCCATCCAGTCCAACTCCCTTCACCGGGGCAGGAAAACATAATCAAAGCCCTCCTGACAAAGAGCCATCCAGCCATAGATATAGATGATTCACGCACACACAGATATAGTATCATAGATTTGAAAGGGGTACAGTGAAGCAGAGAACCACTAGTGGCATAGATATCAAGGTGTTTATTATTCGGAATACAAGAGCCTCGATTACGGGCCTCCTATATAATCCTAACTACAATATCATAAATCACTCACTCAGGAATCCTGGTGCTTGGAGGTTGCCCTTTCCCATTCCAGAGCCTTGTGTTTTGTGTTAGTTGTATGGCATGAACTAGAGATCATGACAAAGGGGTTGGGTGACTGACTAAACATGATGGAAGTGGCATCATGATAAAGCACTGTGACCTCCTGCAGCAATGGACCTGGACAAAATTTGGCACACAGAACGCCCAATGGCCAACACAAAATACTGGAGAGGTCTGGCAAGAATTGACCCTAATTTATAGGAGTTGTAAGTATTAGGACTTATAGTTCCCATGCAATCTAAGAACTGCACTCTGAACTCCACCAACAATGGACAAGGAAATAACTTGACATAGAGAACCCCCATGACCAAAGGGATTTAGAGGACTTGTAGTTCACCTACCTCCAGAGCACATCAAGAATCCAAACAATGAAGGATCTGGTCCAAACTCAGCACACATACCTGAAATGTGTGCTAAGTTGGAGGATCGCAGCTTGATTGAATCTGAATTGATGTTTTTATATGTGCATGTATTTTATTTTATTGTATTGCATATATTGTGTTTGGTTTTAGGTTTGTTTTTAGGTACTTTGTCCTGTCTGTAAGCTGGTCAGAGTCCCTTCGGGGAGAAGGTGGTGGGTATAGGTTGTTGTTATGCCCAAATTGTAATACTGGTGGGTTCGAGGGCAGTTGTAGGTACTGGGATTTATTTATAGTTCACCTAAAATCTAAGAGCACTCTGAATTCCACCAAAAAGTAAATTGGACCACAAACTTGGCACATAGAACCCACATGACCATCAAAAAAAATACTGTGAGTTGCAGTTCACCCAAAATGTCATGCATTTTGTAAAGAAAAAAAGACTTTTTCAAATAGCCCAGGCAACACTAGGTACTCAAGCTAGCATGTATGTATATATGCGTGTGTGTGTGTGTGTGTATATATATAGGGGTTTTGTTTAGTGTCAGGAGCGACTTGAGAAACTGCAAAATGCTTCTGGTGTGAGAGAATTGGCTGTCTGCAACGATGCTGCCCAGGGAACGTTGCCCAATAAAAATAGATAAACTAGCTGTCCCCTGCCACGCGTTGCTGTGGCCCAGTCTGTTGATCTGGAAAATAAAGGGAATGAGAAAGTGTTGGTTTCTAATATATGTAATTTCTTTATGCTTGTGGGTAAACAGTATTTCTTGCTGTTTCTTTGTCAGTGTTGATGTGGAGATTGTCTGGTTTGCCTACTCTGGAACATGTAACATATAATTGTCCTTCTTTAAGGATCACTTTCAAATCTATACTATATATGTGTGAATCATATCTATCTATCTATCTATCTATCTATGGCTGGATGGCTCTTTGTCAGGAGGACTTTGATTACGTTTTCTTGCCCTGATGAAGGGAGTTGGATTGGATGGCCTTAAGTATTTTCTGTTGGTCATGGGGGTTCTGTGTGGGAAGCTTGCCCCGATACTGTCGTTCGTGGAGTTCAGAACACTCTTTGATTGTAGGTGAACTGTGAATCCCAGTGACTACAACTCCCAAATGTCAAGGTCTGTTTCCACCAAACTCCATCTGTCTTCATATTTGGGTGTATTTAGCGCTTGTGCCAAGTTTGGTCCAGATCCATCATTGATCCAAATTATTATTTTGTCACTTGGGAGTTGTAGTTGCTGGGATTTATAGTTCACCTACAATCAAAGAGCATTCTCAACTCCATCAACAATGGAATTGAACCAAACTTGGCACACAGAACTCCCATGACCAACAGAAAATACTGGAAGGGTTTGGTGAGCATTGACCTTGAGTTTGGGAGTTGTAGTTCACCTACATCCAGAGAGCACTGTGGACTCAAACAATGATGGATCTGGACCAAACTTGGCACAAGCACTCAATACGCCCAAATATGAACACCGATGGAGTTTGGGGGAAATAGACCTTGACATTTGGGATTTGTAGTCACTGGGATTCACAATTCACCTACAATCAAAGAGCATTCTGAAACCCACGAACGACAGAATCGGGGCAAACTTCCCACACAGAACCCCCATGACCAACAGAAAATACTTAAGGTCATCCAGTCCAACTCCCTTCATCAGGGCAAGAAAACGTAAAGAAGGAGGGAGGAGTAGAAAGAAGGAGGGAAGGAGAGAAGGAAAGAAAAAGAAACATATAGAAGGAAGGAAGAAGAGAAGGAAATAAAAGGGTGAAAGGAAAGAGAGAGGGAAGGAAGGTGAGAAGGAACAAAAGACAGAAAGAGGGAGGGAAGGAAGGAAGGAAAGAGAGAAGGAAGGATGGAACCAAAGAACAAAGAAAGGGAGGAAAGAAACAGGTAGAGACAGAAGAAAGAAGAGAAATAAGAAGGGAAGGAAGGAGAGAAAGAGGGAGGGAAGGTTGACCACAGCAACGCGTGGTGGGTACAGCTAGTATATATATGTATATAACTAGCTGCCCCCCTGCCACGCGTTGCTGTGGCCCAGTCTGGTGATCTGCAATATAAAGTAAAGAGAAAGTGTTGGTTTCTAATATATGAAAAATCCAGTATTTTCTGCTGGTCATGGGAGTTCTGTGTGCCAAGTTTGGTTCAATTCCATCATTGATGGAGTTCAGAATGCTCTTTGATTGTAGGTGAACTATAAATCCCAGCAATTACAACTCCCAAATGACAAAATCATAATTTTTTGAGTGATGGTCACTCCTTGTGTTGTGAGACGTTTTGTTGCCAAATTTGGTGTGATTTCGTTCATTGGTTCTTTTGTTTTTAAGGTACTCATTACACACAGAGCATAATACTAATTGATAATTATAACAATAAATATATAGTTTTTTCGGGCTATAGGGCCATGTTCTAGAGGCATTTCTCCTGACGTTTCGCCTGCATCTATGGCAAGCATCCTCAGAGGTAGTGAGGTCTGTTGGAATTAGGACAATGGGTTTATATATCTGTGGAATGGCTGGGGTGGGGCAAGGGGCTCTTGTCTGCTGGAGCTAGGTGTGAATGTTTCAACTGACCACCCTTATTAGCATTTGAAGGCCTGACTGAGCCTGGGAAAATCTTTTGTTGAGAGGTGTTAAGATGTGCCTGGTTGTTTCCTCTCTGTTGTTTTTTGCTGTTGTAATTTTAGAGTTTTTTAATACTGGTAGCCAAATTTTGTTCATTTTCATGGTTTCTTCCTTTTTGTTGAAGTTGTCCACATGCTTGTGGATTCAATGGCTTCTCTGTGTAACCTGACATGGTAGTTGTTAGAGTGGTCCAGCATTCCTGTGTTCTCCGAAACATCCAGTAGGTGGTGGGAGGGCATCATAACACCTCTCAACAAAAGATTTTCCCAGGCTCAGCCAGGCCATCAAATGCTAATGAAGGTGGTCAGTTGAAACATTCACACCTAGCTCCAGCAGAGAAGAGCTCTTTGCCCCACCCCAGCCATTCCACAGATATATAAACCCATTGTCCTAATTCCAACAGACCTCACTACCTCTGAGGATGCTTGCCATAGATGCAGGCAAAACGTCAGGAGAAATGCCTCTAGAACAGGGGTCCAAACTTTTTAAGCAGAGGGCCAGGTCACAGTCCCTCAAACTGTTGGAGGGCCGGATTATAATTTGAAAAAAAAAACATGAATTAATTCCTATGCACACTGCACATATCTTAAAACAATATAATAATTAAAATGAAGAACAATTTTAAGAAATATAAAGTTATTAGTATTTCAATGGGAAGTGTGGGCCTGCTTTTGGCTGATGAGATAGGATTGTTGTTGTGTGCTTTCAAGTTGTTTCAGACTTAGGTTGACTGAGCAAGGGCCGGGTAAATGACCTTGGAGGGCCGTATCCGGCCCCCGGGCCTTAGTTTGAGGACCCCTGCTCTAGAACATGGCCCTATAGCCCGAAAAAACCCACAAGAACCTAGTGACTCCAGCCATGAAAGCCTTCGACAATACAATAAATATCTATAAACAATAAATAAATAAATCTAAAGTGCGCCAACCTTTCAGCGCAGCCTCCGGGCCTCTCGCTCGGACTCCAGGAGGGTGAGGACGTCTCCTTCGCGGACGGGGCCTTTGACGTTGCGGATGATGGAGCGGCTGGTGTCGTCCATGAACTCCACACGGACCTTAGGAGAACAGAGAGGAAATATGGGTTAGGCTGTACACACCACCCGTGTTATGACCTACGTTCATTCAGCTCATTGGGAAACGCTCATGCTCCCTGTCATCATGGCTGGAACGAGGCATAAGCTCTACCAAACAGACACGGTCATGTTTCCTTAGCTCTAAAGCAGGCTTGGGCTCAACTTTGGCCTTCCCTCCAAGTGTTTGGAACTCCAAAGGGGGGGGATTCTATGCCTGTGAGAGCCATTCAGCAGTGGAACTCTCTGCCCCGGAGTGTGGTGGAGGCTCCTTCTTTGGAGCTTTTAAACAGAGGCTGGATGGCCATCTGTCAGGGGTGCTTTGAATGCAATATTCCTGCTTCTTGGCAGAATGGGGTTGGACTGGATGGCCCATGAGGTCTCTTCCAACTCTCTGATTCTATGAAGGGGCCTCAGGCTGGATTTGTTGGAGTTCCGAACCCTTGGAGGGAAGGCCCAAGTTGATATGGAGGCGCCTCCTCATCCTCACCTGTGTGCATTGGCCTTGGGACCCGGTGCGGCCTAGTACTTTGGTGACGCGGGCCAGCTTGATAGGCTGCACGCGGCTCGTGTCCATGGCGGCAGGTAGGCGAAGGCCGAAAGAATCACGTGGCCTCACATGGGCTCTTATATACCCGGCCAGGCCACGCCCCTTCGATCAACGCTTCGCGAGACTTCGCCTCATTTCCCCTTTCGGCACGCTGTAAACTCTCGCGGGACTTCGAGTCTTGTCACTCAGTCAATTCTTCTCTGATAAACTCCCGCGAGATTTTGCGCCCCCTTGTCCCGTGAGACCTACATTCCACGCTCGACATAGAACGAGACTTCAGGTTTTCTCAAGTTTCTATCCGCTGAGCTCTCGCGAGAATTCGAGCCCCTTGTTTTCGTTTCCACTCCTCCCCTCCCGGAGACCAAGCCACGCCCCCTCGCTCAAAACATCGTGAGACATTGCTCCCTCTCCATTGGTCGCGAGACTTCGAGCCCTCTTTGCTTCTCCGGGCGGGCTGTTATATACCAAGCCACGCTCACTCCTTCAACATATCGCGAGACTTCGGTTCTTCAAGGTTGTAGCCGCTAATCTTCAGGAGCCGGGATGGCGTCGGCTACCGGCCTTGTCCGGAGGCTTCGCAACTTTTTCTCAGGGGTAAGGACAGAGAAGCCCCGCGTCCTTTTCTCCCCTTCCTCGAGGCAAGTCTTAGGAAAGGTTAAGAAAGGCTGACCTAGGCCCGTTTCCCACCTCTTCGGGATTCAAAGGAGCCTAAGCCCAGCTGCAAGGGATTGTGGGTACGGTAGTTTCTTCTCGACTTCCGATATGCCTCCCAATGCACTGCCTTTCCTTTTCGGGTCATCGTGTAACTTTCCCTAGGATGGGTGTCTTTCTAAATATGTCTGTAAAGCAGTGGTCCTCAACCTGTGGGTCCCCAGTCTGACCCTGGTCATTCCACAGATATATAAACCCCCTTTTTCCCAGTTTCCAGCAGACCCCACCTCTGAGGATGCTTGCCATAGATGCAGGCGAAACGTCAGGAGAAATGCCTCTAGAACATGGCCATATAGCCCGAAAAAACCCACAAGAGCTTCATGCATCTTACTGGCTAAAGTATTTTATTATTATTATTATTTATTATTAACTTTATTTGTACCCCGCTAGCATCTCCCGAGGGACTCGATGCGGCTTACACAGGCCGAAGCCTCAAAACACAATACAGTAGAAAACATAACACAACAATAGCAAAGCAAATCAAACAATAAGCAATAACGACAATAACGATACATCAAACATTATTAAAACTGGCTCAGCCGGCGCAATGGGTACAAGAAATTAAAAGTGCTGAGATGGTAGGGGCACGTGGGATTAAAAGTGCAGTGTGCAGTAGCAATTAATTATGCTAAGGTACTATCAGAACTTGGGTGGGGATTCCTAGTCTGAAAAGGCACAGCGGAACAACCAAGTTTTTAAATTCCTTCTGAAAGCGGCAAGAGAAGGGGCCTGTCGGAGATCTTTTGGGAGGGCGTTCCAAAGTCGGGGGGCCGCCACAGAGAAGGCCCTGTCCCGTGTCCCCACCAAGCGCGCTTGCGATGTAGGTGGGATCACGAGCAGGGCCTCCCCAGATGACCGAAGCGAGCGCGTGGGTTCGTAGATGGTAATGCGGTCACGCAGGTAAGGTGGTCCCAAACCGTTTAGGGCTTTATAGGTGAGCACCTGTACCTTGAATTGGGCCTGGAAAATAAATGGCAGCCAGTGGAGCTCCTTAAACAGAGGGGTAGACCTCTCTTGATAATGAGCCCTAGTTAACATCCTGGCAGCTGCCCGCTGGACCAATTGAAGTTTCCGGGACCAGTTGGAATTTCCGAGCCGTTTTCAAGGGCAGCCCCACGTAGAGCGCATTGCAGTAGTCCATTCTAGAGGTGACCAAGGCATGGACCACCCCGGCCAGATCAGCCTTCACGAGGTATGGTCGCAGTTGGCGCACAAGTCTCAGTTGCGCAAAGGCCCTCCCGGATACCGCCGACACCTGAGCCTCAAGTGTAAGCGAAGAATCCAAGAGGACACCCAAACTGCGGACCTGTGGCTTTATAAATAAATATTTATTTATTATTTATTTACTTCGCTTATATACGGCAATTCTCAGCCTAATGGCGACTCATTGCGGTGTACAACATAGAAAAACAGGTGCAAAATACAAACATAAAATAAAATAACCCACAGTACATAATTATCAAAACATCTCATCAAAAACATCAACATTACTACAAAGCCATTCCGAGTCGTCTCATCGTCAAGTTCACAATCCAATACCATTTCTGTTGTTCCATTCCTATGGTGAAGTTACCAGTCATTGCACTTCTATTCAAATGCCTTCTTAAACAACCAGGTCTTTAGCTTCCTGCGGAATATCAACAGGGAGGGGGCTAGCCTGATGTCTACGGGAAGGGTGTTCCACAGCCGAGGAGCCACCACCGAGAAGGCCCTATCTCTCGTCCCCGCCAGCCGTGCCTGTGACGCAGGCGGGATCGAGAGCAGGGCCTCCCCGGAAGATCTCAAAGTCCTCGTGGGCTCATAGGCCGAGAGGCGGTCAGTTAGGTATCTTGGGCCGGAACCGTTTAGGGCTTTATAGGCCAATGCCAGCACCTTGAATTGAGCCCGGTAGCAGATCGGCAGCCAGTGGAGCTGGTACAGCAGGGGGGTTGTATGCTCCCTGCGCCCCGCTCCTGTTAGTATCATGGCTGCCGCACGTTGGACCAGTTGGAGCTTCCGGGCCGTCTTCAAGGGCAACCCCACGTAGAGAGCGTTGCAGTAGTCTAAACGGGATGTAACCAGAGCGTGGACTACCGTGGCCAAGTCAGACCCAGTTCTTGGTGTTTATTCCATATTTTTAAGGCTTAGAGAAATAATAGAGGAAATAATAGGGCAAAAACTACATTGGGATAAAGCTCGATTTCTGTCCCTCAACATAGAGGTAAAGGAGGGAAACAACGAATGGTCAGAGATATTGAAATTTATGATAGCTGCTACACATGCCACAATCGCCAGAGGTTGGAAAGATAAAACAAGGTGGGACATGAAAACTTGGTGGTCTTATCTTTCTGAATATTTAATTAGTGATTTCATTTATGAAAAGAAAAATAAATATTTGAATATTCAGTCAAGACAAGATTGGTTTAGAAAATGGTCTTGTTTAATCGAAAAAACGGAAGGAAAAGATAGGTACAGAACTTTAAATCAGGCCTTCCAGACAATTAAATCAATGAATTGATTCAAGTAACCCAGATGGGGGTGGGAGGGAGGTGAGGAGAGGGTGGTAAGGGTGGGTGGGTGGGGAGGGGTTTTTAAAAGGGTGATTAATCAAGATTTATGGTTAAGGGAAGCACAATTGGAACCTGTATCCTAGACATAAAAATTGTAATCAGTTTTTGATATTGTCTTTTGATGCTAAGGTTCATATTGTATTGTTTTGTTATCCAAAATAAAAAATTAAAAAAAAAAAAGAAAAGATTGTGTCAAATGCTGCTGTGAGATCCAATAACACAAGCAGCGCTGACCCGCCCTGGTCAAGCTGGCATCAAAGGTGATCCGTGATGGAGACCAGCACAGTCTCTGTCCCATGCCCCGCACGGAAGCCGGACTGGAAGGGATCTAGTCCGGCTGTGTCGTCTAGGAATTGCTGCAACTGCTCCGCTGCTGCCCTCTCAATCACCTTGCCCAGGAACGAGAGATTCGAAACTGGGCGGTAACTGGAGGGAACCGAACAATCTAAGTCTGGTTTCTTCAGCAGGGGAGAGACCACCGCCTCTTTTAAACCCTCTGGAAAAACTCCTTGCCCATTAGAGATAGTAACTTATAGTTTTGCTAAGGGCAAGGACACCAGACTGCATAATAAGGGTTAAGCCATGGTCAATTTGGTGTGTATCATTTAATCAAGGCTTTATGGCCTATTTTCATATGTTTATAGCAGAAGGTAACCAATTTATTACTGAAAATCATGCCACAAAAGTATTTGACTTTTTCCATCTGAGACACACCTGGGCTCCTGATGGTCCCCCATCTCACAAACAAGGGACTCTCTTTCCCCCTCATGGATATATTTCCCTTTATGGACCTTCCTATGAATAATATGAACTATGGACACTGGGGGAGGGTAGTTGGGTTTACTCTCTGTATTATGATTTCTATATTTTCTCCTGTATTTCAATATTTCCCTTCATGTATTTGACCTGGCCCTGACCCTTTTGCCCCCTTCCCATCTCCTTGAGGAAAAATGTATAAGGAAGTGGCCTTGCCTCTGAAGAGACAATTAGCGATTGTGGAAACCGTTATCTTAGAACATTTCTTGCATGGAAAAATAACAAAGAAATATCTCCTTGACTTCAGAGGCTGACCATCAAGGGGATAATCACTTGGCAGACTTTTTAATCACATTACAATAGGAGGAAAGAGGACCTTCGGAAAGTCTTCTTCCTCCTGACCCGTTTCCTTTTAAGCCTTTCCATTAAAGACATTCACCAAAATCTCCCCCATTGTGCCTCTGCCTGACCGCAAGAGGAAAACTCGGATTAAGTTCATAACATGTTAGGACAACCTCAGTGGCCTGAGGTGCAGGAATTTTATAATTATGATATATGTGGTTATTGTTAAGTCTATTTATATTTATGTAACTTGTGTTTTGTAATGATTGGATTTATTGCTTATATGTTGGTTGGGTGGGATTATGGTTTTTGGTTTGTTTTTTTTTATAATGTAGATGTCTTTCTTAGTTGTTAGCCACTTTGAGTCCCATTTGTGGGAGAAAAGTAAATAAATAATATTTTACATACGAAGCTGATCAATGCTTCCCATGTTTAATCGAATAGACCTCTTTTCATTTTCTCTTTGCTCACAGAGAGACCTCCAAGCAAAACTGCAGCTGCGCTACACAGAGATCTCCAAAAGGTAATTGAGCAGCAGGGAAGAGGCTTTGCATGGAAAACAACCTTTATTGTTGTTGTTATTTAAAAAGTGTGGTGCACTGATTAGAATGGCACCCTAAAGAGCCACATGATAGGTATATGATAGAACAATAGAGTTGGAAGGGACTTCATGGGTCATCCAGTCCAACCCTATTCATGTCCGGCAGGAAAATTAATATTCGATTCCTCCTGACAGATGGCCATCCAGCCATATTATTGAGAAAGATATATGATAGGCATGTCAGAGTTCTTAGAATTGGAAGAAACCCACAATGGCCACCCAGTCAAACCCTATTCGTGTTAAGCAGGAAGACACCATCCGATCCCTCCCGGTTTTATCGTCATTATATTATTATCAATAAGAATAATTATTAGTGATCATTATTAATCATAATAAAGGTTTCACTTTAAACATGGTTGACGGATAGCCATGCTCTCGAACCCATAGCTCCATTGAGGCCTAGTCCTCCAGGGCAACAGGTGTTATGAATAATTTTTCAATAATTTTAAAGCATAGGTTCTTTTTATTGCAATTTTCCAGAGTGAGGAAGGGTATCAAAACTTTTACACAAAGAACAACATTGGACATACCTTATATAACTACATTGAATCCACAAGCAACCTACAGTTACCTTGCCTAACAAACAGAGGGAATGACATATTTACTCCACATTCACATTACACATTCACTCATCCTCATGCATCCATCCAAATATTACCATATCCTTTCTCCCTCCTTGAAGAAGAATCTGCTTAGGCCAGGCCCTGCTTTCCATGAAGCCTGCCAACACACAGTTCCAAAACTTCCAAAAGGCATCTTCTTTCCCTAAGAATAATGCCAAGGGTCAGCGCTCTGTTTTCCCTTAAGCAGAAACTGACTCCCTGCAAACATATCATGACTCCAAAACTACACTTCCATGCACAAGTGACCAGACTTCTGCTTTCCCTGTGGAGCAGAGCATGGCGAGTGGGCCAGACTCCTCCGGTCTGCCACAATTTTGGATTGTAATAAGGTCTCTTATATAGCAATATTTCTTGCTGATGTTCTTCCAGAGTTGTAAATGAATGTTAGATCCTTTTCCAACCTGAAACATTCTGACTTCATCCCAGTTCCGGGCAGATGTTGACTCTCCTTAATTGGTGTTGGTAAATATAAGGAGCCTTCTGTTGACTTCCTTCTTAACGTAAGGAACCTTGTAAACATTTCCTTAACTTAAAGAGCCATTGTCTCTGATAATGTAAACACATTGTTTTTACCTCAAGAGTTCAACAGTTAATCATTGTCACAGGTCATCAGTGTCAGCAGTTCAGCAACTTTTAATTACAGTCCACGAATTCTTCACCTCCTTCTTGTAGTTTTCCAGGCGTCATTCCTTAGGATAACATCTCTCGACCATACATCTTACATACGAATCCATTTAAACCATACATCATATTTCATAACACAGGAAGCAAGCCTTGCTCCTTCCAGTCAGTAATAATAATAATAATACCAATAATACCTTCCTTCTTTCAGGACACAGCCTCCTCCGCATCTCCCTGTGGGGCCCAGCCACAAGTTGGCCGCCAATTCCTACTGCGCTCGGGATGGACGCAGAGAGACCTTCCCTCCGGTCATCCTGGTCTCTCCACAGAAGGCTCTGCCAGCTGCCAGGTCTGTGTTCCTGGGTCATCCACACCATTTCCTAATTGGTTCTGTCAGTTTATTACACTGCCAAAACTTGGTTTGTGCAGGAGGGACATCATCCTGCTATAGCACAATTGGCTTTAGTTTTTCAAGGAATCTCTCATTGAGTCTCAATCCATTCAACACGGTTTGTGCCACAAAAACAAGGGCATTTCTGGAGTAGAACAACTACTTTCAAAGGAAGGGCCGCACAATTAAACAGAAAATAACACTTTCAAACCAGAAACAGAACATTTCTCACATGGTGTTATTATTAAGTAGAGGCAGGATGGCCACATGTTGACAGAATGGGTTTCTATTATTATTATTATATTTATATTTATACCCCACTTTATTTCTCCCAAAGGAGACTTAAAACGGCTATGTATCCATTATTAGTATTACAATGTATTGGTGTGTTCCACCACTGGCAGAATAGGCTTTTGTTGTTATTATTGTTTAGCAGAGCCTGAACGGCCATCTTTTGGAAAGGTTATTATTGTGTGTTCTACCATTGGCAGAATGGGCTTCTATTAGTGTTATATTTATTGTTTAAAAAAATCCCAGTTCACCTCTCCCAAAGGAGACTCAAAGCGTCTTAGCATAAAAGCATTATTATTATATTATTATTATTAATAATAAAGCACTCATATTTGTAAATAGATTCTATTATAACATATATATATATATATATATATATATAGTATAATCATAATATAATAATGTGATATAATTACTGAGTCTTCTGGTGGTGCAGCAGGTTAAACTGCTAAACTGCAGAAATTGCTGACCAGACAGTCAGTGGTTTGAATCTGCAGGATGGGGTGAGTTCCCGCTGTTAGCTCCAGCTTCTACCAACCTAGCAGTTCAGAAACATGCAAATGTGAGTAGATCTGTGATGGTGAACCTATGACATGTGTGTCAGCACTGACACGCATGGCTATTTTTGATGACACACGGCCACATGAGGCCGCATACAGAGAAGTACACCTTATAAGAGCCAATCTAATTCCATCCTTAAATTTGTAAAAGGCTCTACAAATTTAACATCTGCACGTTTGAGCATTGTTCACTCCATAACTCAGCATGGATTATACATTTTTTCTTATTTAAACTATAAATATTGCAAAATTATGTTTTTTTCTCAAAGTGACATCCCACCCAAGTTATGCTCAGGTTTTTGGTGCAAATTTTGACACACCAAGTTCAAAAGGTTGCCCATCACTGGAGTAGATCAATAGGTACCGCTTTGTCGGGTAGGTAATGGTGCTCCATGCAGTCATGTCAGTGGCCACATGACCTTGGAGGCATCTACAGACAACGGAGATGAGCACCAGAGTCAGACTCGACTAAGCTTAATGTCAAGGGAAACCTTTACATTTACCTATAATATCAAATTGTAATTATAATTATATAATAACATGATAACATATTATATTATGTTATTATACACGTGTATAAATATATTCTGTTATAACATAAAATATATATTAATATAATACATATTTAATATATTATAAATTACTAAGGGCTATGATTTCAGGACTATGTGCTTTGTTTTAACTGCTTATTCAAATGTATTTAAATACACAATGTAAATTGTATGGTTTTTTTTTTTACGTCTTAATGCGGCACTGAATTATTGCATTTTGGAAGCTGCTCTGAGTCCTCTTTGGGGTTGAGATAGAGCGGGGTAAAAATACAGTAAGTAATGATATAATAATAATAATAATAATTAGCATACGATTTAAGATATACAGATATGCAAACCTTAATACAGTATTAGATATAAACGGTATTTATAAATAAATATAATAAAATATAAATAAAATAAAGTGTATTGTTTAAAAAAATCCCAGTTGATCACCACAGTTATTACTATCAAGCAGAGACTGGATGGCCATCTATCAGGAAGGCTTTGATTGTGTATTCAACTAGTGGGCTTCTACTATTGGCCATCTATTGGGAGGGCTTTGGTGATGTCATCGCTTGTGGCAGAACTGGGTTGGACTGGATGGCCCTTGGGGGTCCCTTCCAACTCTAGGATTTGCAAATTCTCTCATATTTACTATTTGTCTTGCAGCCCGGAGTCTTCAGTTGCCACAGCAGAGAAGAAACCAGTCGTGCCAGGCTTTCAGCCTCGGAAATGGGATCTCTCGAAGGACGAACCCTATTTGTGATACAGGGCAGCACTCTATCCCTAAAGCCTCTCTGCTATGGATTCAATAAACCTGGCCCCTAACTTAATTGAAACTGTTGTAAAGAGCTTGCTTCTTAAAGCTTGTTAGATAGTTAGATGGATCTGCTGGGACAGAAAAGCCAAGGGGTTGCATTGGGAGTCTGGCTCGTACCGCAGGGAATTAATTGACAGCAACCACCTCAACTATATCCGTGTTGATTTCTATTAATATTGTATTTGGTTTATTTTACTAATATTTTATATTTATTTTATGATTATTATTGCAAAGGGGCAGCAGTCTCCCTTCATCAAGTACCGTAATTAAGAGCAGTAATAATAAATATTTCCTGGGTTTATATTTATGAATGTATTATATTTATTTTATATTATATATTAATAATAAAATAACACAAATTTATTTGTACCCCGCTACCATCTCTCCAAGGGACTCGGTGCGGCTTACATTTTATTGGGTTGTTGTAGGTTTTTCCGGGCTATATGGCCATGTTCTGGAGGCAATTTTTCTCCTGACGTTTCGCCTGCATCTATGGCAAGCATCCTCAGAGGTAGTGAGGTCTGTTGGAAGTAGGAAAAATGGGTTTATATATCTGTGACCAGGGTGAGACAAAGGACTTTTGTCTGCTGGAGCTAGGTGTGAATGTTTCAACTGACCACCTTGATTAGCATTTAATGGCTTGGAAGTGCCTGGGGGAATCTTTCTTTGAGAGGTGATTTGATGTGCCTGATTGTTTACTCTGTTGTTTTGCTGTTGAAATTTTGAGTTTTTTAATAATGGTAGCCAGATTTTATTCATTTTCATGGTTTCTTCCTTTCTGTTGAAATGGTCCACATGCTTGTGGATTTCAATGGCTTCTCCGTGTAGTCTGACATGGTGGTTGTGAGAGTGGTCCAGCTCTCCAAGATGAACTGAACCACCTAAATTGGGCTCTACAGGCCAATGGATACTCCACCTCAGACATCAGAAGAGCTGCAAGACCGAGAACAAGCCACGAGAGTAAAGACAAAGAGTCACCCAGAGGAAAAGTGTTCTTGCAATACATCAAGGGAACCACTGACCGCATTGGGAAACTGATGAGGAAACACAAAATACAAACCACTTAGACCCACCCAGAAAATCCAACAAATACTACGTTCAGCAAAGGACAAGAGGGATCCTCTCACCTCTGCAGGAGTCTACCGTGTACCATGCAGCTGTGGACAAGTCTACATAAGGACCACCAAACGCAGCGCAGACATGCATCAAGGAACATGAAAGGCACTGCAGACTACTTCAACCAGAGAAGTCAGCCATAGCAGAGCACCTGATGAACCAACCTGGACACAGCATTTATTTGAGAACACAGAAATGCTGGACCACTCTCACAACCACCATGTCAGACTACACAGAGAAGCCACTGAAATCCATAAGCATGTGGACAATTTCAACAGAAAGGAGGAAACCATGAAAATGAACAAAATCTGGCTACCAGTATTAACAAACTCAAAAATCATAACAGCACAACAACAGAGAAGAAACAAACAAGGACATCTAATCACCTCTCAACAAAAGATTCCCCCAGGCACTTCCAAGCCATTAAATGCTAATCAAGGTGGTCAGTTGAAACATTCACACCTAGCTCCAGCAGACAAAAGTCCTTGTCCCACCCTGGTCATTCCACAGATATATAAACCCATTTTCTTACTTCCAACAGACCTCACTACCTCTGAGGATGCTTGCCATAGATGCAGGCGAAACGTCAGGAGAAAAATTGCCTCCAGAACATGGCCCTATAGCCCGGAAAAACCTACAACAACCCAGTGATTCCGGCCATGAAAGCCTTCAACAATAAATTATTTATTTATTTATTTATTCAACTTGTATACCGCTACTCCCAATTTGGCTCGGAGCAGTTTACAGAAACAGATTAAAACAATACAATTAGCTTTAAAAATAACCATAACAATAACAATAGGCAGCGAGAACAGACATAGCCCGGATTGTTCACCCATCAAAAGCTTGCCGGAAAAGAAAAGTTTTACAGGCTTTCCGAAAAGCAAGTAGGTCTCGGATGGTTCGAGTTTCGACCGGCAAGGCATTCCATAAATAAGGGGCTACGATCGAGAAGGCTCTATGTCTAGTAGATGACAAATGATAGGTCCGGATGTTAGGGACTGCAAGCAAATTTTGGTCTTCAGACCGGAGTAATCTCTGGGGTTGGTAAGGGGACATGAGGCCAAACCCACAGTACATCAATAAACAAAGGCAATAACAAATAATCAATACAAAACAGTTAAAATAAATTTCATAAACAAAAAATACACAATAAACAATAACAATAACATATTTAAAATCTATGGCCGGGCCAAATGTAATAGTTTAAAAAATTTAAAAATAAATGCTGGGCATGAACCAGGTAGGATATACCTGGTATTGGGTTTTACAAGAAATGAGGGAGCGCAGTCAATCCTAAACCAGTAGTAAAGTGCATTCTGAGAGCATATTGCTGATAATTTTCCTTATTCTGGTAAGGCACACTGGAACAACCAGTTTTTCAGGCTCCTCCTAAAGACTGCCAGAGTTGGGACATGCCTGATGTCCTTGGGAAGTGAGTTCCAGAGTTAGGGGGCTACCACCGAGAAGGCCCTCTCCAGATGATCGAAGAGATCGTGTGGGTTCGTACAGAGAAATGTGGTATATATTTACATGTACATGACAACCCAGCACACATATAATAATAAATTATTGGATGGTATCCTTGAAGAGACTGGATTTACCTTGAAGGAGCTGGGGGTGGTGATGGCCGACAGGAAGCTCTGGCATGGGCTGGTTCATGAAGTCACAAAGTGCGCACATTATTCACCGATACATCACACAATCCTAGACACTTGGGAAGTGTCTGACGTGTGATCCAATACAACAGCCAGCAGAGTGATCTTGTCTGCTGTGGACTCATCTTGTGTTTCTAATAATAATAATAATAATAATAATAATAATAATAATAATACATCACACAGTTCTAGACATTTTGGAAGAAATTTACACAAGCACTTAGGGGATGCATTTAATATTATTACTAGCTGTCCCCTGCCACGCGTTGCTGTGGCCCAGTCTGGTGATCTGGAAAATAATGTAATGAGAAAGTGTTGGTTTCTAATATATGTAATTCCTTCTGCTTGTGAGTAAACAGTATTTCTTGTTGTTTCTTTGTCAGTGTTGATGTGGAGAGTGTCTGGTTTGCCTACTCTGGAATATGCAACATATCATAGTCCTTCTTTAAGGGTCTCTTTCAAATCTATGATACTATATCTGTGTGTGTGTGTGAGAATCATATCTATCTATATCTATGACTGGATGGCTCTTTGTCAGGAGGGCTCTGATTACATTTTCTTGCCCTGGTGAAGAGAGTTGGACTGGATGGCCTTAAGTATTTTCTGTTGGTCATGGGGGTTCTGTGTGGGAAGTTTGCCCCATTTCTGTCGTTTGTGGGTTTCAGAATGCTCTTTGATTGTAGGTGAACTATAAATCCCAGTAACTACAACTCCCAAATGTCAAGGTCTATTTTCCCCAAACTCCATCTGTGTTCATATTTGGGCATATTGAGTGCTTGTGCCAAGTTTGGTCCAGATCCATCATTGATTGAGTCCACAGTGCTCTCTGGATGTAGGTGAACTACAACTCCCAAACTCAAGGTCAATCCCAGCAAACCCTTCCAGTATTTTCTGTTGGTCATGGGAGTCTGTGTGCCAAGTTTGGTTCAATTCCATCATTGGTGGAGTTCAGAATGCTCTTTGATTGTAGGTGAACTATAAATCCCAGTAAGTACAAATCCCAAATGTCAAGGTCTATTTCAGTGTTTCTCAACCTTCCTAATGGTGCGACCCCTTCATACACTTCCTCATGTTGTAATGACCCCCCAACCATAACATTATTTTCCTTGCTACTTCTTAACTGTCATTTTGCTATTGTTATGAATTGTAATGTAAATATCTGAGATGCAGGATGTATTTTCATTCACTGGATCAAATTTGGCACAAATACCGAATACACCTGCGACCCTCGCTCAAAAAACGATGATTTTGTCATTTGGGAGTTGTAGTTGCTGGGATTTATAGTTCACCTACAGTCAAAGAGCATTCTGAACTCCACCAACAATGGAATTGAACCAAACTTGGCACACAGAGAACTCCCATGACCAAAAAGAGAATACTAGAAGGGTTTGGTGGGTATTGACCTTGAGTTTGAGAGTTGTAGTTCACCTACATCTAGAAAGCACTGTGGACACAAACAATGATGGATTTGGACCAAACTTGGCATGAAGACTCAATACGCTCAAATGTGAACACTGGTGGAGTTTTGGGGAAATAGACATTGACATTTGGAAGTTGTATTTGCAGGGATTTATAGTTCACCTACAATCAAAGAGCATTCTGAACCCCACCAATGATAGAATTGGGCCAGACTTCCCACACAGAACCCTATGACCAACAGAAAATACTGTGTTTTCTGGTGGTCTTTGGTGACCCCTCTGACACCCCCTTGTGACCCCTCCAGGGGTCCCGACCCCCAGGTTGAGAAACACTGGTCTATGTACTCAGGAGGTGGCCAAACCTCCTCCCAGCTGTAGAGTGCCAACCAATCATCGTTGAGCCAGGAGAGGGGACGGGGAGCGGGAAATTCGAACCTGACAGCTCTGTTTTATGTATACAAAGGTCTTTATTTGTGTACACTGTATGCTTTGCTTGGCGAATTATTGCAGCTTTGCATCCTTTCCAGCTGGATCGCAATAAAATCAACTCGGTGGCGCTGTCTTCAGCTTTGGTGAGATTCTTTTGGGAAATTAGGGAAATCTTTTAATTGCGGCTTCTCCTTACCTTTGCTCACCAAAGTAGCGAGCCCTCTTTGGGTGAAATGTTGGGAAAGAATGCTTCTGAAGCATGGCCTGGAAAACTCACAACAACCCAGTGATTCCAGCCATGAAAGCCTTTGACAATACAATAATAATAAATACTAGCTGTCCCCTGCCATGCGTTGCTGTGGCCTAGTCTGTTGATATGGAAAATAAAGTAATGAGAAAGTGTTGGTTTCTAATATATGTAATGTCTATGCTTGTGAGTAAACAGTATTTCTTGCTCTTGGTGTTTCTTTGTCAGTGTTGATGTGGAGAGTGTCTGGTATGCCTACCCTTGAACAAGCAACATATAATTGTCCTTCTTTAGGGGTTCCTTTCACATCTATGATACTATATTTGTGTGTGTGTGAATCATGTCTATCTACATCTATGGCTGGATGGCTCTTTGTCAGGAGGGTTTTGATTACATTTTCTTGCCCTGGTGAAGGGAGTTGGACTGGGTGGCCTTGAGTATGCCTGAAGATGATGGCCCTCCAAGTCTGGTGCCCAATTTTGTCGTTGATAGGGTTCAGAACACTCTTTGATTGTAGGTGAACTATAAATCCCAGTAACTACAACTCCCAAATGTCAAGGTCTATTTCCCCCAAACTCCATCTGTGTTCTTATTTGGGCATATGGAATATTTGTGCCAAGTTTGGTCCAGATCCATCATTGTTTGAGTCCACAGTGCTCTCTGGATGTAGGTGAACTACAATTCCCAAACTCAAAATCAATTTTTTTTGAGTGGAGGACATAAATTGGACTGTTAGGTGTCTTGTGTCCAAATTTGGTGTCAATTCCCCAGTGGTTTTTGAGTTCTGATGGTAGCACGAACTAACATTACATTTTTATTTATATAGATAGATAGATTGTGGCAGTTGAAGACCAAAACAGAGAGAACGGCGCATGTGCAGTTGGCTCCACTCAGTCAGGGGGGGATAAGAACTGCGCATGCGTCCTCCAGAGAGGCGTTGCTTTCTGAGCCTGCGAACATGTGGCTCCTCGCGCATGCGCAATCTTTCACCGGCTTACCTGCATGCCCGCGGAGGGATCAGTCGGAGTGGCGCTCCTGTCAGAGCCGGCATGGAGCAATGGCTGCTTCCTTTCCTCTTCCTCCTGGCAGCGGCGGAGGCCGGTAAGCTATCTGGAGAGGTGGAAGGCCTAGGCGGGAAACCATGCTGAGGTAAAAAGCGGTTACCCCAATGTCCCGAAACCACGCTTCGTCTGACGACGCTGATTGGTGGGTTGCTCCGCCGAGTAGGGCGGCGATTGGTCCGACCGGTTTCAATCATCGCCCCGCCTGGTTGGCTGCGCCCTCTCATTGGCTAACTCCTTTCCCGACCCCGCCCCTTTTGAATGTCTTTGAGATGGGGCATTCTCAAGCAATAGGGGCGCTAGAAGCCTATGCTCGCGTGAGCGTATCAGCTCTTGTAGACTCCAACTCCCAGAATTCCTGCGCCTTGGCAGCAATGGCTAAGGCTTCTGGGAGTTGCAGTTCTAAAACATTTTGGGTCTTTTAAGACTTTTTTTGAGGTTTGACTGTTTTGATGATTAAATATGGAGAACCACATTGGCAGTTTTTTTATATAATTAGCCATTTTATTACTTTTATATAAGAATAAGTCTTCTCTAGACATTCTGGTGTTCCATATGGGACACATTCTGATTTTATTTATTTATTGTGTCAGGCAACCAAACAGTTGTATTACATTTTTGACAGAACAAACAAACATACAAAAGACACAGAGTTTGCAAGCTTGGTAGTTGATTAAATTCAAATCCGGGGAGAGGTGGATGAGCTCCCTCTATCAGCTCCAGCTCCTCATGCGGGGACATGAGAGAAGCCTCCCAAGGATGATAAAAACATCAAATCATTTGGGCGTCCCCTGGGCAACATCCTTGCAAACGGCCAATTCTTTCACACCAGAAGCGACTTGCAGTTTCTCAAGTCACCCCTGACACGACCAAACTAGATAGTTGATTAAATGTCCTTTGACCAGTATCTGGCCACTTGGAGTGCCTCTGGTGTTGCCGCAAGGAGGTCCTCCATTGTGCATGTGCAGGGCTCAGGTTGCATTGCAGCAGGTGGTCAGTGGTTTGCTCTTCTCCACACTCGCATGTCGAGGATTCCACTTTGTAGCCCCATTTCTAAAGGTTGGCCCTGCATCTCGTGGTGCCAGAGCGCAGTCTGTTCAGCGCCTTCCAAGTCGCCCAGTCCTCTGTGTGCCCAGGGGGGAGTCTCTCATTTGGTAACAGCCATTGGTTGAGGTTCTGGGTTTGAGCCTGCCACTTTTGGACTCTCGCTTGCTGAGGTGTTCCAGCGAGTGTCTCTGTAGATCTTAGAAAACTATTTCGATTTAAGTCGTTGACGTACTGGCTGATACCCAAACAGGGGATGAGCTGGAGATGTCTCTGCCTTGGTCCTTTCACTATTGGCTGCTATTCCCGGATGTCAGGTGGTGCAATACCGGCTAAGCAGTGTAATTTCTCCAGTGGTGTAGGGCGCAGACACCCCGTGATAATGCGGCATGTCTCATTAAGAGCCACATCCACTGTTTTAGTGTGGTGAGATGTGTTCCACACTGGGCATGCGTACTCAGCAGAAGAGTAGCACAGCGCAAGGGCAGATGTCTTCACTGTATCTGGTTGTGATCCCCAGGTTGTGCCAGTCAGCTTTCGTATGATATTGTTTCTAGCACCCACTTTTTGCTTGATGTTCAGGCAGTGCTTCTTGTAGGTTAAGAGCACGGTCCAGAGTGACTCCCAGGTATTTGGGTGTGCTGCAATGCTCCAGTGGGATTCCTTCCCAGGTAATCCTCAGAGCTCGGGATGCTTGTCTGTTCTTAAGGTGAAAAGCACATGTCTGTGTTTTAGATGGATTAGGGATCAGCTGGTTTTCCTGTAGTAGGCAGTAAGAGCACCTAGAGCTTCGGAGAGCTTCTGTTCAACCATCTCAAAGCTCGCTGCGTGAGCAGTAATGGCACGATCATCAGCATAGATGAAGCTCTCTGTCCCTTCTGGCAGTGGCTGGTCTTTTATGTAAATGTTTCCGCCATCTGCTTCTCTGGCCCTGGAACTCAACAAAAAAGTTCTTTTGTAGCAGGTTTCCTATGAGGCGGGTGAGGTGGTAATCCTTTGTGATATTATGCATTTTTATCAGGAGGAGGCGGTGGTTCACAGTATCATAGGCTGCTGACGGGTCTATGAAGACAGCTCCTGTGATCTGCTGCCTTTCAAAGCCATCTTCTATGTGCTGAGTCAGGTTCAACACTTGCGATGTGCAGCTTTTGCCCTACCTGAAGCCAGCTTGCTGTGGAATCAGACATGGGTCTGATGGGAGACATCCATTATTCACCGATACATCACACAGTCCTGGACACTTGGGAAGTGTCCAACGTGTGATCCAATACAACAGCCAGCAGAGTGATCTTGCCTGCTGTGGACTCATCTTGTTGTGTTTCTAATAATAATAATTATAATAATAATAAAATATAATAAATGTAATACTAATAAATATAATATGCATTCAAGTAATAATAATAATAATCTGTAAATAAATTAATAATAAATGTATGCATAAAATAATTATAGTAAAATAATAAATATAATAGGCATATAATAAATGTAATAATAATAAATATAATATGCATACAAATGAAATAATAATCTGTAAATAAAGTAAAAATAAAATAAAAAATGTATGCATAATGATAACGTAATAAATATAATATGCATATAATAAATATAATTCCTGGCCTTTAGAAAGAAACTCAAAAACTGGCTTTGGGACCAAGCATTCGAACAGTAATGGCAGCAATTTGAGAATGAGACCCAATTTTTATGGCTGAAAACGGATTGACCTGGACTACAATTTTTAACTCTCGTGATTTTAAATAATTGTTTTTGTAGTTTTTTTGTTTTAATGGATTTTTTTCATTATATATTCGTTTATGGAATTGACTGAATGCCTGCTTTGAAGCTGCCCTTCGGGGGTGAGAAGGATGGGATACAAATACGTGAAATAAATAAATAAATAATGTGGGGTGTAAATAAAGTAAAAAAAAATTAATAAATATATGCATATAATAATACATGTAATAAAAATAAATATAATATGCCTATAATAGTCATAATAATAATCTACAGAGAAATGTGAGGTATAAATACAGTTAAAAATAAAATTAAAATAAATATTTGTGTAAAATAATAATAAAGGTTAGGGTTATAAACCATAATATATAATTTATGGCTTGTGTCACACAGAGGTTTCTTGGAGTAGTAATAGAAATAATAATTTAAGGCATTGGCGTGCTGGCTGATATATCTCACCATGCTAAAACAGTGGATGTGGCTCTTAATGAGACATGCCGCATTATCATAGGATGTCTATTCCTACGATAACTGGAGAAATTATACTGCACCACCTGACATCCGCCAAGAAGTAGCAGCCAGCAATGAAAGGACCAAGGCAGTGGCATCTCCAGCCCATCCCCTGTTCGGATATCAGCCAGCACGCCAACGCCTTAAATCAAGGAACAGCTTCCGAAGATCTACAGAGATACTAGCAGGAACACCTCAGCAAGCGAGAGTCCAAAAGTGGCAAGCTAAAACCTAGAACCTCAAGCTGTGGCTGATACCAAATGAGACACTCCCTCCTGGGCACACAGAAAGCTGGGTGACTTGGAAGGCGCTGAGCAGACTGTGCTCTTGCACCACAAGATGCAGTGCCAACCTTAAGAAATGGTGCCACAAAGTGGAGTCCACGACATGTGAGTGCAAAGAGCAAACCACAGACCACCTACTACAATGCAGTCTGAGCCCTGTGACATGCACAATAGAGGACCTTCTTATAGCAACACCAGAGTCGCTCCAAGTGGCCAGCTACTGGTCAAATGATGTTTAGCATCAATCCAAGTTTTTGGTTCGTTTCTGATACGATAAATAAATAAATAATACGATATTATTCAAATATAGGGTTTATTGCTTACTTCACAGACTCAGAGGTTCTTTATAATATACTTTATAGCTTATGTCACAGACTTCCAGGTAGCTTGTAATAATAATAATATCTCACTTTCTGTACTGTAGTTCATGCTTTCCCCCCGTTTATGGTGCTCACTTGGTGCATTGGACTAACTCTCCTGCCTTCCTTTCCTCTCGCAGATGGCTCCCAATGTGCCAATGTGGGGGAATTCCTCTGTCCCGGCGGCGGGCCTTGCCTGCCTTCACAGCGCCTCTGTGACGGGCAACGGGACTGTGTGGACGGCTCCGACGAGGCCGAGGAGAGCTGTGTCTCCAGCCGCAGCGCCTGCCGGGAGGATGAGTTCCGGTGTTCGCCAGATGCCGAATGTTACCCGCGGGCCTTCCTGTGCGACCAGCACCCCGACTGCTACGACGGGTGGGACGAAAGGGGCTGCGCTCCCCAGGCAACGGAGGTGACAGAAAGGAGCCAGACAGGTGAGTTGGCCTCCATCACGACAATTCTCCCATTATTATAATAATATAATAATAAAACTTTATTTATATACCGCTCCGTCTCCCCGAGGGGACTCAGAGCGGTTCCCAAGTAATATCACAAAACATACAGAGTAAAAACAACATAACCATATGATTAAAAAAATATATAAACATAAAAATTGTCACCATACACATATATTAAAAATAATCCTGCCTGTTCAAGGCAATTAAAAATTTAATATTATTATTATAGTGTTATCATCATTATATCATTGTATATATTATTATTTTGTTATCATTCTATTATTGTATTATATTATATTATTGTATTATTATCATAATTATATCATTATATATTGTTATATTGTATTATTGTCATATTATTATATATTTTTATTGTGTTATTATCATATTGTTTTTATTGTATCATTGTCATCACTAATTATATTTTATTGTATTATTAACATATTATCATAATTATTGTATTTTATTGTATCATTGTCATCACTATATTACCATTTATTATTATGTTTTATTATTGTATTATTAGTATATATTATATTACTAATGTATTATCATCATTATATTATCATATATTACTATATTTTATTGTTGCATTATTATCATATTATCATATATTATTATATTACTATTGTATTATTGTTATCATTATGTTATCATATCATATGTTACACTTCTTTATTATTATTTTTGTTCTTATCATAATTATATTATGATATATTCATTTTAAAAACAAAGTACAACCAAATCCTCAATTTCTTCCCAATCTTCAGTTTGAATTATGACAAAAAATAAAACAGCTGGTATGACTGAATGCACACCAAGTACTAAGTACAATTTCTGCTCTCTTTTCATACTGCTTTGCTTCAAAATGCAAATCAAAATGATTTGCTTCCAAGATCAAACAGTGTTTGTATGAAGCATCCATTGCCTTGTTTCTTTCTTTCTTTAGAGCCCCTGGATGGCCCTGAAAGTACGGCGGACAAACACTGGGACATTCTTACCATTGTTGGTGAGTAACCACAGGAAGTAATGGATGGGCATCTTTCAGGAGTGCTTTCCTTACATAATTCCCATGGTAGAATGGGGATGGGATAGATGGCTCTCAGATTCTGTCTTCTCTAATGAGACTTAAGCATACAGTCCTGTGTGTTTTACAATTCCGCTCAGTGCAGCCTGCTTTCTTGTGTGTCCTATTTAATTACTATTGTTGTTGTTGTAATATTATCATCATCATCATAATAATTATATCATCATTATATTATATATATATTATATTGTTATTGTATTGTTATCATTATATCATCATATATAACTCTTCAGGCAGCACAGAGCATTTTGTCCCCTATCTCTGAAGCCAAGAGAGAATAGTGGATAAAGATGATAACAGAAGTTGATATGGACAGGAGCAGTCAGAAGGCATGGAGGCTGATCAACTACCTTAACAGCAATGACGCCTCACAAACCAATACCCATGCCAACATAAATTTATAATATCACAAAGGATTACCACCTCACCCACTTCATAGGAAATCTGCTACAAAACAAGAGCTTTTTTGTTGAGTTCCAGGGTCAGAGAAGCAGATGGTGGAAACAGAAGAATGGCCTGCCTCAGCCGAGCGTGCTTGCACCATCCATGTTCAACATTTACACAAATGATCAGCCATTGCCAGAAGGGACAGAGTTTCATCTATGCTTACGATCATGCCATCACCGCTCAAACAGGGAGATGGTTAAACAGAAGCTCCCCAAAGCTTTAGGTGATCTTACTGCCTATTACAGGGAAAACAGCGGATTCCTAATCCATCTAAAACAGACGTGTGCTTTTCACCTTAAGAAGAGACAAGCATCTTGAGCTCTGAGAATGACCTGGGAAGGAATCCCACTGGAGCATTGCAGCACACCCAAATACCTGGGAGTCACTCTGGACCGTGCTCTTACTACAAGAAGCACTACCTGAACATCAAGCAAAAAGTGGGTGCTAGAAACAATATCATACGAAAGCTGACTGGCACAACTTGGGGATCACAACCAGATACAGTGAAGACATCTGCCCTTGCGCTATGCTACTCTGCTGCTGAGTATGCATGCCCAGTGTGGAACACATCTCACCACACTAAAACAGTGGATGTGGCTCTTAATGAGACATGCTACATTATCACAGGATGTCTACCCCCTACACCACTGGGGAAACTATACTGTTTAGCCAGTATTGCACCACCTGACATCTTTCGGGAAGTAGCAGCCTGTAATGAAAGGATCAAGGCATTGACATCTCTGGCTCATCCTCTATTTGGATATCAGCCAGCAAGCCATTGCCTTAAATCTGAGTGCGTAGAAGAGCAAACCATAGGCCACTAACTACAATGCAGCCTGAGCCCCGCCACATGCGCAGTGGAGGACTTTCTCACAGCCACACCAAGTGGCCAGCTTCTGATCAAAGGACATTTAGCATCATTTAGCCAAGTTTTTTTTTAAACTTTGTGTTTTTAAATTCATTTTAAATATACCCTCAACTCGCTTTTGACACAATAAATAAGTACATAAGTAAATAAATCATATATTGTTATATTATAGTATTATGACTGCATTATTATCATCAGTATTATATCATATAATACTGTTATATTATTATATATTTATGATTGTGTTATTAATGTAATCATTGTATTATATATTATTTTTTATCATTCGTATTATATCTATTATAGTGTTATATTATCATATAATATAAGATTTTCATATGATTATATTTTATTATTTCTGGTATTATTATTGCATTATTATCTTATATGATTATGTATTATTACACTTGAAGGATACCATTGCCGGTCCAGCTCCGAGCCCAATTCAAAGTGCTGGTTTTGACCTATAAAGCTCTATACGGTTCTGGCCCAGCTTACTTGTCTGAACGCATCCACCCCTACGTCCCATCTCGAAACCTAAGGTAATCCGGGGAGGCCCTGTTCTTGCTCCCTTCAACAGCACAAATGTGCCTGGCGGGGACGAGGGACAGGGCCTTCTTGGCGGTGGCTCCCCGCCTATGGAACACACTCCCAATTGAAGTAAGATTGGCCACCTCCCTCCTGGCTTTTCGAAATAAATTAAAGGCATGGTTTTGGGACGAGGCTTTTGGACAATAGACTGGAAGCAGCACCTTAAAGAGATGGATTGGAATGACGACATGACTGACGAGACTGGTTTAATGTTTTAATGATGGTTTATGTATTTTAATTATGTATTTTAATTATGATGTGTTCAAGTGGTGATTTTATTGTAACTGTCTTGTAATAGCCTCATAACAGGGCCCACTGTTAGCCGTCCTGAGTCCCCCTTCAGAGGTTGAGATGTGACAGGATAGAAATGCGGGAAATAAATAATACAATTACTGTATATACTCGAGTATAAGTCGACCTGAATTTAAGCCAAGGCACCTAATTTTACCACAAAAAACTAGGGAAACTTATTCACTTGAGTATAAGCCGAGGATGGGAAATGCAGCAGCCTAGTAAATTTCAAAATAAAAATAATACCAATAAAATTATAATAATTGAGGCATCAGGAGGTTATATGTTTTTGGATATTTACATAAAACTGTGATTTAAGATAAGATTGCCCAACTCTGTTTAAACCATTATTCTAACCTTAAATGTAGATGTGATTACATATCCTTTGTAATAACAGAGTAAAATAATAAATGTAATAATAACAATAAATAATACAATTACTGTATATACTCGAGTATAAGTCGACCTGAATATAAGCCGAGGCACCTAATTTTACCACAAAAAACTAGGGAAACGGATTGTAATAATAATAGAGTAAAATGATAAATGAAAAATAATAAATACAGTATAATAATAAATGTAATAAAAATAATAATAATAACAGAGTGAAATAATAAATAACCTTGACTCAAGTAAAAGCCGGGTGAGACTTTTTCAGCCTAAAAAAAGGGCTGAAAAACTAGGCTTATACTCGAGTATATACAGTATATAATATGTAATAATGTATATGATAATATTTTATCATTACCTGTATTATTATATATGATATTTTGGTATTTGTATTATCATCATTATGTTATCCTATTATTACTATATAATATCATCAATATTTTTATTTCATTATTTTTATTATTGGTATTATCATATTATTATATTTTATTATTATTAATATTAATATCATTATATTATCATATAATATTTTATATTATTATAATTACCTGTATTATTATCATATTATTATATTTTATTATGATTTGTATTATAATTATGTTATGATATTAACATATGTCATCTAGTATTTTTATATTTTTATTATTACCTGCATTATTATTGTATTATTATATTTTATTATGATTTGTGTTATTATCATTATGTTATCATATTATTATCATATAATGTCATCTAATATTTTTATATTATTATATTCATATAGTGAAACCCACAGCCCAGTTCACAGCTTCCATCTCTCAGAGCCTGCCTATATAACAAATGCTGTGAAAACTCTCCTACATTATATAATTATAATGTATAAGTATAGTAGAATATAGATTTTATATATGTATATAGATACATATAACCATAGATATATATTTCTCTCCTGTCTCTGCTCCATAGCACTCCTGCTCTTGGCGGCCACAGTCCTTGTGGTCAGTGTCCCATGGGTCAGTCGCAAAGCCAAGACCCTCCTGTTGAGATTCCGTCAGGATCAGGCCTCTGAGGAGCAACTGATGAGGAAAGAGCAACCATGAAGTCCGCTTTGGGTAGGTGTCCTTTTGGATTTAATACAATTCAGAACCCCCTTCCTTTTCATGATAGGTCTGTGTGCCAGGTTTGGGTCCCATCTGTTGTAGGCAGGAGTCACAGGGGCCACCTTGGAGAATACATGCAAACATAGATGGAAACAAATATACATACATACAAAGACATTTTTGCTTTTCTTATACATATAGATATTTTAATTTTAATTTTTAGTTAACATTTTAGTATTAATCATTTAATGTAATAATTTGTTTTAATTTATTATTAAATTATATATATATATATATATATATATATATATATATATATATAATATGATATGATATTGTATTATATATAATTATATATGATGATATTATATCAATATAATTATAATGTATAATTAAAGTAGAATATAGATATAAAGAAAGATATAGGCATCCTTGAAGTGACTGGACTGACCTTGAAGGACCTGGGGGTGGTGACGGCCGACAGGGAGCTCTGGCGTGGGCTGGTCCATGAGGTCACGAAGAGTCGGAGACGACTGAACGAATGAACAACAAATAGATATATAGAATACAGACTATAGAATATACATGTAGATAGATTTTATATATGTATATATTATTAAATAATATATATATATATAAAGATATTGTATTATATGTAATTATATATGATGATATATCAATATAATTGTAATATATAATTATAGTAGAATATAGATATATAGAAAGATAGTGATATATTGAATATAGACTATAGAATATACATGTCAATAGATTTTATATATGTACTAGCTGCCCCTTGCCACTCGTTCCTGTGGCCCAGTCTGTATATATGTTCTTTGTGTGTGTGTATATGTGTGTTTGTGTGGTTATGTGGTTTTGCACATGTGTTGTAAGTAATTTTTGTTTTTTGGCTTTTTAAGTCTCTTCTACTGTGTTTTTCAGTGTTTTTATGAGTGATGGTCACTCGTTGGCCTGATAGGTGTATTGTGTCCAAATTTGGTGTCAATTCGTTCATTGGTTTTTGAGTTATGTTAATCCCACAAATGAACATTACATTTTTATTTATATAGACTAGCTGTCCCCTGCCACACGTTGCTGTGGCCCACATGGGGGTTCTGTGTGGGAGGTTGGCCCAATTCTATCGTTGGTGGGGTTCAGAATGCTCTGTGATTGTAGGTGAAGTATAAATCCCAGCAACTACAACTCCCAAATGTCAAGATCCTATTTTCCCCAAACTCCACCAGTGTTCACATTTGGGCATATTGAGTATTCGTGTAGAGTTTGGTCCAGATCCATCATTGTTTGAGTCCACAGTGCTCTCTGGATGTAGGTGAACTACAACTCCAAAACCAAAGGACACTGCCCACCAAACCCTTCCAGTATTCTGTTGGTCATGGGAGAACTATGTGCCAAGTTTGGTTCAATTCCATTGTTGGTGGGGTTCAGAATGCTCTTTGATTGTAGGTGAACTATAAATTCCAGCAACTACAACTCCCAAATGACAAAATCATTTTTTTAGTGGACATACATTGGGTTGTTAGGTGTTTTTTGTCCAAATTTGGTGTCAATTCGCTCAGTGGTTTTTGCGTTCTGTTAATCCTACAAACGAACATTACATTTTTATTTATATAAGATTATGTATGATGATATTATATCAATATAATTATAATATATAATTATAGTAAAATATAAATATATAGAAAGATATAGATGTATTGAATGTAAACTATAGAATATACATGTCAATAGATTTTATATATGTATATGAATACATATAACCATAGATAGGTATATATAGGTTAATTAGATACAAATACCGTATATACTTGATTATAAGCTGAGTTTTTCAGCCCTTTTTAGCCGGCAATGGAGCCTGGAAGCAAGGCTCTGAAGCCAGCCGGCCATGAAGGAGGAGGACAAGCGGCAGAGGCAGCACAGGGGCCTCCAGGCAAGGTTCCTATGCTGCCATGGCTACTGTTCCTGACAATCCTCCTACTCCTCTAACTGGCCATGGAGGAGGAAGAAGAGGAGAAACGGCAGAGGCCGCACAGGGGCAAAATTATTTGTGAGTGAGAACTCGTAGAGAGACAGGGTGATAGACTGACCTTCATACAAACTGTTCGGGGCCCCGCTTTCTCTGCGATCGCATCTCCTTCTATGAACTGGCAAGATCTTCTGGGGAGGCCCTCCTCTCGGTCCCACTACCGTCTCAAGCATGGTTGGTGGGAACGAGAGAGAGGGGCTTCTCAGTGGTGGCCCCCCACCTCTGGAACTCCCTTCCAAGGGAAATAAGACAGGTCCCATCCCTCCCTTTCGTAAGAGCTTGAAGACCTGGTGGTTTCAACAAGCCTTTGAAAATGGCCAGTTCTAACTCAGTCCTATACATTGCAGATACGGTCTTATTCTTCCTACCAGTTACCCAGATCATTTCCTCTAGTCGGCCCTGGAATGAACAGCCACAGACCTGTACCTAATATCATTGTTGCCTGCCATAGCATTACATTTAATTCCCCCCCCCCCAGAATTTTTCGGCTTGCACAAATCTTGGTCCGGCCTTTTAAATTTTTAAAATTGCCTTGAACAGGCAGGATTACTTTTAATATATGTGTGTTATGGTGACAATTTTTATGCATATTTTGTTTTGTTAATCTTATGGTTATGTTGTTTTTACTTTGTATGTTCTGTGTTTTTTACCTGGGAACCGCTCTGAGTCCTCTCGGGGAGATAGAGCGGTATATAAATAATGTTTTATTATTATTTATTTCATACAAGGGGAGGGGGTTTACTCCTAGGACTATCGTTGGTGGGGTTTAAAGGAGTCTTTACTAACCCATTCCCTCTCTCGCCACTTTCCATCCCAGCCTTTCCCAGGTTCCAGCCTCTCTTTCCCTTTTCAGTCCTATTCCTTTTCCCACTGCAGTTTCCCACTTTCCAGCCCCACTTTCCATCCCAACCTTTCCCAGTTTCCAGCCCCACTTTCCCACCTCAATCTTTCCCCTTTCCACACTTGCTCCCTTTCCACCCCAATCTGATCTACTTTTCCAACTACCCCTTTCCACCTCATTTTCCTACTTTTTCAAACACTCCTTCCCATTCCAACCTTTTCCTGTTTCCAGTCCTCCTTTGCCACCTCCTTCCCAAGTCAGTCTTTCCCACTTTTTCTCATTCATATACACACAGCATTTTTCCCAAAATGTATAATGTAGTTAAAATAAACTATGGTGTTTATTGGATTCCTATTGGTTTTGTTGTTGTTATATTTATTATTTTACTCTATTGTTATTGTTATTGTTACATTTATTATTTTACTCTATTTATTGTTATTATTATTACATTTATTATTTTACTCTTATTATTGTAATTATTACATTTGTTAGTTTACCCTATTTATTATTATTAGAAGGACAGTAAGCACATTTACATTGAAGAAGGTTAGAATAATGGTTTAATCAGAGTTGGACAGTCTTACCTTATATTACAGTTTTATGTAAATATTCAAAAACATTTACCCTACTGTTGCCTCAATTAATGTAATTTTATCGGTATAAATTTTTATTCTTGAAATTGACCAGTAGCTGCTGCATTTCCCACCCTCGGCTTATTCTCCAATAAGTTTTCCCAGTTTTTGTGGTAAAATTAGATGCCTTGGCTTATATTTGAGTCGGCTTATACTCAAGTATCTACAGTAACTATTTAGTTCTAATTTATTATAATATTTTATTTATTATTTTTATTAACAAACACACACACACACACATATAAAATATGTAATGAGATATATATGAATCATATATATGAATCATAGAGTTGGAAGAGACCTTATGGACCATCCAGTCCAACCCCATTCTGCCAAGAAGCAGGAAAAGCGCATTCAAAGCATTATTCAAAATATAATATTATAGATATAAAGAAAGATGTAGATAGGATAGAATATAGACTATAGAATATATGGATTTTATAGAGGTATATAGATACATACATATAGCTATAGATAAATATCTAGCTATAGATTATAGATAGAAATAGATATAGTATATTTATGTGCATCCCAATATAAATATAGAGATAGAGAGATACATATAACTATAGAGATATGTAGATTATATAGATATAGATAGATCATATAGGTAGTAGATGTATAGATATAGATTATTCATTCCTATAGAGAGAGAAAGAGAGGGAGAGGGAGGGATGGAGAGGGAGATACATATAGCTGTAGAGATAGATAGATAGATAGATAGATAGATAGATAGATAGATAGATAGATAGATAGATAGATTTTGCACCCAATACAAATATAATAACTAAATCTATGCCTTACTCCTTTGCTGAATTTCTGGCTCTCTTAGGCTGGATCTACACTGCCTTGCCATGCACTTTCTGAAGGAAAGCAAATTCAACTGAACTGGATTATAGATGAATCTGCATGCAGAACGGATCGGTCTCCGTCAGGTGCCGAAGAAGACCACCGAAGGACGCGAAATTCCCTTCAGATGACGGATTATAAACACAGAAACAGACCTGGGTGGGCTTTAAAGCCAAAGTCTCCAAGGAATGCCCTTTCTTTCCATAATCTGGAAAACTGGGAAAATGTGCTTGTCTAGACTTGCTTGGACCCAGAATCCCCCACTCTGAGCTGGAATGGGTAAGGGATGATGGGCGTTGTGGTCTGAGTCGCACACCTGGATAGAGCTTCTCTCTTGCAGCCTTGTTTCTCCTTATAGCGTCCTATTCTCATTGCAGATCCCATTGGGGGATCCCGTCAGGTCCCCAAACTTTGCCGCATTTAGTGTTCTGTTGGTTTTTTCCCATTCATGTCACCATTTGGATGACCAGATAAAGATCCATTTCCATCTTCCCCTCCATCTCCTTTGTCTTTATTTTACACCCATTTCTCAGTGCACTCTTTCACAACTTCTCTTCATTTATTCAGTTCGTCTTCTAACCACCCAACAAATCTAATATAATAAACATACCATTATTGCCGTTAAAATACAGTACATGTCATAGAGTCACATGTGGCTCGTACATGACATCATATCGTATCCCATATTTGTATCCCATCTTTCAATCCCATAGGGACATGATCATTATTACTGTATTTACTCAATTTGAATGCTCACCTTTTTTGACTAAATTACCTTCCTAAAATCAGGGTGAGCATTAGATTCGCATAATAGAATAGAATACTTTGGGGGGTGGGGTTCAAGATTTTAAAAATTGAGGTGCGCATTAGATTTGATGGCACATGAGACCCAAGTCAATATGGGTATTATAATTATATGACACTAGCCGCCCCCCTGCCACGCGTTGCTGTGGCCCAGTACAGCCCAAAAAAACCTACAACAAAGAAAGTGTTGGTTTCTAATATATGTAATTTCTTTATGCTTGTGGGTAAACAGTATTTCTTGCTGTTTCTTTGTCAGTGTTGATGTGGAGATTGTCTGGTTTGCCTACTCTGGAACATGCAACATATAATTGTCCTTCTTTAGGGGTTCCTTTCACATCTATGATACTATATCTGTGTGTGTGTGTGAATCATATCTATCTATATCTATGGCTGGATGGCTCTTTGTCAGGAGGGCTTTGATTACGTTTTCTTGCCCTGGTGAAGGGAGCAGGACTGGATGTTGGTCATGGGGGTTCTGTGTGGGAAGTTTGCCCCAATTCTGTCATCGGTGGGGTTAAGAACGCCGATTGCAGGTGAACTATAAATCCCAGTAACTACAACTCGCAAATGTCAAGGTCTATTTTCCCCAAACTCCATCTGTGTTCACATTTTGGCGTATTGAGTGTGCCAAGTTTGGTCCAGATCCATCATTGTTTGAGTCCACAGTGCTCTCTGGATGTAGGTGAACTACAACTCCCGAACTCAAGGTCAATGCCCACCAAACCCTTCCAGTATTTTCTGGTCATGGGAGTTCTGTGTGGCAAATTAGGTTCAAATCCATCACCGGTGGAGTTCAGAATGCTCTTTGATTATAGGTGAACTATAAATCCCAGCAACTACAACTCCCAAATGACAAAATCATAATTTTTTGAGTGATGGTCACTCCTTGTGTTGTGAGACGTTTTGTTGCCAAATTTGGTGTGATTTCGTTCATTGGTTCTTTTGTTTTTAAGGTACTCATTATGCACAGAGCATTTATATATATATAGATTGATAACCCAGGGGCAAAATTTCTATTCTACATAGTGTTTCTGCTTTATAAAGAAATACTACAACTGAGCTCTGCGAGTGCAGCATTTTCCCGAATGAAGCAGAGCGTGAGGACGGGGACATCCATAGGGAGATCAAGGTGCTTGTCTATAAAGCTATTGTCCTCCCAACCCTTCTATATGCCTGCTAAACGTGGACTGTCTACAGACGTCAAATGCAACTCCTTGAACGATTCCATCAGCGCTGCCTCCGGAAAATCCTGCAAATCTCTTGGGAAGACAAGCGGACAAACGTCAGCATGTTGGAAGAAGCAAAGACCACCAGCACTGAAGCAATGGTCCTCCGCCATCAACTCTGCTGGACTGGCCATGTTGTCCAGATGCCATACCACCATCTCCCAAAGCAGTTGCTCTACTCCGAACTTAAGAACGGAAAACGGAATGTTGGAGGACAGGAAAAGAGATTTAAAGATGGGCTCAAAGCCAACCTTAAAATCTCTGGCATAGACACTGAGAACTGGGAAGCCCTGGCCCTTGAGTGCTCCAGCTGGAGGTCAGCTGTGACCAGCAGTGCTGCAGAATTTGAAGAGGCACGAATGGAGGGTGAAAGAGAGAAACGTGCCAGGAGGAAGGCGCGCCAAGTCAACCCCAACCGATACCACCTTCCACTTCAGTGGTATCTTAAGCCTTTCTCCTCTGCAGATCGTGAGGGAGGGAAAGAGGGAATGTTTTTAAGGAGATTTTATTTATAGAAAGAAAACAAAATCCCTAAAAATTGGGGGACCATGTGTGGTGATTTTCCTAAAACTGAGGGTAAGGGGAACATGGGAAGGCCACCCAGATTGGCCAATGGTCCGGAAATTTTTGTTCATTCGGATGAAAGAACAAAACAGATTACCATATATACTCAAGTATAAGCTGAGCCGAATATAAGCTGAAGCACCTAATTTTACCACAAAAACTGAGAAAACGGATTGACTCGAGTATAAGCCAAGGGTGGGAAATGCAGCAGCTACAGGTAAATTGCAAAATGAAAATAGATACCAATTAAATTACATTAATTGAGGAATCAGTAGGTTATATATTTTTGAATATTTACAAAAATGGCAATTTACGATAAGACTGTCCAACTCTGATTAAATGATTATTTACCTTCTTCAGTGTAAATGTGCTTGCGTATCCTTCCAATATTAATAGAGAGTAACATAATAAATGTAATAACAATAATAAAAAGAGTAAAATAATGAATGTAGCAATAACAACAATTATACAGTAAAATAATAAATGTATAATAGAGTAAAATGATAAATGTAATAATAATAAATAGAATAAAATAATAAATGAAATAATAATAATAATAACAACAACAACAGAGTAAAATAATAAATAATCTTGACTCGAGTATAAGCCGAGGGGGACTTTTTCAGCCTAAAAAAAGAGCTGAAAAACTAGGCTTATACTCGAGTATATACAGTATTTGGAAAGGCCCCCGTTTTCAGAAGCCGCGCTCAAAAACAAAAATGGGGCCATACGAATGAAACAAACCGAAACAGATAGCAATTCTATACGAATGCACAAGACTAATTATTATCATATGACATAACCCAGGAACAAACATTGTGTTACATAGTGTTATCATCATCACAATATGACTATCGTTATAATATCAGCACTGAGTCCTCGTAGACTCCACACTGACGCTTGAAGCTCAAGTGTCGGCAGTGGCCAGGAGGGCCTTCACACAGTTAAAGCTTGTACGACCGTTCCTCAAAAAGCCTGACTTGGCCATGGTGGTCCTTGCCTTAGTCATATCCAGAATGGACAACTGCAATGCATTCCATGTTGGGCTGCCTTTGAAGATGGCTTGGAAACTTCAACCAGTGTGCCTTTCATCTCAAGAACAGAGAAGCATCCCGAGCTCTGAAGATCACCTAGGAAGGAATCCCACTGGAGCACTGCAGCACACCCAAATACCTGGGAGTCACTCTGGACCGTGCTCTTACCTACAAGAAGCACTGCCTGAATATCAAGCAAAAAGTGGGTGCTAGAAACAATATCATACGAAAGCTGACTGGCACAACCTGGAGATCACAACCAGACACAGTGAAGACATCTGCCCTTGCGCTATGCTACTCTGCTGCTGAGTATGCATGCCCAGTGTGGAACACATCTCACCACGCTAAAACAGTGGATGTGGCTCTTAATGAGACATGCCGCATTATCACGGGGTGTCTGCGCCCTACACCACTGGAGAAATTATACTGCTTAGCCGGTATTGCACCACCTGACATCCGCCAGGAAGTAGCAGCCAATAGTGAAAGGACCAAGGCAGAGACATCTCCAGCTCATCCCCTATTTGGGTATCAGCCAGCACTCTCTGCTTCATTCGGAAAAATGCGCTTGCAGAGCTCAGGCGGTGTTGTACCAATGACTTAAATCTAGAAATAGTTTTCTAAGACCTACAGAGACACACGCTGGAACACCTCAGCAAGCGAGAGTCCAAAAGTGGCAGGCTCAAACCCAGAACCTCAATCAATGGCTGATACCAAATGAGAGACTCCGTCCTGGGCACACAGAAAACTGGGCGCTTTGGAAGGCGCTGAACAGACTGAGCTCTGGCACCACGAGATGCAGAGCCAACCTTCAGAAATGGGGCTACAACGTGGAATCCACGACATGTGAGTGTGGGGAAGAGCAAACCACTGACCACCTGCTGCAATGCAACCCGAGCCCTGCCACATGCACAAGGGAGGACCTTCTTGCAGCAACACCAGAAGCACTCCAAGTGGCTAGATACTGGTCAAAGGACATTTAATCAACTACCAAACTCACAAATTTTGTATTCTGTATTTTGTATTTTTGTATTTTGTCTGTTTGTTTGCTTTCTTCTGTTAGAAATGTAATATAATTGACTGGTTGCTGATGACTCGATAAATAAAATAACCAGTGCAAAGATCAGCAGCCAGGCTACTAACTGGGGCTAGCTATAGGGAGCACTTCACACCCCTAATAAAGCAGCTACACTGGCTGCCTATGAGTTTCCGGGCTCAATTCAAAGTGAAGGTTATTACCTACTAGCTTGGATCCTTGACATTGCCCATGTTATTTGAAAAAAAGTCAATTTTTTTACTTGTCTAAATGGTGAACTACAACTCACACCATGCTAGTTTAACCCCAAGAAACTCCACCAGTACTTTTAGTTGGGCAAGTTTGTTTTGGATGCATCATGGGTGGGGTTCAGTGTGATCTCTGGCTGTAGAGTAAACTACAACTCCTACCATGGTGGATCAGTCCCCTCAAACCCCTCCAGTAGGTTGAGTGAGTCAAGGGGATTCGGTGTGCCAAGTGTGGTCCAGGTCCATCATTAGTGGTGGTCACTGTTTCCCTGGTTGTTGGTGAACTACAACTCCCAGAAAGGAAGGTCAGTTCCCCACCACCCCTCCAGTAATCAAATTGGGCATATCAGGTCTGTGTGCCAAGTTTGGTCCAGATCCATCGTGTTTGGGTTCACAGTGCTCTCTGGATGTGGGTGAACTACAACTCCCCCAAATCAAGGTGTATTCCCCCCAATGCCATCTTTGGTGGAGTTCAGAATGCTTTTTGATTGCAGTTGTAGGTACATCCCAGTACCTATAGCTCCAAAATGTCCAGGCCAATTCCCCTCAAAACCCACCAGTTTTCAAATGTGGGCATATCGGATATGCATGCCAAGTTTGGTCCAGATCATTGTTTGGGTTCTTAGCGTGCTCTGTATGTAGGTGAACTACAACTCCTCGAATCCCTCCAAAGATCTCCAGTATTTTTGTGGATCGTGGGGGTTCTGTGTGCCAAGTTAGTTCCAGGTCCATTGTTGGAGTTCAGAGTGCAGTTCTTAGATTGCAGGGGAACTATACATCCCAGGACCTAGTAAAGGTAAAGGTAAAGGTTTTCCCCTGACATTAAGTCCAGTCATGTCCAACTCCATTTCTAAAAGCCAGCGTTGTCCATAGACACCTCTAAGGTCATGTGGCCGGCATGACTGCATGGAGCGCCGTTACCTTCCCGCCGGAGCGGTACCTATTGATCTACTCACATTTGCATGTTTTCGAAATGCTAGGTTGGCAGAAGCTAGGGCTGACAGCGGAAGCTCATGCTGCTCCCCGGAATCGAACTTGTGACCTTTCGATCAAAGCTCAGCAGCTCAGCGTTTAACCACTGCGCCACTGGGGGCTCCTGGTGTACAGTAAACATTCAGTTGCTGATCAATTCCTGTTTGCTGTGTGCTATAGGAAAGGGTTAAGGGAGAGGCAGTGGGTGGGATCATGCAAATTCCAAACCCATGGAGAGAGAAAGGAACCCTGGGATGTCCATTCTGGAGGAAAACCAGAACATCTAGGATGAAATTCTCCCCGAATGAAAGCCTTCACTTAGGTGGCGGGCAGGATGGTGTTTGTGGAGGACATTGGCTACATGTTTGTGTTTGTGGAGGACATTGGTTTGAGCTACATGTTCAAGTCTGATCTGGTCACGGTGGTCCACGCTCTGGTTACATCCCGAATAGATTACTGCAACATGCTCTACGTGGGGCTGCCTTTGAAGACGGTTCAGAAACTTCAGCTAGTCCAATGGGCGGCAACCAGATTACTAACTGAGGCAGCAGCCAGGGAGCATACAACCCCCCTGTTGTGCCAGATCCACTGGCTGCCAGTCCATCTTTGAGCCCAATTCAAAGTGCTGGTTTTGACCTATAAAGCTCTATACGGTTCTGGCCCCAGCTTACTTGTCCGAACGCATCCACCTCTCCCACCTCGTGATCTAAGATCATCCGAGGAGGCCTGCCCATCAACAGCGCAAATGCGTCTGGTGGGACGAGAGACAGGGCCTTCTCGGTGGTGGCCCCTCACCTATGGAACACACTCCCAAATGAGGTAAGATCTGCTCCCTCCCTCCTGGCTTTTAGAAAGAAATTAAAATCTATGATACTATATCTGTGTGTGTGTGTGTGAGAATCATATCTATCTATCTATATTTATGACTGGATGGCTCTTTGTCAGGAGGGCTCTGATTACATTTTCTTGCCCTGGTGAAGAGAGTTGGACTGGATGGCCTTAAGTATTTTCTGTTGGTCATGGGGGTTCTGTGTGGGAAATTTGCCCCATTTCTGTCGTTTGTGGGTTTCAGAATGCTCTTTAATTGTAGTGAACTATAAATCCCAGTAACTACAAATCCCAAATGTCAAGGTCTATTTCCTCCAAACTCCATCTGTGTTCCTATTTAGGCATATGGAATTTTGGGTCAAGTTTGGTCCAGATCCATCATTGTTTGAGTCCACAGTGCTCTCTGGATGTGGGTGAACTATAACTCCCAAACTCAAGGTCAATGCCCACCAAACCCAGTGTGTTCTGTTGGTCATGGAAGTCCTGTATGCCATGTTTGGTTCAATTCCATCATTGGTGGAGTTCAGAATGCTCTTTGATTGTAGCTGAACTATAAATCCCAGTAACTACAACTCCCAAATGTCAAGGTCTATTTCTCCCAAACTCCATCTGTGTTCATATTTGGGCATATGGAATATTTGTGCCAAGTTTGGTCCAGATCCATCATTGTTTGAGTCCACAGTGCTCTCTGGATGTAGGTGAACTACAACTCCCAAACTCAAGGTCAACACTCACCAAACCCTTCTAGTGTTTTCTGTTGGTCACGGGAGTCCTGTGTGCCAAGTTTGGTTCAATTCCATCATTGGTGGAGTTCAGAATGCTCTTTGTAGGTGAACTATAAATCCCAGCAACTAAAACTCCCAAATGTCAAGGTCTATTTCCCTTAAACTCCATCTGTGTTCATATTTGGGCATATGGAATATTCGTGCCAAGTTTGGTCCAGATCCATCATTGTTTGAGTCCACAGTGCTTTCTGGATGTGGGTGAACTATAATTCCCAAACTCAAGGTCAATGTCCACCAAACCTTTCCAGTTTTTTCTGTTGGTCATGGGAGCCCTGTGTGCTAAGTTTGGCCCAATTCCATCATTGGTGGAGTTCAGAATGCTCTTTGATTGTAGGTAAACTATAAATCCCAGCAACGACAATTCCCAAATGACAAAATCAATTTTTTTGAGTGGAGGACATAAATTGGACTGTTAGGTGTCTTGTGTCCAAATTTGGTGTCAATTCCCCCAGTGGTTTTTGAGTTCTGATGGTAGCACGAACTAACATTACATTTTTATTTATATAGATTATTGGGGATCCACAAAAAGCCTTTGCTTCAAAAAGGGCTATGTGGGGGGGGGGGGATGATGTTTATTTTACTTGTTATTGCTTTTGCGTTATTGTCTTTCCACTTTTTTATTTTTTGCATGTTTGCACTTTAAGTGCTTGTGAGCCACCCCAAGTCCCTCCAGGAGATGGTGGCGGGGTATAAATAACGTTTGTTTGTTTGTTTGTTTGTTTGTTTGTTTGTTTGTTTACAGTATTCATATTCTGCTCTTCTCACCCCAAAGGGGACTCAGGGTGGATCACAGAACACAACTAGATAAGATAAGGTAAAGGTTTTCCCCTTACATTAAGTCTAGTTGTGTCCAACTCTGGGACACTGGTGCTCATCTCCATTTCTAAGCCAAGGAGCTGACGTCCATAGCATTGTCCATAGTGCCGTTACCTTCCCACCAAAGCGGTACCTATTGATCTACTCACATTTGCATGTTTTTGAACTGCTAGGTTGGCAGAAGCTGGGCCTAACAGCAGGAGCTCACCCCACTCCCAGGATTCAAACTGTTGACCATTTGGTCAGCATGTTCAGCAGCTCAGTGGTTTAACCTAGAGAGGCAACCCAGAAGGGGTCCATAGGGACATCATCATCGTCATCATAATCACTTACTTTATTTGTATCCCATCTTTCTCCCCATAGGGACAATAATAAGAACAATAACAATAATAATAATGGGTTGTTGTAGGTTTTTTCGGGCTATATGGCCATGTTCTGGAGGCAATTTTTCTCCTGACGTTTCGCCTGCATCTATGGCAAGCATCCTCAGAGGTAGTGACCTCACTACCTCTGAGGATGCTTGCCATAGATGCAGGCGAAACGTCAGGAGAAAATGCCTCTAGAACATGGCCATATAGCCCGGAAAAACCTACAACAACCCAGTGATTCCGGCCATGAAAGCCTTCGACAATACAATAATAATAATAATAATTTATTTTTACCCCATCTTACTCTCCATAGGGACTCAGGGCAGCTTGCAATAACATTATTATTATTATTATTATCATCATCATTATTATTGTTATATGTCATTGTTATTGCTTTTTGCATTATTGTCTTCCCACTTTTTTGTATTTTTGCATGTTTGCACCTTAAGTGCTTGTGAGCCACCCCAAGTCCCTCCAGAAGATGGTTTATTTAGATACAGTATTGATTACATTGATAACAAAGGGGCAAAAATTGTGTTTTACATAGAGCTCCCCCCCCCTCCCCCGGTGGCGCAGCAGGTTAAACCTCTGAGCTGCTGAATTTGCTGACCAAAAGCTTGGCAGTTCAAATCCCGGGAGTGAGGTGAGCTCCCGCTGTTAGCCCCAGCTTCTGCAAACCTAGCAGTTCGAAAAAATGCAAATGTGAGAAAATCAATAGGTACCACTTCTGCGAGAAGGTAACGGTGCTCCATGCAGTCATGCCAGTGGCCACATGACCTTGGAGGTGTCTACGGACAACTCTGGCTCTTCAGCTCAGAAAAGGAGATGAGTCCCAGAGTCAGACAGGACTAGACTTAATGTTGATGGAAAACCTGGAAAACATAGTGTAATGCTTTATGAAGAAATATTCCAGCCGTTGCAGAAGATGTGCTTCTTTCCCTAAACTTTTGGATCTGATTGAGGCGGAAAGATAAACCCAAGGGCCCGAAATAGCTTGCTTAACATGAAAGGTTAACCTGGTAATCTCATTAGGGCACTAAAGAGCTTGCTGTAGGGAAGGCAGCAGTGAGGGTTGCAGGAGCTGGAGGCTCTCGTCCAGGAGCAACTCTTGCTGCAGATTTTGCAGGAAGAAGCACCCCAAACCTTCCATCCTTTGGGGGCTGTGTTTGCGAACAGGGGACGATGGCGGGGCAGCGGCGGAGAGCAGTCAGCCTGTCGTCCAACCTGAAAATCGGGGACTACCGGCGGTGCTGCTTGACGCCAGCCGAGGAAGAGCTGTACATCCCCTTCGCACAGGACAAGCTGGTCAAGCCCTGGCGCTCCCTGCACAACGTCTCCGGCGGGGCTCACACCGTGCGGCGCGGGCGCAGCAGCAACTTGAACCTCAACGTCGGCGGTCGGCGCTTCCAGATGTCGTACGCGGCGGCTGCCCGGCATCCGACAACCCGCCTGGGCCGCCTTGCTGTCGCAACGCAACCGTCGCAGCGGGCAGCCTTGTGCGACGACTACTCAGTACCGGAGAATGAGTTCTTCTTTGACCGCGACCCGGTGGTCTTCCTGTACGTCTTCCACTTCTATCGCAGCGGGGTGATGTGGGTGATGGAGGAACTGTGCCCATCCAACTTCGCGGAGGAGGTGGCCTACTGGGGGCTGCACATGAAGCACGCCCAGCGCTGCTGCCGCATCCTCTTCGAGGAGAAGCAAGATGAGCTGGCTGAGTACTTGAAGATCCAGCGCGAGCTGGAGGCCGAGCTGGAGCCTGTTGAGCGCGAGGAGCACTTTGAGGGCAAGTTCCTCGGTGAAATCCGGAAAGCAATCTGGAACCTGATTGAGAACCCATACTCGTCCATCCCAGCTAAGGTGATCGCCATCCTCTCCAGCTTCTTTGTGCTGATCTCCATCGTGGGCATGACGCTGAGCACGGTGGAGGAGATGCAGCACAAGGCCAGCAAGCGCTGCATGCAGCAGCTGGAGACAGTGTGCGCCATCTTCTTCACCCTGGAGTACCTCATGCGGCTGGTATCCACCTCCACCTTCCGGCAGTTCCTGCGGGCTGCCTTCAGCGCCATCGACCTGGTGGCCATCCTGCCCTTCTACGTCCAACTGCTCTTCGAGAACCTGGGTGAGGCCGAGGGCGACTACCACGAGGAGCTGCACAAGATGCGCAGCGTGGGCAAGCTGGGCAAGGTGCTCAAGCTCATCAAGCTCATGCGCATCTTCCGCATCCTCAAGCTGGCCCGCCATTCCACCGGCCTGCGGGCCTTCGGCTTCACCCTGCGCCAGTGCTACCAGCAGGTCTGCTGCCTCTTCCTCTTCATCGCCATGGGCGTCTTCACCTTCTCTGCCCTCATGCACTCCGTTGAGCACGACGTGCCCGGCACCAACTTCACCAGCATCCCCGACGCCTGGTGGTGGGCCGCCGTAAGTCCCACCCCTTCCAGCCCTTTAGTAGTAGTGGGATGATGATTATTATTATTACCAGTATATATGATAGTATTATTATATTATCACTAGCCGTCCCCTACCACGCGTTGCTGTGGCCCAGTCTGTGTATATGTGTTTTGTGTGTGTATATCAGTGGTTCTCAACCTTCCTAGTGCCGCGACCCCTTAGTACAGGTCCTTATGTTGTGGTGACCCCCAACCATAATGTTATTTTCGTTACCACTTCATAACTGTAATTTTGCTACTGTTATGAATTGTAATGTAAATATCTAATATGCAGGATGCATTTTCAGTCACTTGACCAAATTTGGCACAAGTACCCGATACGCCCAAAATTTGAATATTGGTGGGGTTGGGGGTGATTGATTTTGTCATTTTCTGGAATTGCTGGGATTTATAGTTCACCTTAATTCAAAAAGCCTTCTGAACTCCATCAATGATGGAATTGAATCAAACATGGCACACAGAATTCCCATGACCAAGAGAAAATATTGGGAAGGTCTGGTGGACATTGACCTTGAGTTTTTGGAGTTGTAGTTCACCTACATCCAGAGAACACTGTGGACTCAAGCAATGATGGATCTGGATCAAACTTGGCACAAATACTCAATGTGCCCAAATGTGAACACTGGTAGAGTTTGGAGAAAATAGACCTTGCCATTTGGGAGTTGTAGTTGTTGGGATTTATAGTTTGCCCACAATGAAATAGCATTCTGAACCCCACCAACGATAGAATTGGACCAAACTTTCCACACAGAAACCCCATGATGAACAGAAAATACTATGTTTTCTGATGGTCTTTGGTGACCCCTCTGACCCCTCCCGACCCCCAGGTTGAGAAACGCTGGTGTATATATATATATATGTGTGTGTGTGTGTGTGTTGTTGTTGTTGTTGTTCATTCGTTCAGTTGCTTCCGACTCTTTGTGACCTCCTGGGGACTCCCAGAGGTCAACTGGCCCACCCCTTTGCTTTATGCAGGTGTTGTCCAGCTTCTGTTAGCTATATTATTCTTATATTGATATTATTTGTTGTGAGGTCATTTAGCCCCCAAAGGACTGGAGTATATATGGTATTGCTATTACAATATTGTTATAATTATTATTACTATTCCTGGGTATGGGGACCCTCAGAGGTCAGCTGGTCCACCCCTGTGCTCCACACAGGTGCAGTCTGGTCGTTGAAGGCTGTTATGGTGATGATGATGATGATGATGATGATGTGTGGGAAAGGACCCCCAGAGGTCATCCGGCCCTAATGTTTCTCCTTTGGCCTCTTCTCCCCCTTTGCAGGTGAGCCTCTCAACGGTGGGCTATGGGGACACGGTGCCAGACACGCTGCTGGGCCGCATGGTGGCCTTTGGCTGCATCTCCTTCGGCATCATCCTCAACGGGATGCCCATCTCCATCCTCTACAACAAGTTCTCCGACTACTATGCCAAGCTCAAGTCCCACGAGGTGCAGGCCACGGGGTCCCTCAAGGCAGCCCGCCAGCTGCGCCTCAAGGAACGCGCCTGGAAGAAGTTTGCCGAGGCCTGCTGTGCTGAGTACAGCAACCATGAAGGGACTGGCCCCACGACACGAAGGCCGGAGCCCCCCCACCTCAGCCACCCTTTGCATCACCCCCCACCACCCCCCACCCCTGTCATCCGGCAACCGCCCCCCACCCCCCGCGCACCCCGCACCCCCATGGGCCGGCGGCTGGACTACCCGGTCCCACACCCGCACCATGAGTACCTGGACCATCACCCAGCCCACCTCACCCCGCTCTCCGGCCACCCCACCCCGCCCCCGCCCTACGTGTTCCCGCCACCCGCCCTCCAGAGGCACCGCTCCAGGAAGAGAGCCGAGGGGGGTGTCCTGCTCCACCACCACAAAGGGGCCAGCCTCTGAGGACCAAGGGACATCCCAAAGTGGCACCCATGGAAACCCAGCAGGAGGCCTGGGATATTATTATTCAGTCCCTATGGGGAGAAAGATGGGATACAAAGAAAGTCAGTAATAATAATCGTTATTTATTTCATGTCAGAAGCATTGCATAAGGATACAACTGATAAAAAATAGAAGGAGCACAAGTGGCTAAATAATTTTAACCAAAAACGGGCAACAGCGACCACATTCCCTGTAGCTTGAAACAGTTCTTCCTCTGTGCATGAGGCAGGGCGCTGTGGGCAGGCATACAGGTGTGGAGTTGTCTGCCCTGTTCCACAGTCACACAAGGTGGAGGATTCTTTTGATCATGCCATTTGGCCAGGTTGTCTTTTGATAATAATAGTAATTACACTATGGAACACAATGTTTCTTCCTGGGTTATCAATATCAAATAACAACAACAACAACAACAACAACAACAATAACAACCTTACTGGGATCTGCACGCATTATTTGCCGATACATCACACAGCCCTAGACACTTGGGAAGGGTCCAATGTGTGATCCAATACACCGGCCAGCAGAGTGATCTTGTCTGCTGTGGACTCACCTTGTTGTGTTTCAAATTATTATTATTATTATTATTATTATTATTATTATTATTATTATATCCCTATGAGAAGAAAGATGGGATACAAATAATGTGCATTGTTGTTGTTGTTGTTGTTGTTATTATATGACATTGATCAGCCAGAGAGGAGAGACATTCCAAAGGGAGACCTGTGACACTATTATGAAGTCCCTATTGTTGTTGTTGTTGTTGTTGTTGTTAGATACACAACAGGATTAGTCCACAGCAAACAAGATCACTATGCTGGCTGTTGTATTCTATCCCACATCAGACACTTCCCAAGTGTCTAGGACTGTGTGATGTATCGGTGAATAATGCATGCAGATCCCAGTAGGGTGGACTCTTGCAGGTGGCAATTTTATCAGCGCCAATTGTGTTTAAGTGCAGACCAAGGTCTTGAGGCACTGCACCCAGTGTGCTGATCACTACTGGGACGTGTTCATTTTCCATAACTTTTTCCGGCTTGTGATCCCACCAGTTCTTTGTTGCAGACAGATAGTATTTGTGGCACAAGTTCCAATGGATCACCTGAGCAACGGTGTTGTGCCTTTGCTGGTTGTCCGTACAGGTGGTCCCAGTGGTCATTGGAACACTGGGTGCCGTGCCAAAAGATCTCAGCCGGCATTTGGAAACAATAAACATTGACAAAACCATAATCTGTCAGCTGGAAAAGGCCACCTGACTTGGATCTGCATGCATCATTTGAAAATACATCACACAGTCCTAGACGCTTGGGAAGTGTTTGACTTGTGATTTTGTGATACGAAGTCCAGCATATAGATCTCGTTTGCTGTGGCATGCTGTGGTTTTGTGTCAGTAAAATAAAATAAAATAATATAATAATAATATATTATTATTATTTTATTGACACAAAACCACAGCATGTCACAGCAAACAAGATATTATTATTATTATTATCATCATTATTATCATAAATAATAGTAATAATCATAGAATCATAGAATCAAAGAGTTGGAAGAGACCTCATGGGCCATCCAGTCCAACCCCCTGCCAAGAAGCAGGAATATTGCATTCAAATCACCCCTGACAGATGGCCATCCAGCCACTGTTTAAAAGCTTCCAAAGAAGGAGCCACCACCACACTCCGGGGCAGAGAGTTCCACTGCTGAACGGCTCTCACAGTCAGGAAGTTCTTCCTCAATGTATTGTTGAAGGCTCTCATGGCTGGAATCACTGGGTTGTTGTCCTAGTCTCCAGGGAAGCAGAAAACAAGCTTGCTCCCTTCTCCCTGTGTCTTCCTCTCACATATTTATACATGGCTATCATATCTCCTCTCAGCCTTCTCTTCTTCAGGCTAAACATGCCCAGCTCCTTAAGCCGCTCCTCATAGGGCTTGTTCTCCAGACCCTTGATGTTAGTCGCCCTCCTCTGGACACATTCCAGCTTGTCAATATCTCTCTTGAATTGTGGTGCCCAGAATTGGACACAATATTCCAGGTGTGGTCTGACCAAGGCAGAATAGAGGGGTAGCATGACTTCCCTGGATCTAGACTATTTATTCAGAGAGGCCAAAATCCCATTGGCTTTTCCCCCACCGCATCACATTGTTGGCTCATGTTTAACTTGTTGTCCACGAGGACTCCAAGATCTTTTTCACACGTACTGCTCATGAGCCAGGCGTCCCCCATTCTCTATCTTTGCATTTAGTTTTTTTCTGCCTAAGTGGAGTATCTTGCATTTGTCACTGTTGAACTTCATTTTGTTAGTTTTGGCCCATCTCTCTAATCTGTCAAGATTGTTTTGAATCCTGCTCCTGTCCTCTGGAGTATTGGCTATCCCTCCCAATTTGGTGTCGTCTGCAAACTTGATGATCCTGCCTTCTAACCCTTCATCCAAGTCATTAATAAAGATGTTGAACAGGACCGGGCCCAGGACGGAACCCTGCGGCACTCCGCTCGTCACTTCTTTCCAGGATGAAGAGGAAGCATTGGTGAGCACCCTCTGGGTTCGTCCATTTAACCAATTACTGATCCACCTAATCGTAGTTTTGCCTAGCCAAATTTATTTTTGTGTGCCAGAAGGTCATGGGGGACCTTGTCGAAGGCCTTACTGAAATCCAGGTACGCCACATCCACGGCATTCCCCGCATCTACCCAGCTTGTAACTCTATCGAAAAAAGAGATCAGATTAGTCTGGCATGACTTGTTTTTGATAAATCCGTGTTGACTATTAGCAATGACCGCATTTGTTTCTAAGTGTTTGCAGACCACTTCCTTAACAATCTTTTCCAGAATCTTGCCTGGTATCGACGTGAGGCTGACCGGACGGTAGTTGTTTGGGTCATCCTTTTTTCCCTTCTTGAAGATTGGGACCACATTGGCCCTCCTCCAGTCTGCTGGAACTTCTCCCGTTCTCCAAGAACTCTCAAAGATGATTGCCAATGGTTCCAAAATGACTTCCGCTAGTTCCTTCAATACTCTTGGGTGTAGTTGATCTGGCCCTGGGGACGAATATGGGATAAAAATAACGATTAGGCCTTATATGGTCTGGGGCCGGTGTACCTGAGGGCCCGCTTATCCCCCTACCAACCCCAGAGATTACTTCGGTCCGAAGACCAAAATTTGTTTGAAGTCCCCAACATCCGGACTTATCATCTGTCCTCTACTACGCAAAGAGCCTTCTCGATCGTGGCCCCTTATTTATGGAAGGCCTTGCCAGTTGAAACCTGATCTATCCGAGACCTACTTGCTTTTCGGAAAGCCTGTAAAACCTTTCTCTTCCGACAAGCTTTCGATGGGTGAATAACTCAGGACTATGTCTGTTCTTGTTTTTATTGTATTTTAAAGTTAATTGTATTGTTTTAATCTACTGCTGTAAACCGCTCCGAGCCAAATTGGGAGTAGTCAATTCAATTCAAGTCAAATAAATAAATAAATAAATAAATAATTATTGCCTTATGGCAGTGTTTCTCAACCTGGGGGTCGGGACCCCTGTTGAGGTCATAAGGGCTTTTCAGAGGGGTCACCAAAGACGTATAAGTAAACATATATTTCTGATGGTCATAGGAAACGGTTTGGCAGAGAAGGCTGGAGATCTCTCTGCCTGTCCATCTCTTCTTTTTTTGGAAACAGACGATGACTCCTCCCACCTACATCCAGAGAGCCCTGTGGACTCAAACAATGATGGATCTGGACCAAACTTGGCACAAATACTCAATATGCCCAAATGTGAACACTGGTGGAGTTTAGGGAAAATAAACCTATACATTGGGAGTTGTAGTTGCTGGGATTTATAGTTCACCTACAATCAAAGAGCATTCTGAACCCCACCAATGATAGAATTGGGCCAAACTTCCCACACAGAACCCCCATGCATTGAAGGGACTTGCTGGTACGAACCTCCCTTCAGCCTCACATGCTCTCCCTCACCCATGCATGTGTACTACACTGCTATGCTCTCCCCTCCCCACTTGGAGTCTCAGAAACAACCTTCCCCTTGGCTGAGAGGCCGGCCAGTCACACCAGAGGAGGTTTTGGTGGGACATGCGTTCCACACTGGGCATGCATACTCAGCAGCAGAGTAGCATAGCGCAAGGGCAGATGTCTTCACTGTGTCTGGTTGTGATCCCCAGGTTGTGCCAGTCAGCTTTCGTATGATATTGTTTCTAGCATCCACTTTTTGCTTGATATTCAGAGAGTGCTTCTTGTAGGTCAGAGCACAGTCCAGAGTGACTCCCAGGTATTTGGGTGCGCTGCAATGCTCCAGTGGGATTCCTTCCCAGGTGATCTTCAGAGTTCGGGATGCTTGTCTGTTCTTAAGGTGAAAGGCACATGTCTGTGTTTTGGAATAGGGATCAGCTGGTTTTCCCTGTAGTAGGCGGTAAGGGCAGCTAGACCTTCGGAGAGCTTCTGTTCCACCATCTCAAAGCTCCCTGCTTTAGCGGTGATGACACGATCATCAGCATAGATGAAACTCTCTGGCCCTTCTGGAAGTGGCTGGTCATTTGTGTAGATGTTGAACATGGATGGAGCAAGCACGCTCCCCTTAGGCAGGCCGTTCTTCTGTTTCCGCCATCTGCTTCTCTGGCCCTGAAACTCAACAAAAAAGCTCCTGTTTTGTAGCAGGTTTCCTATAAGGTGGATGAGGTAGTATTGTGATATTATACATTTTTCTCAGGAGGAGGAGGTGGTTTACAGTATCATAAGCCGCTGACAGGTCTATGAAGACAGCTTCTGTGATCTGCTGCCTTTCAAAGCCATCTTCTATGTGCTGAGTCAGGTTCAGCACTTGCGATGTGCAACAATATTTTCGAATGATGCATGCAGATCCAAGTAAGGTGGCCTTTTACAGTTGACAGATCATGATTTTGCCCATGTGTATTGTTTCCAAATGCCAGCTGAGATCTTTTGCACGGCACCCAGTGTGCCGATTATAACTGGGACCACTGGTTTATGCCAGAGCCTTTGCAGTTTGATATTAAGGTCCTGATAACTGCAGGTTTTTTTCTGTTTTCATCAATTCAACTATCACCTGGTAAGGTGACATCAATAATCTAAACTTTTTTCTTTTCTACAATCGTGATGTCTGGTGTATTATGTTCCAAAACTTTGTCAGTCTGGATTTGAAAGTCTCACAATATTTTTGCGTGTTCATTTTCCACAACCTTTGCAGGTTTATGATCCCACCGGTTCTTGACTACTGGCAGGTGGTAATTGTGACATAAGTTCCAATAAATCATTTGAGCCACAGCGTTGTACATTTGTTTGTAGTCTGTCTGTGCGATTTTCTTGCAATCCTCCTCCTCCTCCTCCTTATATAACACTAGCTGTGCCCTGCCACGCATTGCTGTGGCCTATAGTAAGAATTTTTGAAGTAGAGGTAGGTATCTGGACTATTATGAAAGAGAGGTACATACCTATTCCTTGTCCCCTTTTTCTTTCCCTTCTGCTTTCTCTCCTTTCTTCCTTCTCTACATCTTTCTTTCATTTCTTCCTTCACTCTTTGGTCCCATCCTTCCTTCTCTTTTTTTTTTTCCCTCCCCCTTTCTTCTTTTTTTTAGTTCCTTTATATCATTCATCTTTAACGTCTTTTGCTGAATTTACCTCATTTTCTTCCTTTTATTTATCTTCTGGTCTTGCAAAAACCTCTTATAGTGCTGAGGTGACGGGGTTGTCCATTATATGGATGTTGCCAATATTATTCTCCAGTGGGGCATAACCAGATTGCCAACTGACTACATATTGCCTGTATGAGTGCCGTAGGGTGCATCCAGACAGCACCTAATGTGCATGTCCTCTCACATTTTCCCCTGGGGCATCCAGACAACATCTCTGGGAAAATTTATTTATTTATTATTTACTGCTTTTTTATTCCGCCCTTCTCACCCTGCAGGGGACTCAGGGCAGATTACAGTATGTACACATATATGGCAAACATTCAATGCCAATTTGACATACAAACATATACAGACATACACAGAGGCTATTTAACTTTTTTCTGGCCACCAGGGGAGCTGTCGCTTTCATCGTCCATCTGCGACGCTGATGAAGCACTTCCGCATTCCCCGCATGCTTCCCCACTGGAATGCTTTGCTGGAGTCTTCTTTATGGCCTCATAAATCAGTTAATTTAGCCTCCCCACACTTTAAGGCGGTACCTTATTTTCCTACTTGACAAATGCAACTGTCTTTCAGGTTGCAAAGGTCGACAACAGGCTACACACAATTGGTTGGAAACCCACTCCAACCCGGACTGGCTTCGAACTCATGACCTTTTGGTCAGAGTGATCTTAATGCAGCTGACACTCAGCCAGCTGCGCCACAATCCCGGTGCTTATATCTCCTTGCCATACATATATGTGTGTGTGCGTGTGTCTACACTGCCATATAATCCAGTCCTAAGTAGATAATCTGGATTTAACATGGCAGTGTGGAAGGGTTTACTTTGGGTGCATCTACACTGTAGATTTAATAAAGGAGGATGAAACTGGTGAGGGGAGGAGAAAAAAAAGGAAAGAATTGAGGGAGGGAGGGAAGGAGAAGGAAGGGAAGTAAAGAAAGGGAGGGAGGGAAGGAAGAAGGGAGAGAAGGAGGGGGTTGGACTGGATGGCCTTTAGGGTTCCCTTCCAACTGGTTGTGAGGGTTTTAATTGTGTCTTCCTTTACTGCCAAATAAGGTTGGGATGGATGGTCTTTGAGACTCCTTTCCAAGCTCCTTTCCAAGGTCACAACAACGTCTGTTATAGAATTCCAATACGCTGATGATAACGTAGTCTGTGCTCATTCAGAGGAAGACCTATAAGCCACTCTAAACACCTTTGCAGAAGCATATGAGAAGCTTGGCCTCTCACAGAACATCGAGAAAAGAAAAGTGCTCTTCCAGCAGGCACCAGCCAATCCCTCTCCAATGCCAGAAATATTATTATTATTATTATTATTATTATTATTATTAACTTTATTTGTACCCCGCTAGCATCTCCCGAAGGACTCGATGCGGCTTACAAAGGCCAAGACCCTCAATAAAACAATAACATAGCAATACACACAACTCATAAGCAAACCAAAACAATTAAAGCAATACACCTTAATGGTGTAACATTAGAATATGTGGACCATTTCCGCTCCCTTAGCAGCCACCTCTCCACAAAAGTCAACATTGACACTGAAATATAACTTTGCCTGAGCTCTGCGAGTGCAGCTTTTTTCCGAATGAAGCAGAGAGTATTTGAGGACCGGGACATCCATAGGGATGCCAAGGTGCTTGTTTATAAAGCCATTCCCCTCCCAACCCTGTTCTATGCCTGCAAAACGTGGACTGTCTACAGATGTCATACTCAACTCCTGCAACAATTCCATCAGCATTGCCTCAAAAAAAATCCTGCAAATCATTTGGGAAGACAGGCAGACAAATGTCAGCATGCTGGAAGAAGAAGCAAAGACCACCATCAACTCTGCTGGACTGAAGGCCACGTTCGAATGCCTAATGATCACAGTCTCCTAAAGCAGTGACTGTACTCTCAACTCAAAAATGGGAAATGTACCGTTGGTGGACGAAAAAATAGATTTAAAGATGGGCGGAAAGCCAACCTTAAAAACTGCGGCAAAGACACTGAGAGAGAACTGGGAAGCCCTGGCCCGTGAGCGCTCCAACAGGAGGTCAGCTGTGACCAGCAGTGCTGCAGAATACGAAGAGGCACAAATGGAGGGTGAAAGAAAGAAACGTGCCAAGGGGAAGGCGCGTCAAGCCAACCCCAACCAGGACCGCCTTCCACCTGGAAACTGATCTTCTCACTGCGGGAGAACATGTGGATCTATGGACCCACTGCCAGGACACAGCACTTGGAGGATCATCATCTTCAAGCTACAAGGGATTGCCGAAGTAAGTAAATACATGGATATGGACTGATTGTATTTTATTGTCCTCATTTGAAGCTGAGAAAGTGTGACCTACCGAAAAGGCCAGCAGGGATTCGAGCAAAAATGCCATTGGACAAGTAAAACAAACTCAATTATTTCAATGCTTTTAATGAATATTTCACACAATACACAGCAATGCCATTATTTACATACTGGACGTGTGTAAATCCAGACCTGTCCAGTAGGTGACACACAAGCCATTGCAACTAATCCTGCATTCAAACCCCAATATTTTTTTAAAAGGCAGATCTATTTACAAGGAGATGCTGTACATTAAATTCATTGGGTTGGATTTTTATATATATATATATATATATATATATATATATATATATATATATACATACACACATATATATATATATATTGAATTTTGCTATACACACATATATATATACATATATATATATATACACACATACACATACATACACACACACACACACAAACATAGATATATAAATACACACATTTATAAATATTGTAATTGCTTTGGATACACTGTACAATATGGTACATGCTGAAGAGAAATGGGTTGGGATGGAAAGAAGGTGTATATATATATATATATACACACACACACACACACACACACACACACATGGATGGCATGGGCCAACTTTGGCCCTCTCTCTCTCTCTCTCTCATTCTCTCTCTCTATATATATAAATTTTCAGTGATTGGTTGGGGGGGTGTGCTAAAATATTGTTTGCTTAAACTTGAACATTACCTAGGGCCGGCTCTGGAGAAGATGGGAGTAGCTATATCTGTATCTATGGCTAGATGGCCATCTGTTGGGAGGGATCAGATTGTGCCTTCTTGCTTGACATGAATAGGATGGCCTTTTGGAGGGGGGTCCCTTCTGACTCATAGAGATGATGGATAGCTATATCTGTATATGGCTGGATGGCCATCTGTCAGGAGGGATCCTCTGTACTACCTTCTGACTGCCACCTGCCTTTCTCCATTAATGCCTATCGCAGTGGAGGGGCTGGGGGGGTGCCCTCAGCGGCACCCGCAGCTGGCGGCCACCATGTCGGGGAACTGCTTTAGGACGACATTGTCACGGTCGCCTCCGTCAAAGTAGAGGAGGTTGATGGGGAGGAGGGCGTCTGGGACGCAGCAGGGGGCGGGGGGCGCACGAGGGCCGGGGGGACGCAGGGCGCGGGCAATGGAGCGCAGGACGGCATGGTTGGAGGGGCGCAGGCCAGCCCCCAGCGGGAAGGGGCAACCCCCCCGGCACTGGTAGGCCCCCACCCCACGTGGGGAGATCACCCACCCTCCCCAGCCCAGATCCTCCACCTCCACCACCAGTGGGAGCCGGCGGCATGGGCCCGGCGCAGGGGAAGAGTCCGACTCCTCCTCTGCCCACACCGACACTTCTGCCGAGCGGGACCCCCGGATGCGGTTCAGGGACGGAGCCGGAAGGGGCCACGCCACATCTGTGGAGAGAGAGAGAGAGAGAGAAAATGTGGTCAGCACACTCTGCACAGGCTCAGAGGCACAGATGGGATTGCACAGTCCAAGGCTTCCCTGGCACCAGAGACATGCAATAAGTATATGCACTCTGGACATGCTCAGAGGCACGACTGGGATAGAATAGTAAAAGGCTTTCCTGGCATTGGGATCATATAATATGTAAAGCAGTGTTTCGCAACCTGGGGGTCGGGACCCCTGAGGGGGTTGTGAGAGGGTGTCAAAGGGGTCGCCAAAGACCATCAGAAAACATCGTATTTTCTGTTGATCATTGGGATTCTGTGTGGGAAGTTTGACCCAATTCTATTGTTGGTCAAGTTCAGAATGCTCCTTGATTGTAGGTGAACTATAAATCCCAACAACTACAACTCCCAAATGTCAAGATTCTATTTTCTCCAGACTCCACCAGTGTTCACACTTGGGCATATGGAGTATTCGTGCTAACTTTGGTCCAGAACCATCGTTGCATGAATTCACAGCACTCCTCTGGATATAGGTGAACTACAACTCCCAAACTCAAGGTCAATGCCCACAAAACCCTTCCAGTGTTTTCTGTTGTTCATGGGAGTTCTGTGCGCCAAGTTCGGTTTAAATCCATTGCTAGTGGACTTCAGAATGCTCTTTGATTATAGGTGAACTATAAATCCCAGCAATTACAACTCCCAAATTACAAAATCAATCCTCCCCCCCCCCAACCCCACTAGCATTCACATTTGGGCATATTGGGTATTTGTGCTCAATTTAGTCCAGTGAATGAAAATCCATCCTGCATATCGGATATTTACATTACGATTTATAACAGTAGTAAAATGACAGGTATCAAGTAGCAACAAAAACAATATTATGGTTGGGGGTCACCACAACATATGGAACTGCATTAAGGGGTCATGGCATTAGCAAGGTTGAGAACCACTGATGTAAAGGCACTCTACACATGCTCCAAGGCACTGCTGGAAGGGAATAGTCAAAGACATCCTGGCATCTGAATCATCTAATATGTAAATGCACTCTGGACATGCTCAGAGGCATGGCTAGAAGGGAATAGTCATGCACTGAATGGGTCCTTGCACTCTGGATATGCTCAGAGGCATTGCAGGGAGGGAATAGCCATGCACTAAATGGGTCAATGCACTCTGGGCATGATTAAAGGCATGGCTAGAGGGAATAGTCATGCACTGAATGGGTCCTTGCACTCTGGATATGCTCAGAGGCATTGCAGGGAGGGAATAGCCATGCACTAAATGGGTCAATGCACTCTGGGCATGATTAAAGGCATGGCTAGAAGGGAATAGTCATGCACTAAATGGGTCCTTGCACTCTGGATATGCTCAGAGGCATTGCAGGGAGGGAATAGCCATGCACTAAATGGGTCAATGCACTCTGGGCATGATTAAAGGCATGGCTAGAGGGAATAGTCATGCACTGAATGGGTCCTTGCACTCTGGATATGCTCAGAGGCATCGCAGGGAGGGAATAGCCATGCACTAAATGGGTCAATGCACTCTGGGCATGATTAAAGGCATGGCTAGAGGGAATAGTCATGCACTGAATGGGTCCTTGCACTCTGGATATGCTCAGAGGCATCGCAGGGAGGGAATAGCCATGCACTAAATGGGTCAATGCACTCTGGACATGCTCAGAGGCATGGCTAGAAGGGAATAGTCATGCACTAAATGGGTCCTTGCACTCTGGATATGCTCAGAGGCATTGCAGGGAGGGAATAGCCATGCACTAAATGGATCAATGCACTCTGGGAATGATTAAAGGCATGGCTAGAAGGGAATAGTCATGCACTGAATGGGTCCTTGCGCTCTGGATATGCTCAGAGGCATTGCAGGGCTGGAATAGCCATGCACTAAATGGGTCAATGCACTCTGGATATGCTCAGAGGCATTGCAGGGCTGGAATAGCCATGCACTAAATGGGTCAATGCACTCTGGACATGCTCAGAGGCATGGCTAGAAGGGAATAGTCATGCACTGAATGGGTCCTTGCACTCTGGATATGCTCAGAGGCATTGCAGGGAGGGAATAGCCATGCACTAAATGGGTCAATGCACTCTGGATATGCTCAGAGGCATTGCAGGGAGGGAATAGCCATGCACTAAATGGGTCAATGCACTCTGGGAATGCTCAGAGGCATTGCAGGGCCTGGATTGCCATATACAGAATGGGTCAATGTGCTCTGGGCATGCTCAGATGATTGCTGGAATACAGTAGTCATATATGGAATGGATCAATGGACTCTGGGCATGCTCAGAGGTTGGGCTGGAAGGGAACAGTCCTGCACTGAATGGGCCTGACCCTTTGACCCCTATGCTGACCACTCACCCCTGGAGACCCTGCTGGGGAGCGGGGCGGCGGGGCTGTCGTCCTGGGCGAAGAGGACCAACATGGGCTTCCTGCTGGAGTGGTGGTCTCGCCCGGAAGCAAAACGGACGGCGGGGTCAAGGCCAAGATCAGAGCCAAGGTCTGGCAGCCCGCCCACGGTCACCACCAGGCCCAGGCCGTTGTCCTCCTCCGACGCCAAGTCATGCACCTACGAGACAAAGAAAACCGCTCCAAAGGTTAGGAAGTCCCACGGCAAGAGGAGGAGATGGAGCCAGCGAGCACGCCCGCGAGATGGCCCCCCCGAGAAAGAGGGCCATTCACTCACCGCTTGAGTCACGGAGAAGACCTCCCATCCGGATCCCAGTAAGGAGAGGAGGCGGGAGCAGAGCAGCTTCTTCCCAGAAGGGGAGCCCGTGCCCGCCAGGTCCAGCACCTGGTACACACTCACCTGCAATAATCATAGGAATAGTAGTAGTTGTAATAATAATAATAATAATGATATGAGGATTTAAAGACCGAACTGCAAAGACTCTGGCACAAACCAGTCAATGTGGTCCCAGTGGTGATCGGCACACTGGGTGCAGTGCCTAAAGACCTTGGCCTGCACTTAAACACAATCGGCAGTGACAAAATTACCATCTGCCAGCTGCAGAAGACCACCTTACTGGGATCTGCACACATTATATCACACAATTCTAGACACTTGGGAAGGGTCCGACATGTGATCCAATACAACAGCCAGCAGAGTGATCTTGTCTGCTGTGGACTCATCTTGTTGTATTTATAATAATAATAATAATAATAATAATAATAATAATAATAATAATAAAGATCGAACTGCAAAGACTCTGGCACAAGCCAGTAAAGGTGGTCCCAGTGGTGATCAGCACACTGGGTACAGTGCCTAAAGACCTTGGCCTGCACTTAAACACAATCGGCGCTGACAAAACTACCATCTGCCAGCTGCAGAAGGCCACCTTACTGGGATCTGCACGCATTATTCGCCGATACATCACACAGTCCTAGACACTTGGGAAGTGTCCGACGTGTGATCCAATACAACAGCCAGCAGAGTTATCTTGTTTGCTGTGGACTCATCTTGTTGTATTTTTAATAATAATAATAATAATAATAATAATAATAATAATAATAATAATAAAATAATAATAGCCCGTAAAGGTGGTCCCAGTGGTGATCGGCACACTGGGTGCAGTGCCTAAAGACCTTGGCCTGCACTTAACAACATTCGGTGCTGACAAAATTACCATCTGCCAGCTGCAAAAGGCCACCTTACTGGGATCTGCACGCATTATTCGCCGATACATCACACTTGGGAAGTGTCCGACATGTGATCCAATACAACAGCCAGCAGAGTGATCTTGTCTGCTGTGGACTCATCTTGTTGTGTTTCTAATAATAATAATAATAATAATAATAATAATATATTATTAACTGCAAAGACTCTGGTGCAAGCCAGTCAAGGTGGTCCCAATGGTGATCGGCACACTGGGTGCAGTGCCTAAAGACCTTGGCCTGCACTTAAGCACAATCGCTGCTGACAAAATTACCATCTGCCAGCTGCAGAAGGCCACCTTACTGGGATCTGCACGCATTATTTGCCGATACATCACACAGTCCTAGACACTTGGGAAGTGTCCAACATGTGATCCAATACAACAGCCAGCAGAGTGATCTTGTCTGCTGTGGACTCATCTTGTTGTGTTTCTAATAATAATAATAATAATAATAATAATAATAATAAATTGAACTGCAAAGACCCTGGCACAAGCCAGTAAAGGTGGTCCCAGTGATGATCAGCACACTGGGTACAGTGCCTAAAGACCTTGGCCTGCACTTAAGCACAATCGGCGCTGATAAAATTACCATCTGCCAGCTGCAGAAGGCCGCCTTACTGAGATCTGCACGCATTATTCGCCAATACATCACACTTGGAAATGTCCGACGTGTGATCCAATACAACAGCCAGCATAGTGATCTTGTCTGCTGTGGACTCATCTTGTTGTATTTCTAATAATAATAATAATAATAATAATAATAATAATAATAATAATAATCACAGTCCTAGATGCTTGGGAAGTGTTTGACTTGTGATTTTGTGATACGAAATAGATCTCGTTTGCTGTGACATACTGTGCTTTTGTGTCAATAATAATAATAATAATAATAATAATAATAATAATAATAATAATGTATTGATTACCCGCTTCTCCTTTTGACTCAAGGCAAGGCACAACGTAATGAAAATACACCTAAATGCAAGCATATAATAATAGAAGAGGTGGGGTCCCCAAAGGCTATCCAGCCTGACCCCAAAAATGAGGGCACCACTGAATCCCTCCAGAAAGTGATAACAGTGCCTCTGAGCATAATACTGATGTTCACTGACCTGGCAGAAGTGCTGCCTCCGAGGCCCGTCCAGGGTCTGTGGACGGAGCTTGAAGAGGTGAAGCTCGGCGGTCAAGATCCGTTCCTGCTTGGCCTCACGGGACAGGCGGAAGAGGAGCTGCCCCTGGGCGCCACTGTGGTCTGCGTGCAAGGGAAGCCAATGACCCCTTCACAACAGCCCTGCCAGGCGGGGCACATATGCAAAGGCTCCTTAGGGGGAAAGGTAGCCAAAGAGGGGAGCGCCCCGCTGACCAATGGGCTCAAGTCACACTCTCTCAGCCTCAGAGGAAGGCCAAGAAGGGGATCTTGCCCCAAGGGAAACCTTAACGAGTCCCAACAACAACAAAAAGCCCGTTTTGCCAATGGTGGAACACACCATCCAATCCCTCCCAAAAGATGGCCATCCAGCCCCTGCTTAATAATAATAATAATAATAATAATAATAATAATAATAATAATAATAATAAATGCTAGAGCTAGGAGAGGCTTTCAAAGGCCCTGCAGTCCAATCCCCTTTTTCTAGGCCGGAGGACACCATGGGAGCCCTCCCGACAGATGGCCATCCAGCCATAGATATGACTGGTAGAGATAGATAGATAGATAGATAGATAGATAGATAGATAGATAGATAGGCAGACAGACAGACAGATACGTAGATAGCAAGATAGATATCTGCCAGGCTGTCCTCCTCCAACAGATGGCCATCCAGCCATAGATATGACTGATGTGGATACAGATAGACAGACAGACAGATAGATAGATAGATAAACAGATAYARAGATAGATAGATAGATAGATAGATAGATAGARAGARAGARAGARAGARAGACAGACAGACAGACAGACAGACAGACAGARACCTGGATAGCAAGATAGATATCTGCCAGGCTGGAGGACACCATCCGATCTCCTCCAACAGATGGCCATCCAGCCATAGATATGAATGATGTGGATACAGACAGACAGACAGATATGTAGATAGCAAGATAGATATCTGCCAGGCTGGAGGACACCATCCGATCTCCTCCAATAGATGGCCATCCAGCCATAGATATGAATGATGTGGATACAGACAGACAGACAGARACSTYGATAGCAAGATAGATATCTGCCAGGCTGGAGGACACCATCCGATCTCCTCCAACAGATGGCCATCCAGCCATAGATATGAATGATGTGMATACAGARAGACAGACAGARAGARAGARAYACAGARAGARAGATAGATAGAGCAAGATAGATATTTGCCAGCTGGAGGACACAATCAAAGCCCTCCCAAAAGYTGGTCCCACCATTTTCATACAGGAAGGGCATCATTAATCTAATCACTCCCAACAGATGGCCACCCATCTGCATAATAATAATAATAATAATAATAATAATAATAATAATAATAATAATAATGGGAAGGGGCCCCCAAAAGATATCCAGCCCCTTTCCATGCAGGAAGGGCACCCTCCGATCTCTCCCAACAGATGGCCATGCAGTCCTTAAATAATAATAATAATAATAATAATAATAATAATAATAATCAGAGCCGCACCCTTTCCATGCAAGAAGGGCACCATCCAATTCCTCCAAACAGATGCCCACCTAACTCTTACATAATAATAATAATAATAATAATAATAATAATAGTAATAGTAATTATAATAATGGGGACCCCCAAAGGCCACCCAGCCCACCCTTTCCATGCAGGATCCTTCCTGACAGATGGCCACCCAGCCCTTACATAATAAAAATAATTGGAAGGGAACCCAAAAGGCCATCCAGTCTAAACCTTTTCATGCAGGAAGATACTCTCTGATCCCTCAATAATAATAATAATAATAATAATAAGAAGAAGAAGAAGAAGAAGAAGAGGAAGAATTGAAAGGGACATCCAAAGGCCATCCAGTTCAACTCCATTATTCTGTGAAGTTAGGCACCATGCAATCTCTCTGGACAGATGGCCAGGCAGCCATGGATATAACTGACAGAGATATAGATATATAGATATAGATATATCTCAGATCCTAGAGTTGGAAGGGACCCCCAAAGGCCATCCAGCCCCACCCTTCTAATGCAGGAAGGGCACCTTTTGATCCCTTCCGACAGATGCCCATGCAGCCCTTACAAAATAATAATAATAATAATAATAATAATAATAATAATAATAATAATGGGAAGGGACCCCCAAAGGCTATCCAGCCCCACCCTTTCTATGTAGGAGGGGCACCCTTTGATCCCTTCCGACAGATGCCCATGCAGCCCTTACAAAATAATAATAATAATAATAATAATAATGGGAAGGGACCCCAAAGGCTATCCAACCCCACCCTTTCCATGTAGGAGGGGCACCCTCTGATCCCTCCCGACAGATGGCCATGCAGCCCTTACAAAATAATAATAATAATAATAATAATAATAATAATAATAATAATAATAATAATGGTGGGAAGGGGCTCACTCTTGTCCAGGAAGCTGCGGACGGTGTTTCCTTGGGGGAGGCCGTGCCCCTTGGTGACCCCGTCATCCCCGGCCACGGCTCGGTAGAGGTCCAGCATGAACTGGGGGGCTTCGGACCCCAAGGCAGTCTGCAAGAGGAAGAGGAAGAGGCAGCAAGGAGCAGGCCTGGCCATGGCAAGACAGAGAGAGAGGCAGAGAGAGGGTCTTCCTTGAAGTGGGGTCTCCTTCCTTCCTCCCTTGCCTTGGGCTTATAAGGCTCCCCCAAAGCAGTCCTGGATGGCCCTGCTAACAGGGTGCGAAGGCCTCTCTCTGTGGGGGGCTAATGGGGCAAACAGGAGGCCATTAGCAGGACAAGGGACCCCCAGGGGGAGGCATTATGGCCAACAGGACCCCAATCCACAAGGCCCAGGAAGGCCCACGGCCAGGCACATACACGCACAGCACAGGTGACCCATTTAGGGAAGAAAGAAAGAGAGAGAGATAGGTAAACATAGACACACAGACAGAAAGATAAATACAGGGATGGACGGGCAGATGGATATATATAGGGATAGATGGAGGGATAATAATAATAATAATAATAATAATAATAATAATAATCTATATAAATAAAATGTAATGTTAGTTCGTGCTACCATCAGAACTCAAAACCCACTGGGGGAATTGACACCAAATTTGGACACAAGACACCTAACAGTCCAATTTATGTCCTCCACTCAAAAAAAATGATTTTTGAGTTTTGGAGTTGTAGTTCACCTACATCCAGAGAGCACTGTGGACTCAAACAATGATGGATCTGGACCAAACTTGGCACAAATACTCAATATGCCCAAATGTGAAAACTGGTGGAGTTTAAGGGAAATAGACCTTGACATTTTGAGAGTTGTAGTTGCTGGGATTTATAGTTCACCTACAATCAAATTGCATTCTGAACTCCACCAATGATGGGATTGGGCCAAACAGAGCACACAGGGCTCCCATGACCAACAGAAAAAACTGGAAGGGTTTGGTGGGCATCAGGCCCGTAGCCAGGATTTCTATTCGGGGGGGGGGGGGGGGGTATTTTTTCAGGGGGGGTTTCGGGGGGGCTGAGTTTTGGGGGGGGGGCTGAGTCTGAGTGAAAGAGGGTCTACCCTAGCAAACCTTTTGTAACATTACCCCAATACCCCCATGCATGTGGGATATATTAAGTATGGTGATCAGATCATGATATGAATAAACATAACAGTTTAAATAATGCACCAGTAAGGCCTTTTCGCGAACCACCATGAGAATTTCGGGGGGGGGGGTTGACGGTGGGCATTGACCTTGAGTTTGGGAGTTGTAGTTCACCTACATCCAGAGAGCACTGTGGACTCAAACAATGATGGATCTGGACCAAACTTGACACAAAAATTCCATATGCCTAAATATGAACACAGATGGAGTTTGGAGGAAATAGCCCTTGACATTTGGGATTTGTAGTTACTGGGATTTATAGTTCACTACAATTAAAGAGCATTCTGAAACCCACAAACGACAGAAATGGGGCAAACTTCCCACACAGAACCCCCATGACCAACAGAAAATACTTAAGGCCATCCAGTCCAACTCTCTTCACCAGGGCAAGAAAATGTAATCAGAGCCCTCCTGACAAAGAGCCATCCAGCCATAGATATAGATAGATAGATGATTCACACACAGAGATATAGTATCATAGATTTGAAAGGGACCCTTAAAGATGGACAAAGATATGTTGCATGTTCCAGGGTGGGCAAACCAGACAATCTCCACATCAACACTGACAAAGAAACAGCAAGAAATACTGTTTACCCACAAGCATAAAGAATTTACATATATTAGAAACCAACACTTTCTCATTACTTTATTTTCCAGATCAACAGACTGGGCCACAGCAATGGATGAAAGTCAATATTAAAGTGCGTTTGAGGACATATTGCTAAGAGTATTCCTTATTCTGGGAAGGCACACTGGAACAACCATGTTTTCAGGCTCCTCCTAAAGACTGCCAGCAATGGGGCATGTCTGATGTCCTTAGGCAGTGAATTCCAGAGTCAGGGGGCCACCACCGAGAAGGCCCTCTCCCTCTTCCCCACCAATCGCGCCTGTGAAGGAGGTGGGAGCGCGAGCAGGGCCTCTCCAGATGATCTAAGAGATCGTGTGGGTTTGTAAACAGAAATGCGGTCACGCAGGTAGGCGGTCCCAAACCATTCAGGGCTTTGTAGGTCAGAACCTGCACCTTGAATTGGGACCCGAAAATGAACGTCAGCCAGTGGAGTTCCTTAAACAAGAGGGTTGACAGCTCTCTGTAAGAAGCACCAGTTAGTAACCTGGCTGCCGCCCATTGTACCAACTGAAATTTCCGGGCCGTTTTCAAGGGCAGCCCCACGTAGAGTGCATTACAGTAATCCAATCTGGAGGTGACTAAGGCATGGATCACCCTGGCCAGATCTGACTTCACGAGGTACGGTTGCAGCTGGCGCACGAGTCTTAATTGTGCGAAGGCCTTCCCAGCCGACGCAGGAGATTCCATCTGAACATGAGAAGAACTTCCTGACTGTGAGAGCCGTTCAGCAGTGGAACTCTCTGCCCCGGAGTGTGGTGGAGGCTCCTTCTTTGGAAGCTTTTAAACAGAGGCTGGATGGCCATCTGTCAGGGTGCTTTAAATGCGATTTTCCTGCTTCTTGGCAGGAGGTTGGACTAGATGGCCCATGAGGTCTCATCAAAAACATGAGCGATGAATCCAGGAGGACTCCCAGACTGCGGACCTGTGGTTTCAGGGGGAGTGTAACCCCGTCCAACACAGGTTGCCACCCTATACCCCGGTCAGGTTTACGATCGACCAGGAGGACCTCTGTCTTGTCGGGATTGATCTTCAGTTTGTTAGATATTTTATTTATTTATTTATCATTCAAACTTATATGCCGCCACTCCCCTGGGGCTCGGAGCAGCTTACAAGAACAGGCTAAAATCTAACACAATTTAAAACAATTTAAAAACAGCAATATCAAAGATAATGTCTTCATCTTGCAATAAGCAACTTAATAAAAAGAATGGTACACGTAAATCCACAGATGGGACGATCGTCCAGCACCCGAGGCTTCCTTGGAGTTAGGTGGAAGGAGTAGTAGAGTTGTGTATCATCTGCGTAGAGATGGCACCTAACTCCAAAACTCCGGATGACCTCTCCCAGTGGTTTCATGTAGATGTTAAAAAGCATGGGAGACAAAATAGAGCCTTGCGGGACCCCACAGGTCAAAGGCCAGGGGTCCGAGCAGGCGTCTCCCAGCTTCACCATCTGGGAACGTCCCTCCAGGAAGGATCGGAGCCACGACAGAACCGTGCCCCCAAGGCCCATCCCAGAGAGTCGTCCCAGAAGGATACCATGATCGATGGTATCGAAAGCCGCTGAGATGTCCAAGAGAACCAACAGGGTCACACTCCCCCTGTTGAGCTCCCTACGGAGGACATCCACCAAGGTGACCAAAGCTGTCTCAGTACCATGACCAGGCCTGAAGCTAGACTGTGACTGATCCAAATAGTTGATGTCATCCAGGAAACCCTGGAGCTGAGAGGTGACCACCTGCTCCAGCACCTTGCCCAAGAAAGTGAGGTTGGAGATTGGTCTGTAATTGCTCAAGACTGTGGATAGATGGATGGATACATAGAGGGATAGAGGGAAAGAAAGAAAGAAAGAAACATCTATATAAATAAAAATGTAATGTTCGTTTGTGGGATTAACAGAACTCAAAAACCACTGGACCAATTGACACCAAATTTGGACAGAATACACCTAACAACCCAATGAGTGACCATCATTCAAAAACATTGATTTTGTCATTTGGGAGTTGTAGTGGCTGGGATTTATAGTTCACCTACAATCAAAGAGCATTCTGAAATCCACGAACAATGGAATTGAACCAAACTTGGCACACAGAACTCCCATGACCAACAGAAAATACTGGAAGGGTTTGGTGGGCATTGACCATGAGTTTGGGAGTTGTAGTTCAACTACATCCAGAGACCACTGTGGACTCAAACAATGATGGACCAAACTTGGCACGAATACTCAATATGCCCAAATATGAACATTGGTGAGTTTGAGGAAACAGACCTTGACATTTGGGAGTTGTAGTTATTGGGATTTATAGTTCACCTACAATCAAAGAGCATTCTGAACCACACCAACAATAGAATTGGGGCAAACTTCCCA